GGGGTTGTTGGGGCAGGGGGTGATGTCAAAATTCAACGTGACCGTATGGGTTCGCCTTCCCCAGCCAGCTTTGGCCTGAAGTTTGTGTTGCTAGGGCCCTATGCCGGTTGTAGGAGGAACAGCTCAGGATTCTCAAGCCGACCACTCAGGCGATGGGATCCTCGTGGAGTCACGCACGACGCCGTGTCTGTGCCTGGCCCCCAGCCTTGCCACCTTATGACTTATGACCTGGCCCGAGATTCCTGTAATTCTTCTGCAGCATCCTGGGAAGTCATCGCTTCGCGAACTTTACGATAGGTATGGCAGGTATGAGAATGAATTTTACCTCAAGCCCCCCGTACCTACAACCCAAGCCTGCCGTAGGTCTGAGATCCAAAGCCCTTTTTCTCACCGCGCGCCTGGGCGCAAGGACCAAGCAGGGCGCCTTCGGCGGCTACATCAAGCTCCTCGGATATGATTGAAAAACTAGTAATGTGTTTTTCAACACTCGTTCTTTCTAATTAGACCTGTTTGAGAGCCCAGCGGGAGAACATTTAATTCTGTTTGTGCCGATCACACCTTCAGATCGTCGTTCGACCGCCGTCCTCGGCCTCGGCAACCCAAGCTGTCGTCAACTCTGCATCCGAAGGTCCTCAGGATTTCTCGAGCCCAAGCCCTCAACTTCACCCCGAAGCCCTCGCGCGAAGGCGGCTAAGACCTCAAAGCCTTACATCCTCAACCTGCCTCAACCTGCCTCAACCCCAAAGAGCCATGGAAGGTTTGAGCCGACGATGAAGAAGAAGACGCCCGGGGGCCCAAGTGGAAATCTGAAAGCCCCGGCACAAAAGTGGGGAATTGCACCAGCATTCATGTGGGAAAGATGGGACCGCGAGCAAACCCCCCCGCTCACCCAAAAGCAGCTTCAAGGTATGGAGGTGGCAACACCTTGGGCCAGTGGATCCGACACGGTGACGGCCAGGGCTATGTGGCAGGTGATGACAAGGCCCGCTCATGTGCGGCATCTCAGGGTGCTCTTCCGGCCATGAGAGTCGCTTGGAACTCCGTGTCAAAACATGTCGCACAGTCAAGGCACGGAAGGCATAAATGAACCGGGGAGGTCGGGCTTGCAATGGGCGTACGGCAGTAGGTCACATAGACGAGAACGTACCAGGCCGGCGGCAGATGGGAGTGGAACAAGGCGCGGCCTGACAAGTGGGGTTTGGGAGTTTGGGACAGGTTGTTCACAGAAGTTTGTCCGAGGCTCTGAGATGCTTTGCAACCTCGCCTCGCTCTCTAAAAGTTCATAGGCTGTCTACGGACGTGCCTTGGAGTGTTGCATCTGTGGGAAGACAGTTGCCAGCAGACTGCAAAAACCCGTTAGTATCTTAAAGGCTGCAAGCCTTAGAAACCGAAGCTGCCCCCAAATATCAGCCCGGTCGCCTGCTCTGGGCTTTTGGAGGTCACGGGCAACGTAAGCTGTTGGGTCAAGTCTTGGCCTGCCACCGCCTTTCGCCACGAGCGCAGCACACGCTTCAAAGCCCCAATCCTGTGCATCTGTAACTGCAGATCCCTACTTTATGACCTCACCTCTGCCCACCCCCAAGCCACTAAATCTCCACAGACCTCTGCGATGCGTGTGCCTTCCCCTGCCCGACAGACCTGGGGCCTGCAGTACTCCGTCAAGGATCTCCGGGCCCGCTCCACAGCTATGGAAAGATTAGGACGGTAGGGCTTTGCAAGATTTCAGGGAGTTAGGTCGTACTGGGTCGAGAAGGTACCGCGCTTGCTGGGTTCTAGGACGTGGGGGAAGATTGCCAAGGTGGTTTGTTGAGGGTTTTCCAGGGTTTTGTTCAGGGCTTGGCATCCGACAGAGAAATGGTATTGGAGCACGGATTGCAGGTGCACCCCGACTTTGTGCAGAACGAGTCCCGCAGGACAAAGTTCATCAAATTATTGGCTTTGGGGGATGCTTTGAGGGCTCGACCAGGTTTCCGGGTCCGGGCTTCCGAGTTGCTTCGGGATTTTGCTTAGGGGTCCTTGGGGTCGACGGCCTGGAACTTTGGATCTTGGGCTCGAGCTAAGGGGCTAGGGTCCCGTGTGCGCTTTGGGTGGGGTGTCACAAGTGCGACATGTGTTCTTCTAGGGTACAGTCCTAAGGGGTCTGACACTGCCCCCAGCGACGCAGGAACACAATGGACATGACGGGCGTGCGACTTATCGTCACGCAAGTCCTGCAGAGGCCGGGGTAAGCCCAGAAGCAACCCAAGAAGCCCTGAAGATGACTCCCGCGGCACAAATGGGGAAGACGCACTGCTGACTCAGACTGACACATGACACCCCTCGCGCGCATCGCACGTGCTGGGACCCCAAAACCGGGCCGCAGTGGTTCTTATTTGGAATCAGAGTTTGGCTCGAAGCCGGGCCCTCCCTTCAGGTGCTTGCTGAACATGACCAACAGGCAGGCGCTTCTGGTGGCTGATGGCATCTTCAACCGCGCGGGCGTGTGGGCCCTTGCATGGCCCTTGCATCCCAAACCCAAACCCAATTGGCGGTTTACGAAAAGAGGGGACCCCCCAATATAGATCCCCAAATAATGGGATCCGCTTATAACTTATATGAAGGTAGCCCTAATTTCGGAAACCCCAATGACTGCTTGAACTGCCCTATACTTCCTGCCCATGCAGCAGGGGCACTGCCTGCGGTCTGAGGCCGTGCCGGGCATCGTGCAAGCTGTTCTCGTCAAGGATAGCGCCCGGGACATTGCCGTCACACATATACAGAGGCCACCACTCGGGGATGGGAAATTGAATCACCGCACTGTGCTGAGAATAAAGCAAAGACCCTGTCAACAAGAGAGCCGAGGTTTGAATCCCAAACCTTAACCCCAGACCTTGAAGCCCTCAACCACAAAACATCAAACTCAACGTTCGTCCAGACAAGCACGCTGTGAGAGCTGAGAGTGCAGGGGTGGTGGTCTCTGTGAGTTCGGCCTGGCAAAAATCCTCGAGGACTTGCAGGCAGCCAGAAGCCCAGACCATGAATCAGTGCATGATGTCCTGACATTGAGCACGTTTCGCAGCGGTTTTTCAGGCATGGGAGTTACATGGAGTTATGTTTGCGGCCGGCATTTGGCTTCCAGCATGTGCCGACAAGTCTAGCGCCTCCGCTCATTCCCGAAAACTCCAAAGCCATGGCGGCCGTCGAAGGTGTCGTTTGCTCCCGGTGCTCCGGCCGCGGACACCGTGCAGCCGACTGCGTGAAGCCCTTCTACCGTGTGTGCAACCATTGCAAGCAGCTTGGGCACTTGGTGAAAGCTTGCCCGGAGCTCAAAGCGAAAAGGGAAAGCAAGGAGAAGAAAGAGAAGGAGAACGACGCTCGGAGTGAATCTGAGGTGAGCACCACTGCTTCAGAATGGTCCGGGAAGTCCACGCGATCGCGTGGTTCCAGAAAGGGCAATTCCAGTGGGGCTGTTGGGCAGTGGCAGCCACATCACTGGGTCCTTAGCGAGGACGAGGAGCGAGAAGCTCGCAAGCTGGAGAAGAAGCTGCGAGAGATTTCCGCTCTGGAGCGGATGCGGGACGAGGGCAGGGTCTTGGACGTGCTGCAGCAGCAGAAGCTGCAGCGCAAGAGCGAGATCGAGGGCCACGACATCCTGCGCAAAGTGCGCCTGGGATATCGCCGAGCCCAGCTGCCAGCGCTGGCCGAGTAGGCTGTGGCCTGGTTCTGCTGAAGGGGTGCTGAGTTGGCATGTTGGCGTCAAGGAGAGTTGTGTACAGTGTACAGCACAGGTAGCCTTTGGCAGCATAAGCCTAGGGCGGTTTTGTCGTCTGAAGATCAGGCATCAACTCTATACATAACCCAAGGTCCCAGCGACCGACCCGAGGTGAGCTTGTCGAACCTTGTCTCAAACAAAGTTAGGGCCTTCTGAAGGCCCACCAGAACTCATTTCCTAACATGTGGTTCGCTTGCGCGGCCTCCAACAGCATTTGGGCAGGTTGTTGTATGATGTCCTGACATTGAGCACGTTTTGCAGCGGTTTTTCAGGCATAGGAGTTATATGGAGTTATGTTTGCGGCCGGCATTTGGCTTCCAGCATGTGCCGACAAGTCTAGCGCCTCCGCTCATTCCCGAAAACTCCAAAGCCATGGCGGCCGTCGAAGGTGTCGTTTGCTCCCGGTGCTCCGGCCGCGGACACCGTGCAGCCGACTGCGTGAAGCCCTTCTACCGTGTGTGCAACCATTGCAAGCAGCTTGGGCACTTGGTGCAAGCTTGCCCGGAGCTCAAAGCGAAAAGGGAAAGCAAGGAGAAGAAAGAGAAGGAGAACGACGCTCGGAGTGAATCTGAGGTGAGCACCACTGCTTCAGAATGGTCCGGGAAGTCCACGCGATCGCGTGGTTCCAGAAAGGGCAATTCCAATGGAGCTGCTCGGCAGTGGCAGCCACATCACTGGGTCCTTAGCGAGGACGAGGAACGAGAAGCTCGCAAGCTGGAGAAGAAGCTGCGAGAGATTTCCGCTCTGGAGCGGATGCGGGACGAGGGCAGGGTCTTGGACGTGCTGCAGCTGCAGAAGCTGCAGCGCAAGAGCGAGATCGAGGGCCACGACATCCTGCGCAAAGTGCGCTTGGGATATCGCCGAGCCCAGCTGCCAGCGCTGGCCGAGTAGGCTGTGGCCTGGTTCTGCTGAAGGGGTGCTGAGTTGGCATGCTGACGTCAAGGAGAGTTGTGTACAGTGTACAGCACAGGTAGCCTTTGGCAGCATAAGCCTAGGGCGGTTTTGTCGTCTGAAGATCAGGCATCAACTCTATACATAACCCAAGGTCCCAGCGACCGACCCGAGGTGAGCTTGTCGAACCTTGTCTCAAACAAAGTCAGGGCCTTCTGAAGGCCCACCAGAACTCATTTCCTAACATGTGTGTTCGCTTGCGCGGCCTCCAACAGCATTTTGGGCAGGTTGTTGTATGATGTCCTGACATTGAGCACGTTTCGCAGCGGTTTTTCAGGCATAGCAGTTATATGGAGTTATGTTTGCGGCCGGCATTTGGCTTCCAGCATGTGCCGACAAGTCTAGCGCCTCCGCTCATTCCCGAAAACTCCAAAGCCATGGCGGCCGTCGAAGGTGTCGTTTGCTCCCGGTGCTCCGGCCGCGGACACCGTGCAGCCGACTGCGTGAAGCCCTTCTACCGTGTGTGCAACCATTGCAAGCAGCTTGGGCACTTGGTGAAAGCTTGCCCGGAGCTCAAAGCGAAAAAGGAAAGCAAGGAGAAGAAAGAGAAGGAGAACGACGCTCGGAGTGAATCTGAGGTGAGCACCACTGCTTCAGAATGGTCCGGGAAGTCCACGCGATCGCGTGGTTCCAGAAAGGGCAATTCCAATGGAGCTGTTGGGCAGTGGCAGCCGCATCACTGGGTCCTTAGTGAGGACGAGGAGCGAGAAGCTCGCAAGCTGGAGAAGAAGCTGCGAGAGATTTCCGCTCTGGAGCGGATGCGGGATGAGGGCAGGGTCTTGGACGTGCTGCAGCTGCAGAAGCTGCAGCGCAAGAGCGAGATCGAGGGCCACGACATCCTGCGCAAAGTGCGCCTGGGATATCGCCGAGCCCAGCTGCCAGCGCTGGCCGAGTAGGCTGTGGCCTGGTTCTGCTGAAGGGGTGCTGAGTTGGCATGTTGGCGTCAAGGAGAGTTGTGTACAGTGTACAGCACAGGTAGCCTTTGGCAGCATAAGCCTAGGGCGGTTTTGTCGTCTGAAGATCAGGCATCAACTCTATACATAACCCAAGGTCCCAGCGACCGACCCGAGGTGAGCTTGCCGAACCTTGTCTCAAACAAAGTCAGGGCCTTCTGAAGGCCCACCAGAACTCATTTCCTAACATGTGGTTCGCTTGCGCGGCCTCCAACAGCATTTTGGGCAGGTTGTTGTATGATGTCCTGACATTGAGCACGTTTCGCAGCGGTTTTTCAGGCATGGGAGTTACATGGAGTTATGTTTGCGGCCGGCATTTGGCTTCCAGCATGTGCCGACAAGTCTAGCGCCTCCGCTCATTCCCGAAAACTCCAAAGCCATGGCGGCCGTCGAAGGTGTCGTTTGCTCCCGGTGCTCCGGCTGCGGACACCGTGCAGCCGACTGCGTGAAGCCCTTCTACCGTGTGTGCAACCATTGCAAGCAGCTTGGGCACTTGGTGAAAGCTTGCCCGGAGCTCAAAGCGAAAAGGGAAAGCAAGGAGAAGAAAGAGAAGGAGAACGACGCTCGGAGTGAATCTGAGGTGAGCACCACTGCTTCAGAATGGTCCGGGAAGTCCACGCGATCGCGTGGTTCCAGAAAGGGCAATTCCAGTGGGGCTGCTCGGCAGTGGCAGCCACATCACTGGGTCCTTAGCGAGGACGAGGAGCGAGAAGCTCGCAAGCTGGAGAAGAAGCTGCGAGAGATTTCCGCTCTGGAGCGGATGCGGGACGAGGGCAGGGTCTTGGACGTGCTGCAGCTGCAGAAGCTGCAGCGCAAGAGCGAGATCGAGGGCCACGACATCCTGCGCAAAGTGCGCCTGGGATATCGCCGAGCCCAGCTGCCAGCGCTGGCCGAGTAGGCTGTGGCCTGGTTCTGCTGAAGGGGTGCTGAGTTGGCATGTTGGCGTCAAGGAGAGTTGTGTACAGTGTACAGCACAGGTAGCCTTTGGCAGCATAAGCCTAGGGCGGTTTTGTCGTCTGAAGATCAGGCATCAACTCTATACATAACCCAAGGTCCCAGCGACCGACCCGAGGTGAGCTTGTCGAACCTTGTCTCAAACAAAGTCAGGGCCTTCTGAAGGCCCACCAGAACTCATTTCCTAACATGTGGTTCGCTTGCGCGGCCTCCAACAGCATTTTGGGCAGGTTGTTGTATGATGTCCTGACATTGAGCACGTTTCGCAGCGGTTTTTCAGGCATGGGAGTTACATGGAGTTATGTTTGCGGCCGGCATTTGGCTTCCAGCATGTGCCGACAAGTCTAGCGCCTCCGCTCATTCCCGAAAACTCCAAAGCCATGGCGGCCGTCGAAGGTGTCGTTTGCTCCCGGTGCTCCGGCCGCGGACACCGTGCAGCCGACTGCGTGAAGCCCTTCTACCGTGTGTGCAACCATTGCAAGCAGCTTGGGCACTTGGTGAAAGCTTGCCCGGAGCTCAAAGCGAAAAGGGAAAGCAAGGAGAAGAAAGAGAAGGAGAACGACGCTCGGAGTGAATCTGAGGTGAGCACCACTGCTTCAGAATGGTCCGGGAAGTCCACGCGATCGCGTGGTTCCAGAAAGGGCAATTCCAGTGGGGCTGTTGGGCAGTGGCAGCCACATCACTGGGTCCTTAGCGAGGAAGAGGAGCGAGAAGCTCGCAAGCTGGAGAAGAAGCTGCGAGAGATTTCCGCTCTGGAGCGGATGCGGGACGAGGGCAGGGTCTTGGACGTGCTGCAGCTGCAGAAGCTGCAGCGCAAGAGCGAGATCGAGGGCCACGACATCCTGCGCAAAGTGCGCCTGGGATATCGCCGAGCCCAGCTGCCAGCGCTGGCCGAGTAGGCTGTGGCCTGGTTCTGCTGAAGGGGTGCTGAGTTGGCATGTTGGCGTCAAGGAGAGTTGTGTACAGTGTACAGCACAGGTAGCCTTTGGCAGCATAAGCCTAGGGCGGTTTTGTCGTCTGAAGATCAGGCATCAACTCTATACATAACCCAAGGTCCCAGCGACCGACCCGAGGTGAGCTTGTCGAACCTTGTCTCAAACAAAGTCAGGGCCTTCTGAAGGCCCACCAGAACTCATTTCCTAACATGTGGTTCGCTTGCGCGGCCTCCAACAGCATTTTGGGCAGGTTGTTGTATGATGTCCTGACATTGAGCACGTTTCGCAGCGGTTTTTCAGGCATGGGAGTTACATGGACTTATGTTTGCGGCCGGCATTTGGCTTCCAGCATGTGCCGACAAGTCTAGCGCCTCCGCTCATTCCCGAAAACTCCAAAGCCATGGCGGCCGTCGAAGGTGTCGTTTGCTCCCGGTGCTCCGGCCGCGGACACCGTGCAGCCGACTGCGTGAAGCCCTTCTACCGTGTGTGCAACCATTGCAAGCAGCTTGGGCACTTGGTGCAAGCTTGCCCGGAGCTCAAAGCGAAAAGGGAAAGCAAGGAGAAGAAAGAGAAGGAGAACGACGCTCGGAGTGAATCTGAGGTGAGCACCACTGCTTCAGAATGGTCCGGGAAGTCCACGCGATCGCGTGGTTCCAGAAAGGGCAATTCCAATGGAGCTGCTCGGCAGTGGCAGCCACATCACTGGGTCCTTAGCGAGGACGAGGAACGAGAAGCTCGCAAGCTGGAGAAGAAGCTGCGAGAGATTTCCGCTCTGGAGCGGATGCGGGACGAGGGCAGGGTCTTGGACGTGCTGCAGCTGCAGAAGCTGCAGCGCAAGAGCGAGATCGAGGGCCACGACATCCTGCGCAAAGTGCGCCTGGGATATCGCCGAGCCCAGCTGCCAGCGCTGGCCGAGTAGGCTGTGGCCTGGTTCTGCTGAAGGGGTGCTGAGTTGGCATGTTGGCGTCAAGGAGAGTTGTGTACAGTGTACAGCACAGGTAGCCTTTGGCAGCATAAGCCTAGGGCGGTTTTGTCGTCTGAAGATCAGGCATCAACTCTATACATAACCCAAGGTCCCAGCGACCGACCCGAGGTGAGCTTGTCGAACCTTGTCTCAAACAAAGTCAGGGCCTTCTGAAGGCCCACCAGAACTCATTTCCTAACATGTGGTTCGCTTGCGCGGCCTCCAACAGCATTTTGGGCAGGTTGTTGTATGATGTCCTGACATTGAGCACGTTTCGCAGCGGTTTTTCAGGCATGGGAGTTACATGGACTTATGTTTGCGGCCGGCATTTGGCTTCCAGCATGTGCCGACAAGTCTAGCGCCTCCGCTCATTCCCGAAAACTCCAAAGCCATGGCGGCCGTCGAAGGTGTCGTTTGCTCCCGGTGCTCCGGCCGCGGACACCGTGCAGCCGACTGCGTGAAGCCCTTCTACCGTGTGTGCAACCATTGCAAGCAGCTTGGGCACTTGGTGAAAGCTTGCCCGGAGCTCAAAGCGAAAAGGGAAAGCAAGGAGAAGAAAGAGAAGGAGAACGACGCTCGGAGTGAATCTGAGGTGAGCACCACTGCTTCAGAATGGTCCGGGAAGTCCACGCGATCGCGTGGTTCCAGAAAGGGCAATTCCAATGGAGCTGTTGGGCAGTGGCAGCCACATCACTGGGTCCTTAGCGAGGATGAGGAGCGAGAAGCTCGCAAGCTGGAGAAGAAGCTGCGAGAGATTTCCGCTCTGGAGCGGATGCGGGACGAGGGCAGGGTCTTGGACGTGCTGCAGCAGCAGAAGCTGCAGCGCAAGAGCGAGATCGAGGGCCACGACATCCTGCGCAAAGTGCGCCTGGGATATCGCCGAGCCCAGCTGCCAGCGCTGGCCGAGTAGGCTGTGGCCTGGTTCTGCTGAAGGGGTGCTGAGTTGGCATGTTGGCGTGAAGGAGACTTGCTTTTGTACAGTGTACAGTGGGCTGCTAGTCTTCAGCTGTTTTGTGGAGATCGTTGATGTAGACATTGACTCATTCATCGGTGCATGCAGTCACTCAAAGAGCGGATGCATCCGCACATGTGAGAAGTTTGCACAGGCATCGAACGTTGCATTGTGTTCCGAGCTTGCTGCCCGAATAAAGTAACCCCGAACTCCCGAAACCGAGGGCCTGCCGTTTGCTTCAAAGGTGAACACTCCCTACGTGGACGTGACAAGGGAGATCGTCCTGGAACATGAGCGGCAGGTGTCTTGCAACGGTCTGTCGCTCAACGAAGTGCAGTCTGAAGCGTCCCGGTTGAAGATGCTGAGGAGAGTTCACTGTTGCGGGATGCAAGGAGTGCACGAGGATTAAAGTGATTAAAGGTGCCCTGTTGGATGCATTGTCAAGCCAATCTGAGCTGGCACAGTACCGAGGCGGCGACATCAACCTTTTCGCTGATAACTACTTGAAGGAGCTGAAGGGCTTCAGAGTTTGAGGAACGGAAACTTCATATCGATACCCGGCACATGGACGTAAGCTGGAAGTAGCAGTGGCAGAACGCCTGATGCTTAGTCGTGGTGGCAGGAGGCACTCAACCTTCAAACCATGGGCATCTCCGACCCCTATGCGACATCGCACAAGGTGCTGTGCACTAGGGTTTAGGGTTTCGGGTTTAGGGTTTAGGGTATCTTGCAGTTCTGGGAGTCTAGGGGTTCAGGGGTTCACACTTGAGGTTGGGTGTTGCCCGACCCAGCGGTTTGATGGTTTGATCCCACAAACTAAAACTGAAGACCTACCCCACGCTTTAAAGACCCCAGGTGCTGTTTATCCGCTTCATCCGTGCTGGAGACGGCCAACGATGCACTCAGGCCGCGTGTTCTCGCTGCTCTTCAGGGTTTTCAGGGGGGCTTGCAGACCTGTGCACAAACGCCCAGAGGTCTAAACTACAAGTACTCGAAAGCGCCAAGGGCCTGCCTGCCATAGGCCATTGCCGTCGACCCCGAGGGCAATGTGGCGCCCGGCTCGGAGGTGGGTTCGGAGAGTCAGATTCGCGGGGAGGGCTTCGGCTGTTGGGGTTTCAAAGTGGAGGCTTTAAGTTGTGCATGTTTTTTTTGCTTTGGAGCTTGACCCACGGTGTAGGGCAGGAGCTAGGGCACGTCTCCATGTAAACGATGTATGGAGAAAGCATGTTCAGAGGCAGCGCCACGTATCTTTGATAAGACCATAGGGCGCAGCAATATCCTGACTCAGGTACCCTTGCGTCCACACAGATAATGACCACGGGCCCGAAGCCCTACAGCGAAACCCTGAACATAAAGCCTCTTCGAAACAGTCGAAAGACTCTAGAAATCTGCAGGTGAAGCTGGATCTCCTCAACACGGAGGACCCGAGTGGCGAGGACGGGTGATTTGGGGGAAAAGGGGAGGGTGTGGCCATGCCGCAGCTGGGAACCACTAAGTTAGCACACCACTTTCTCCCTCTCACAGTCACCACATAAGGCAGTTGAGGCAAGGAGAAGCCCCTGTTGCTGCAAGTCTCAAAGTGGGGCAGAAGTTTGGGGCTTTTGGGCCCAAATCAGGCATCCTGCCCGAAGGGGGGCAAAGAGAAGAGGGACCTCGCTATTGCTGCACCTCGGGTTAACTTCTGTGTTGGCATGTGAGGCCAAGCCATCCTGGGCCATGAGCCGCGTGACGAAGCAGGAGTTCATTGCCTGTGGCCCAGTCGGTGCTGCCGAAAGCGTAGTCAAGGGAGTCATATTTTGAAGGTTTGGTGGGTTTCGTCCAGACCTTTAGCCCTCAAGCCCTAAGCACAAATAAGGGGGGAAGTTTCCTGGAGACCTCTCCTAACCTAAAAGTTTAGAGGGATGGTCGGCGGAACTCTCTGTGGGCTTTGGTGGGTGTGTGATTTCAGGCTGTGAGGTGAGGAAGTGAGGAGCAGGGTTGATGTAAATCTAGCAATGTACATGTACCTGACACCGAGGGTGTATCAAATCCCCAAACTAAAGCGCCACGCAACTCCCTAAAGCGTCGAAAAGACAAATCATTAAAGCCACCAACGTTCTTCTCCCCCTCCCCCTCCCCCCCCTCCCCCTCCCCCTCCCCCTCCCCCTCCCGTTATTCTCGTCAAAAAGCAGGCCCAGAGCCAATGCGCAAGAATTCAAACGGCCCGCCCTAAATCTCAACTGGGAAGCGGGCAGAATCCTGAACCGTTCTCCCATTAGTGCTTCTTGGTGTTTTGGGGGGCTTGTGGTATTGCAGGGTATTGCCATGGTTTTGGGGTTTCTGGGAATTTGAGGGGATTGAGGGTCTCGAGGCCTAGAGATCCCCAGAGTCCTTCGAGCCAGTGGCCCTAGGCCTGCTTCACCACAAGCCCGCTTCTCAGCGAGTCCATACGTCGGCTGGGCAGCACCACGTGCCTCGGACAAAAGTGGCAGACTTTTCTTTGGACCAAGGCAGACAAGAGCTGCCAAACATGTGTGCAGTTCTTGAGTTTGTGCAAGAAGGGCAAAATTCACTCAACCGGCACAGCGTGAAGCCAAGCAGCATCAAAGGCACGTGCTGCACGAGACACGGCCCATCCCGCTGGAGGCGACCCTGGGCACCGGGCAGTTTTGGGACTTGACTTGGGCTTGAGGTGTGAGGCGTGAGGCGTGAGGCGTGAGGAGTGGGGCTTGGGGCTTGGGGCTTGGGGCTTGGGGCTTGGGGCTTGGGGCTTGGGGCTTGGGGCTTGGGGCTTGGGGCTTGGGGCTTGGGGCTTGGGGCTTGGGGCTTGGGGCTTGGGGCTTGGGGCTTGGGGCTTGGGGCTTGGGGCTTGAGGCTTGAGGCTTGAGGCTTGAGGCTTGAGGCTTAGGCCTGAAGCCCGAGGCCTACGACTTGGGGTGTAGTATTCGGGGCTAGGGTCTGCGGCTTGGGGGCTTGGGCTTGTGGCTTGGTCCTGGGGGTTTGGGGGCTTGGGCTAATGCCCTCGGCTCCTAAAGCAGGAACAGAGCAGGGGCAGATCAGTATCAAGCTGGGCGTCTAGTCACTAGTCCCAAAGCCCCGAATCCACCACATTCTCACATGTTGCAATTCAACACTCTTCCTTGGGAGATGACTTTCAAAACTGTACATGTCGCTTAGAGGTCTGAGAGAGGTTGTACAGAACTCTGCTAGGTGACAATCATGGATCCACACCACGACGACGTGTTCCAGGAGTTGGAGGACCTCCTGCAGTACTTTTGTTGGAACACTGAAAAGCCGGGGTCTCCGCAATGGGTAAAGCCAGCTTCCTGGAGGAATATGCAAGGATCGGGCTTTCAGTAAAGATGGCAGGTAGGTGTGTGCGACCCCAAGCTGTAGGCTGAAAGGGACAAGGGCTTCAGCTTTTCTGCAGCCTTGCGGGTGGCTGCCTGGTCTGCCAGGAGTCTGTCAACATCGGCCAGTCGCTGCTGATTGAGGCCAAGTTGGACGAAGAGACCGTCCGAAAGAAGTGCTAACGAGAAGAGGAGAAGAATGGAATCGGAAGGGGAAGAGGAACGCGCGAAGGGACGAAAGAAGTTTTCCCGCTCCGCACATGGAGCGCAGGTGGGTGGATAGATGTCTTTGCACATGTTCTGCAACCTGCAGACAGTGAACTTATGGATGTGCACACAGACGTCGGCACCGACGGCGGAAAAGGAACCGCCATGTACGCCCTGCGCAACCCACAGGTAGCCATATTCAAGTCTACAAGAGCTCTGTGATTTTGATGTGATTCTCTGCTGCGAGCCAAATGCTGCCTTCACGTGGCAGTCCGCCCAATGCTGGCGCGTCACGCTTTTCGCCACGCTTGGCACACTTTTCGGGCTTTGATGCTGCCGAGACATTTTGCTGCTTTCGGGGAAAGTGCTTGGTTTTAAGCACTAAGGCTTGGTGGAGAAAAACTCATGGGGAAAAAGAAGAGAGGTGCGTGACAGAGTCACAGAGAGAGCAAAAGGCTGAGTTCTCTCAAACAAAGAACCCGAGACAAGGCCTCAGCAAAAGAAGACTGAGGATGGAGTTGTTCATTGGGTGCGGGCTTCGGCCGACTCGATTGGAAGACGATGGCGTGCTCTCACCACGCCTTGCGGAGGTCTGGGACTCCGACTTCTTGGGGATGGACTTCCTCGGAGAGGCGTGGAGTAAGGGGGGTAAAGGGTGCAAAAGGGGATTTCGGGGCTGCGATTTTTTGGGGCTGCCTTATTGGGGTCCTTATGATAAGGGGATCCTACTCCTTGGGGGTCTATATCAGGGGAGTAAGGGGGTGCAGAAGGGGAAAGTGTATGGAATGCCAGGCGTGGCTGCCGCCACTCTCCGAGTTCGGGGCACGCCCCAAGGACGGCCTAGGGCTCCACCACGGACGATCACGGACGTGCGGATCACAGCTGGAAAGCCCTTAAAATCCCAAGCCGCCCATGCTGCACCCAAGCTGCGAAAAGCCGCCCAAGCCGCCCAAGCCGCCCAAGCCCTAGACGCACGCCCCTGCGTGAGGACATTGTGCTGCCACTCCAACCAGTAGACTATCGCACGGACGCGGAGAACGGGTCACTGACTCAGTTCCCTGTTTCGAAGGCTGCAGTCCTAATCCCGAATTGAAGTCAAGCCACTCTTGAACCGTGGGCTCCACACCAAAACTCCCTCTTAGAGGATCAGTTCAACGATAAGCCGCTCAAGGCCTTTAACATCTCATCCAGCTCCCACTCTGCCCTACATCAAAGCTTTTCACCGTTCGCGTGTGCTGGCAGGCCCTCCCGAATGGACCCCAAAAAGGATCTGAAGGACGACGGCACGGACCCGAACAAGAAGGCCTCTCGTAAGTCCGTGATGGTTGCAATGGGAGCTGAGACTCGTGGAGTCTGTGTGCCGGGCATTTGCAGAAGCTGCGCTGGCTTTCGGGCTGACTTCCTTCTCTCAGACTGCGCCTCAACAGTGTGCTAGGTGACCGGTGACATCTTCCTGTCCGTCAGCTGGAACTATCCTACGATCGAGGGAAGAGGCGGGATTCAGGGGGAGCGGACCACACCGACAAGAGCCATGCCTACAATGCTTTGGAAAAGCATCCGGCGCGAGTCATGTTTGGGAAGCTTTCTTGCCGGTTTGCTTTTGCTTCTTGTCATTAGCTCGCGCTCGCAAGGGCTGGACGTTGATGTGGAGACGTGGCTCCAGATGCTCGAGGCAAAGAACGTCAAGCTGGGGCCCTGCATCGGAGCTGGGGGTCTGTGCTGGGTAAACCCTTTAGTTGCAAGTCGGGGGAAGGTATTTGTAGTTGATTGTAGCTCTTGTCCCTACTTGTAATCCCGGCCCCAGGCTGCTACGAACGAATTAGTGATAATTAGTGTTTCCGGCCGCGACATGGTGTATGTCTTCGTGTGAGGGGCCTCGTCAAGCTCACGTAAGCGCGAAGTCCCGAAGCCTTCCTACGCCCAAGCACCTCGAGCTTTGGAGTTGAATTGAGCAGTTTTAGGGGTTAGGGCTGGGCGGATGGGCTTCAATCCCAAGATCTAGATAGACTGGCGGCTACTGCCTCCAGAAGCCCACACCCTAAGATTCGCCCTAAGGTTCTCAAATGCCGATCTCCCTGCGCAAAAACTTGCAGGCCCTGAGCCCTGAACCCTGAACCCTCGCCAAGGGCCAAGGTGCTGAAGGAGGGCGAGCTCACAAAATACCAGGCAGCATTTTGCTTAGGCTTAGGGCAGCTTGGGGTTAGACATGGGTGAGGGCCGTTGGGAGTGCCGGGCGATCCGAAGGCTTCAGGGCCTTTAGGACTCTAGGGCTTATTTGAAGTTGCAGTATTGTACAAAACCTTGTGTCAAGTTATCAAGGCTTTTGCCAGGAGTGGTTTGGAGTGTTCGGGAAGGTGCTGCGGGCTTCTCTCGATGCCCGGTGGACTGGGTCAAGATACCACAAAGGGTTTCAGCCTGAGGAAGAACCTGGAGCTCCCAAGCCCATACCCTCGGAAGGAAGCGATCATCGAGAAGCACCGAACGGTGCGAAACATCCGGCAGACCATGGTCGGGCGCCCTGATGTTGACAGCCTGCACATGTCAGGAAGTGAGCAAGGACAACGACTGAGCGAAGCTTCCTGGCAGTACCCGAAAGGCAGCAGTCTCAACTCGCTGAGAGCTCTTTGGAAGCTATAAGCCTACCTGAGGTCGAGGACAAGACTCCGATCAAGTTGAAGGACGAGTTCTTCAAGGGGCTGGGTGGTCCCAGAGGGGTGAGGGCTCGGTGTCCAGGTTTCCAGTCGCATTAGGCCTGGAAATCTGCACACACGGCCAAAACATCCGGAAACTTGTTCCCATGGTGAAGAGAGCTTGGCGTAGACACATGCACACAGCACTAAGAGCACTAAGAGCACTAAGAGCACTAAGAGCACTAAGAGCACTAAGAGCACTAAGAGCACTGAGAGCACTGAGAGCACTGAGAGCACTGAGAGCACTGAGAGCACTGAGAGCACAGAGCACTGAGAGCACTGAGAGCACTGAGAGCACTAAGAGCGTGCATGTGCATGATGAAAGTTGCCCGCTTGCAGTGTGCGGTCCTTCCAGCTTCTCCAAAGAGGATACCGGCTTCCAAGCCCATCGTAGCCCCGAGGCTTGGAATCACTGAAGAGAAGATCAAGAGGATTCTCACCACCTGGTTCAAGGACTGAGGGCAGAACGTCGAGGGTCTAGAGAATTGGCATCCCAAACCTAAGCCTCGAATTCGGCAACCTGGTAACCCGACTAGGACGTCCCTTCCACCTAATCTTCCAGTTTGTGAGTAGCCTACGGAAGTTTTATACCATTGTCACACGAACCTGTTCGAGGACCAGCTGGCAGAGGACATCAAGGGTCGAGCACTTCAGCAGGACACCGAGGGTTTCCACGGGGCCGCCTTGGCGCACAGGCCTACACATCTCTGATTCAAGGAAGTTTATGCGGACTGCAGGAGCACAAGCACAGCGGGATCTTGACCGTCCGCATTGAGCGGGTGCGCCCTTTCATGCACTGAATTAGATGTGTCCATGTCAATGCGCATCTCCACGTATCCATGTGCAGCCGTGCTGCGGGAAGAGGCCCAGGCACACAGGAGCTAAAGGTGCAGGATCTGCTTTTGTCACCGGGTTTTGTCTGGGTCTCATCCCGCAAAACTGGCAAGATCGTAGGGTCAAGGCCGTTTTAGAATCCAAATCACATCGCAACCGGCCCAAGGCAAAGGGGGGAGGGGACGAGGCTAGCGGAACGAAGAAGCAAGCGCAGGGACAAGAGTACTTTTTCTTAGAAGATCAGACCAAGCCTGACCGCAGTGCCCCGAAGCACAAACCCAACTCGTCATCCCAAAACTCGTTCCTGGGGCCCCTCGATTTCTACGAGGCCGAGCGCTTAAGGCGCGCCGATGCCAAGAAGATGAAAGACTGCCCCTCGCAAAGCATCCCCTCGTTTGGGTTTTGATGTAGGATCTACCATCTAAGGGTAGTGTCATGGTTGTATAGGGTATGTGAGGGGCCCCCTTCTAAGGGCCCATACTAAGGGACCATGCAACTTCAATTAGATACCAGTGGGGTTTGGGTTGTTCATGGTTCAAGGCATTCGCGTCTGCAATTGGGATCATGTCGTGAGGATTCCCGACTCAGGCTGCAAGGGGCGTGAGGTTGAGGGTTTAAAGTTTAGGGTTTAGGGTTAACAACAGCAACTTTTCGTGTCCTCTCGTTTGCGAAATTCGGGGGTCCTTATGCGGTCCTGATTATGAGAGAATCTTCCTATTTGGGGATCTATATTCCCCTCTTTTGGTAAACCCCGTCGATGCTGCTGGGGTCTTGCCGATACTAATTGGGGCAGCGTGGGTGCCAAGATCAGAGCTTCAAGGAAATGAGGACCGAAATTGGATTGCCAGGCTGCTGGGCGGGGGCCTGCGACCGACTGTTCCGCTGGGCCTGTGGAGACTGTGAAGACCCCTGCAACAAACCCTCGGAAGGTTTGGTGTCCCTCGAGGGGGACCTACTTCCAGAGGCGGGTCTTCACAGAAGTTTTGGGTCACCCATGCACGGTTGGCTATGGGAGGGTACAAATGGGTGGCAAGAGGTCTCGACAGATGTGCATCTGAGGCCTCCGGAACCTCGAAGGCAAACGCGAAAGCCAAACAAGGAGCGCACGAACACCCAGACCTCGCAAGCCCTACGGTCTTGAAACGAGCTGCGTTCCGAATTCTTGACACTGCAAAAGCATCACCTCAGGTGATCCGAAGGCACTTTTGTGGGTGCGGAACGACGTGCAGGGGGCCTGGCGAAAGGTGGGCTCCCAGAATTGCAGCCGGAGCTTTCAGGGGGCTTGCTGGAGAGTAGCAGTCGGATGCAGGGCCTCGGAGCAGGCATTTGGGTATCAAGAAGCCCCAACTATGAACTCAATGCTCTGCCTCCCGCTGCGCCAGAAGCCGCTGATGCAAACCGGCCGCATCTCCAACGACCGGAACCCTCGGTGGGGCTTCGAAGACAGCAAGATCCTCTTTGCCGCGTCGTTCGAGGCAGTTTTTGTGGTGTGAGGGCCGCGGGAATTGGCTCACAGTGCTTTCCGCATTGAAAGGACTTTGGAGATTGGGCTTTTGCGGGTGTGCTTTGTGCGTGGATTGTTGGGGGCTTGGAATGCTTTCATGAAGGCACCGACCAACGGTTCGCATCACTTCTTTTCTGACTCTTGGAAGCCCTTGGCCTCAGGTCGAGATCCTGCGTAGTGCTCTCTGCAGTAAAGACCTCGATAGAACCGCGCGAGCCTGGAGAGGTCCGAGTTGGGCTCGGAAGTGAAACTCGAGAACTTAAGGAATTGTGGACAGGTCCAGCTGGCTGAAGCTGGGATTTGAAGCCAAAGCCTGGGCGTTTCCAAACGGGGACTTAGCAGAGGTTTTTGGGGATCGATGTAGGGCGCAGGCGCTCCTCGCAGGCAAGAGTCTTGATCAAGAGGCGCCAGGAGCCTGCAACCCCCCCTCGTGAGATCTTAGACGTCGAGAAGTTCTTAAGGACCAGAGGAGGTCTCGCGCTTACGAGATCTTGGAGCCCCAAGCTTTTCTTGGGACACATCCAAAGCCAGCCCGCAAGCCTCTCGCAAGCCCCCCCAAAACTCCCCGATTTCAATCCTGCTTGCCGCCTGCCGATGGGGCCTCCGAAGCTATGGGAAGCTCGCACTCCGACGCCGTCAGGGCCTTTGGGGAACGGGGCTTGGTAGTTTGGGGTTGCTGCAATGGTGCACAAGATTCACGACATTTCTCGGAACAGGTCTGAGTAGATTCCTTGACAATTGTTAGAGTCAATTGTGGTTGGAGTGCGGCATGAGAGTGTGAGCGGAAACCTGGAAAGACAGCATGGTCGTTGAGTGCGAGACAAGGGGCAGCCTCAACTGCTCAAACTCTTGAGCTGCAGAGCCCGGGATGGTGGAAGTCAGAACTCCAGAGAAGGACAAGACAAGGCCTGTTTGACAGACCTTTTGTGTCTGTTCGACGGAACTGCTTCTCGATCTTCTCAAAGCCGTCGCGAGCCGGCTTGTTCCCCAAAAGGGGCCATTTCCGAAAGGAATCGCCTCAAGCGTGGGCTGCACCGTGGGTTTGGCCATTTCAGGGTTGGCGCGTCCCAACCAGGGGAAGCAAGGGCGCCAGCACCTCACAGAGCGGGGCTTCATGGGATTCTGAATATGCATGGGACTACATGGGACTACATGGGGCAATTGCATGACCAGGTCTTTCTGCACATGTCTCCCGTAGCCGCCCAGGCCAGCGACGCCAAGGTAGCTGCGGAGGCCGACAAAGATGGCAAGGCAGTCAGCGACAAGGCTCCCTGCAGCACGTGGATTGCGCCCACCTAAGGAGCCAGTCCTTGCAGGCTCAGGCTTGATGTACGGCTAGTGTAGGGGTCGTGGCAAGGCCAACGATGACTTCAACGTCCTCGACCTTCTGCCCGACTCCAAGTTCCCGGCACTGCGTGAATGAGCTCGCGTGTGAATTAGCAGCGTGAAAGACTGTGAAAGAGCGAAAAGAGCCCAACCTTATTTTTTGGCAGCCCCCATGGTCGTCCTCTGAGGCGCCACCTCCAGGAGCAGGAAGGCTACGAGGTCTACGACATCTTCGAGCGTGGGCGCGAGAGGGTGCCAACGCAGGTCCGCCTTTGGCTTGAGGACTGCTGGGGTTTGGGCACGGAGGCTGTTTAGAGTTCTTTTTGGGTAGCCCCTACAAGCCGTAGAGGGCTTGATGCTTGGAGGAGCTACAAGTCAGGGCTTGGTGTGAGGACTTGCGATTGGGGCTTCAGAGCTATTGCCTGAACCCGGCTAGGACAAGGAGGACTGGCTTGCGACCTCCGATGCGAAGCATGGCGCCCAGCCACGCTGTAACATGTGTGGGCATAGGTGCAGGTCCTGTAGGTCTGTAGGTGGGGTTCAAGCTTTCAGGAGGCTTTCAGGAATGTCGGGCATCGAGCTTGCAAGAGTTTACCGTCAGAGTCGGGTCTCGTCTTTGAGCCCCCATAGGGTCGAGGTTGTGAGTACTAAAAGGAGTTGCAGAATGGTACCCATACTTGGAGTGGACGGCTTTTCCTTCAGGCGTGCATATGGAGTTCTTCAGTTCGCGCGGCAGACATGATGTCGAAGTCCCATGTCTCGGTCGTGTATCCATAGCGTAAGAGGCACCTCCTCAACTGCAGTCCTGTGCTTGTCACGATGAGAACAACGTCTTGACGAATTCGTGGGCAGAAGACTAGCTGAGGGTATTTCGTGCTTTCGCAAGGCTTGAGAACTGCTCACTCCCCAGGCCCAAAGGGGGTTCAATGATCATGGCGAGTCCAGCCAGGCCCAAAGACTTTGTGGCTGCCAACAAGGCCTCCTTCGGGCTGCAGCGGGTGTAGTGTTTAGGAGCGTTTAGGAAGGTACTTGATTGAGTTCATAGCAAAGAAGTCAAGAAAGCTGCTTTCTTTCAGCCTGGCCTGGAGTCCTTCCCTTACCATGGCACTCCTTGACTCATGATGGTACGGTTTCCTATGTTGGGTTCTTAGCAGCGGAGGTTGGGTCTCAAGGTGTGATGGGTGAACAAGAGCCCCTATCAGAGGTACCTTGTGAATGAGGTGAACAGACCAGGATATTACTAGCTCTTTTAGGAGAATTTAGGAGAGGTTGGGTCTTTGGGTTAGTTCAGGGTCCAGGAGTTTGGGGTGTTGTTCCCTTCATGCGGTACCTTCATGACTCGCGTGTTCACCTCACCTGTCATAATTTTAACGCTACGCGACCCGCCTCGGCCTGGGGGGGGCACACGTGTTGGCTAGGGAGGGTACCCATGTCAGCCGCAAGTGGTCAGGAGGTGTTGGGGAGGGGATTCGAGGTGGGGTGCCTGCTTTGTGCTCCCCATACAACGGCCCAAAAGTGCCAGAGAGTGAGTGATGACATATTACAATGCAAGATGTCATCTTCAAGAAAAAGACCTCTGTACAGCAATTGGTAGCTTTCACTCGCGCACTCGCTCCTCCTCCCCCCCCCCCCCCCCAAATCACACAAAGCCGGAAGACGTCCCGTGACATCCCCATATTTCGTTCCAAGAAATGGCGTCCAGTTTTCTGAGTTCTGGTGGGAGCACCAGGGCCCGTGGAGGAACCTTCGAAACCTAAAGCAGATGGGCCGAAGCTTCTCTGAGTGTCATGCTTGACAGATGACTCAACAGTCTCACACTGCTCAGAATGAAACTTCAACAACAGCTCCGCGGAGCACCCAGATAGTTGTGCCGAGCCTTGATCTCTACAGTTGCTTCCTGGAGCCAGGACAGCGATGCCCCTTGCTGCAGCCCCAGATTCGGCAGGGCTTCAGGGTTTCGGGCTTCGGTTCGGGCTTCGGTTCGGGCTTCGGTTTTCTCAAGGGATCGGATGGCCCATCAATGCCCATCATCTCATTGCACTTTGCAGTTCCCTGAAAATTTGGGCCACGAGATTGATTGATCACGCTGTGCGAGGTAACAGCCGCAACAGCGACAGTGGCGACAGCGAGGCAAAGGTGCGAGCCTCGGCTCTGGCCAACAACGGCCTCCTGCAGCTGCGAAGAAGTAAATCTGGGGGGTTTACGAAAATCGGGGATCCCGAATATAGACCCCCAAATAGCAGGATCCCCTTAAAATGGGACCCAATCAAGGATTTGAAGGAGGTTTGAGTTGGGAGTCGGAGAGCCCGTCATTTGCCACGCCAAGAGGACGCCGAGTCTGACCACTGGGTGCTGCTCACCATGCGGGGGCCCCGGCCTTGTCTGCCTGTCTGCCGCGTCCCAGGCTCTAGCCAGGACAACTCTGAGTTGTGCTCTCAGTTCTGACGCTAAAGGGCTTAGAGCGTTTAGGAACCAAGACCGAGGTCGAAAGGGAGTCGTGCAGCCTTGGGGTTTCAACTTGCTTGAAAGCGAAGCGTCCTCGTCTGCAAGACGTGGCAATCATCAGCTCCAGCGCCTACCCCATGGCAGGCCGAAGCCTGCTGCGAAAGGCACGGCCGCGTCGTGAAGCTAGCCCCGCTCCGGTGTTTTTTTCTACACTTCCTGCGAGTATTCCCCCACGACGAACCTTGCGCAAGCTGCGCCGTTCCTCGAGTGACCTTACATCTTCCCCTGTCCCGAAGCCCCACAAACTCGATGACGCCTGATAGACTCACCCTAGAACTTGAAAGCCCGTTCATTGCATCCGGCTTCCAAGAGAACCCTTGGCCGCCGCAGGCCGAGCCAAGCCACCAGGTGCTAAAGGCCGCGCCGGGGGGGGGGGGTCAGAGGCTTCTGGGTTACTTTGGGGGGAGATGTGGGTTTCCTTTCGACTTTCGTGGGTTTCTACAGGGTGGAAGCTGGTTTCGAGGTTTTTGACAGTATTGGCTTTTAGGGTTACGAATTCAGGCTTGCCTGAGGTTCAGGGTCTGAAGTCTTCAATTTTCAGCCTTGGGCCACAGGACGGCATTTTTTGGGATTGAGAAGGGTTTTGGATTCAAAGATCCGAGGTTGTAGTGCATCATTCCGGCCACGGTTCTGCTAGCTGACGGTCTGCTTCCAAGTTGACGGCTGGAAGCTGGTTTCCTTGCAACTCGATTGGCCAGATACCAAAACCTTAGCTCGCCTTTTTGAGCTTTTTGAGCCTGCGGCTCGGACCCCCCGAACGTGGCAGAAGCCTTGCGCCCTCTTTCGGAGCTCTGAGAAGGCAAGGGGCCTCCGCCTCCGCCCAAAGGCGGCCCAAAGGCAGGGAATGGCGAGAGCAGCAGTCGTCGTGTAGGGTGAGGCTTCTGGGTTCCTGTATCCTGGCATGTTGGCGCTTGCAGCTTTCGGAGGCGGGGAATCCACAGCCCAGTCAGCCCAGTGTCGCAAGGCGAAAAGTAAGCCTCCGCCACCGCCAGCGCCTGGAAGCAAGGACTCGGCCAGGCTCCGTGAGTTGCTGAAGTTATCGTTCACACTGCCGCCTTGAAAGGAAGGACGCGCTCCATGTCTCTCCCTCTCTCTCCCTCTCTCTCCCTCTCTCTCCCTCTCTCTCCCTCTCTCTCCCTCTCTCTCCCTCTCTCTCCCTCTCTCTCTCCCTCTCTCTCTCCCTCTCTCTCTCCCTCTCTCCCTCTTCTCCCTCTCCCTCTCTTTGCCTTTCTCTGCCTCTCTCTCCCTCTATCTCTCTCCCTCCCCTCCCCTCCCCTCCGGGGACCGAAGCGACGATCATTCCGACACGCAGGCAGCCTCCCAACCGAAGGCAGTCCATGGGCAAGGCGGGGGCGCTCTTGATGGGAGGTCCAGGCTTGAGGTAGCTTTTTAATTAGAGGAGTGTTTGGTGCTAGATCAGGATGTTTCGACCCCACTGCCACCCTGTGTCGACTCCAGCCCTTTGGCCCTAGGCTCAGGATCGTTCAACTCTACCCACGGCCCTGCGGCCTGCAGGCACCGCCACCGCCCCCTTTCGGCAAGCGTCTGCACTGGAAGCTGCCGCTTGGACAAGACTTTGACGTTCTAAACCCAACACCCGAGATAATCCGAGCTTCTGATTAGTGGGTGGGGGGCCCCCCCCCCCCCCTCACAATAAGGAATGCAGGGTTCCGCAATAGTTGGACTGTGGCCCTGTATTGATTCTCTATTAAAAACAATACGATGCAGATCCCTGAGGTGCTGTAGCTTTGCGTCTCCGCAAGCAAAACAAGAAGCCTGCCGACAGATTTTTGAACCCCCCCAAAAAAAATTCCTTTAAATGTGGGGGGTTTGTCCCATACGAAATCCAACCTAATGGAAAGTAGTCTTCCGGCGGGCTTCCGGCCAAAAAATATTTCTTTAAATGTGGGGGTATTAATTAATCAGATGCTCGGATTATCCCGATCCCGCACGCCTGAAGCCAACCGCGCGGGAAGCCCTTAACTCGCCCACTTCTAAGCCTCGCATCCCGACCCCCACCCCCTCACAGCCCCTACTTGTAACCCCACGAAGCCTTAGCACCAAGGCTTCCGCCGGCAACTCTGGACAACACTATCTTCGAGGAGCGTTGTGGAGTTTGCGCATAGGTTTTGTGCCTTTCGTGTTTGGGAGCTTCAAACAGCTGGGGCTTCAGCTTAAGATCTCTTTTGGCCGCGACTGCGGTCTGTCTTATTGATACGAGTCAGGGATGAGGGTCTAAGGCACTGCCACATCAGCAAGACCCAAAGCCGACTGATCAGAACACCCAAACCTGGCTGTGTGTGTGTGTGTGTGCCCTGGGCCCCATCCCACATCTGCGCTTCGGCAGGAGCTCCAGGCTTGGGATAAGGTGGCAGCGCTCTGAGCATCTTTGAGCACCTGAGTGACAAACCCTAAAGAGACTTACGCCCCAATCCCCTCAACCCAAACGATATAGTCAGCCTCACAGGCAGTGGCTCTCCTCCAAACCGAGAAGGAAAACACTGTTATTCGGTCAGTTCGTGCATGCTACTCGTATTGATTCTGTCTTCATATCTCTGCGGCATGGTCCAGCATGATGCCGTAGAGATGCCTGGTACTGTTAACGTCAAACCAGTAGGTCCTTGCAGATTAGGCCAAAGACTAGGCTGTTGGTGGGTTCGTTTTGGTCCTGTTAGAATCTGGAAGGTACGAACCGTCATAACAGACTGGGCTCATTGCAGTTTGCTAGAGGGAAGTTGTGGATTGAAAGCTTGCATGCCGTGACTTTGAAGTTCGGAATGTGAGAGTAGGAGGATGCTTTGTTACTTATTGCCCAGGTGGAAGTTTACTCCCGTGAGTATGCATCTCCTCTTCCGCAATGCATGACACTAAGTCACTAAGCCCGCAACCATCCTCTGCGAAACCTTTTTTTTGAACGAGGCACCACCCTTGGACACCAAGCAGCTGGAGCGGCTGTTTACCCCTTCAGAGCGAAGCCTAGGCAGCCTGTGCTGAGTTGTTCGGTCGGCTTCAAGTGTTGTGAGGGCGAACTTGTGCGTGTACCGCACGTTGTGTGCATGTAGACTCTGTGACGTCGAACCAGCTCTTCAAGACTTGGGGGATTCCGAAGTTAGGGGGTACATTATTGGGGTCCTTATAATAAGGGAATCCTGCTAACTTGCTATTTTAAGGGTCCCCCATTTTCGTAAACCCCCCCATAATTTGAAGAAGCACCCGAATCCTAAAAACTGCGGAGCCCCTTGTGGCCGCTGGTAGAAGGTGCGGGTGCCCCTATCACCTGCACGCCGGTCCCACCTGGAAAGTCCGGCTCAGGCTCGGCCTGGCAAAGCCTAAAGCCCTAAAGCCCTAAAGCCCTAAAGGCTTAAAGCCCTAAAGGCATAAAGCCCGAAACCCTAAAGCCCTCCTTGTAGTTTGAAGTACCAGTAAGGGGCCTCACAGGCCCATCAGGGCAGTCAAGGTCAGGAATTCGGTTGCACCTTTTGTCCGAGGGGTTAGGGTTTAGGGGTTAGGGTTTGGGGTTTAGGGTTTCGGGGAGAAGTTTTGGGGTTGGCCCTGCTCCGCTGTGGGGCAATCAATGCATTTTTTTGTTGACTGATCCGATCGACTCATTGCCCAACTGTTCGGTGGTAAGTTGGCAAGAGATTGTCCGGTCCAAAAACAAATGTGCGTCACAAACAAGCAATTTCATTCTTTCATTCTTTCAATCTTTCAATCTTTCAATCTTTCATTCTTTCATTCTTTCATTCTTTCATTCTTTCATTCTTTCATTCTTTCATTCTTTCATTCTTTCATTCTTTCATTCTTTCATTCTTTCATTCCTTCATTCTTTCATTCCTTCATTCTTTCATTCTTTCATTCTTTCATTCCTTCATTCTTTCATTCCTTCATTCCTTCATTCCTTCATTCCTTCATTCCTTCATTCCTTCATTCCTTCATTCCTTCATTCCTTCATTCCTTCATTCCTTCATTCTTTCATTCTTTCATTCTTTCATTCTTTCATTCTTTCATTCTTTCATTCTTTCATTCTTTCATTCTTTCATTCTTTCATTCTTTCATTCTTTCATTCTTTCATTCTTTCATTCTTTCATTCTTTCATTCTTTCATTCTTTTATTCTTTCATTCTTTCATTCTTTCATTCCTTGACACACACACACACACACACCTTTTTAAACTACAACGTGGACGTGTACGAATGCGCGCTGGGTGTTTCTACACACCGGCATGGATTCCCACTTCCTACCCGGGTTAGCGCCCTGGGATGGGACCATGACATGATTCATCAGCTAGGGCTTCGTCATGGAGCTCGTCGAGCGACAATACCGACATCGGCAAATTGATAGCAACAAGTGGCAGCTTGTGTCGGTTGACGGTGGTCATAATATGATGACGACAACACTGGGCCGCCTTTGGATCCACAGACGGCGAGTATGACAAATGTGGATTGCGAACATCGCAATGCGGGTATGAGTGACACTTTCGTGGGTGTTTCAATTCATGCAATGGCCAAAGTGCTATGGCCGCCGAAAAATCCACCAAGCTTAGTACCAAGCGCCGATTTCATGACTGACACCCACGTATACCAATATATAAACTGGAGGCCCCTTTTTCAAAGCTATGAGATGGTGATCCGTTGGAGTCATTGCGCTTGGATTGGCACCAGGCACGAGGAGGACAGGCGATTGTTGTGCGCGCCTGACACTTTCTGTGTGCGACAACGAGCAAGGACAGCTACAGGGCGTCTTTACTTCCATGAACATGAAGCTGTCCGAAACATCAGACAGTAGTGCAAGACCATAGAAGGCTTTCGAAAATGTCTGTATGCAATGTTGTCTTTATGTTTTTCCCCACCCTCGGTGTGGGGTTGTTAGATTTTTAACTCAAGTCTTCTCCTCGCCCGGAACTCTTCTCCTTCCCCGAAACTCTTTTCTCCTCGCCCGGTCTACTCCTCGCGCATCCCTGGAGTGCCCAACCCCAAAGTGTCCTGGAGTGCCCAACTCTAAGACTTTCTGGGGTGCCCGTCTCCCTGGAGTGCCCAACGCCAGAGGCCCAACCCCAGAGAGAGTTCCTCGAGTGCCCATCCAGAATGTCCCCGCTGCCCAGCCCCAGAGTCTCCCTGGAATGCCCCACCCCAGAGTCTCCCTGGAGTGCCCAACCCCAGATTGTCCCCGCAGTGCCCAGCCCCAGAGTTGCTGGAGTGCCCAACCCCAGAGTATCTCTACCAAAAAAGGGTGGCTTAAAATCTATATGCTTCTGAGGCTGCGTCCAAAAGGCCCAGTCTCGTCTAGCGAGGCTGCACGTGTTCTTCGCTTTTTTTGATGTGGGGACACTCTTGAGCCTGAAGAGACGGGAGTCTTGACAGGCAAGATGTGCCTCATGGACCCCAAACGGGTCGCACCGGCCTGTTTCGAGTTCGGCGTTTTTGGCCCAGAGTGGGCGCCAGGCTGACTTCCCCCAAGCATTGCAGAATCGCAAGGCAGAGTCTCTCCACACTGTCAATAACTAGGTCAGTAGAAACAACGCGGTACAAAGAACAGCTCGCTCTCAGGCTTCTGCTTGCCCGATCCTGCTAAGAGTTTTCATGCCGCTCTGTTGTTGCTCGTTGCTTGGCAGGCTCAGAACCTTGCGATTATTCTGCGGCAAGTTGCGCTGGCCTCAACTCGATCAACGGACCTTCCCTCACAAGCCACTCCGCAACTGCCCACACGTAGCCTCCCAAGCTACAGAGCTAACAGCTTTGGGATTGGGAGAAGCTATGAAGTTCTGAAGTTTGAACTTTCTTTGGATTGCGACTTTGGCTCAGTGGCGAGGAGAAGGCTTGAACCTTCTCCAAACCCAATTTCCAGTTCGAATGGAACTTGGCAACCTCCGACTCTGACCTCCGCACAGAAGTCCGAAACCCACAGCAGCTCCGCCCAAAAAAGGCGCTGCCCACAGAAGAGTTGTGCGATGTGGTGCGCGGCCTGAGGTGCGGTCACCTCATGTCTTTTCCCGTGAGCACACTGAGAGGTTTTCGTAGCTTCCAAGCCTTGCAAGCAATCACCCAGTAGCCAGGACCACAGGTTCTCTTGTCCCTTATCTCTTGATCTTAAATCGAACTTGTATAGGTTGGTCGGGGGTTTGGGTGGGAGTTGGGGCTTTGGGATTTGAGAATCGGGATGAGACTTCTGAGAATTCAGGGCGGGTTGGAGCGGAGCCCTTTTTAACGATGGCCCCTTTGATCCTCTGACCGCATAGACCCCATAAGGACCCCAATAAGGTACCCTCAATTTCGGAAACCACCATCTCAAAATGTTTGAGAGCCAAGTGTGTTAAGCTGTGCAGCGCAGGCTCCAGCATCCCATCAGCACCGAGGCCAGGTTTTGAAGTTTGGGGTTGTTGACCTCAGGCGCGCTGAGCATCGGATTCTCTTTTTTTTGGTAGTTCCGAAGTTCCGCAGCCGCCAGACTTTGGAGCACATCCACGAGTTCCTTCTGCCGCCTCTCCTGGAGCCCCTCGGCTATGTGGAAGTAGAGGTGCTTCAGGGGCTCCTTGTGGGGGTACCAACGAAAAACGGCCGCAGACATCTGAAAACTTCACACCAGCATGGGCCATCTGCAAAGGCACAAGAGATCCCGGAGCTCCTCGCAGAAAGCCCAAAGCCCTTCTGCCTTTTTTTGAAACCCTTGCAACCCCAAGATCCCTACTCAGAAAGCCCAGGGCCTTTGAAGCAAAGCCTTCACAAGGTCCACCGAGATGTTGGCTTCCTACGACGGGCCTACGGAGAACCTGCGTGACGTGGAGTGGTCCCCTGAGAAGGTCATTGGGAAACCGTGCTCTGAACGAGTTCCGGGGGACCTGGAGTTTAGAGTCCGTTTTCGGCCCAGGGTTCGTGGCTCTTTGTTCGGGCTTTGCGTGCTCGGCCGTCGAAAGTCTGTCCAAGGCGGCAGCTGCTGCCCTTGGCACGCATCCCGCGGCTGAAGGCCGCGGCAGGACATGACTCGCATGGAGCTCGCATGGGGTTTGCTGCTTTTTTTTCAGCCCACAAGTTGTCTTTAAAACAGCCGCCGGCGCCCCGGCATGCCCTCCCTGTGATCCCCAAACCCGGAACCCCAAACCCCAAATGCCTCAAAGTCAAAAGCGCTGCAGAGGCCCGAGTGAAGTGCCTCCTCTTCGGGAAGACGATGCCTGGGCTCAGGGCTGGATTGGAGGCCTGGAAGCCAAGATGCTGCCCAAAATTCCGGGTAGCAGCCAGGTATCCAACAGGAAGACTCTTAAACTTCCAGGGGTGCTGAGAGCAAACGATGGAACTTAGCAAGCAACAACAGCGAACGTCGCACGCCCAAAGCAAGGACCCCAAAAAGGCAGAACAAATGAAAGAAAGGAAGCACGAAGCAGGCAGAGCATGTCAAAGCCGAAGGCAACTGTTGGGCTCTTGACATTTTTGACCTTAGGGGTGGCAAGAATTGACAGAACCCCAAACCTGCCCCTCCGCCCCAAAAATTGTTCTGAGGCCCGCATCCGCACCCTCCAAGAAGCCTGCAACGAGGCGCGCGCCTCTTTGTTTTGGGCTTTGAGATGCTTTGAGTCTTTGCTGTTTGGGGCTTGCGGGCTCTTCCATGACAGCTTTGGATTCTTCTTGTTAAGTGGCGTTGTTTTCCTAAACCCCGCTGCCCCCCGACATCTTCAGATACACGGCAAAGGCATGAGAATCCGGTCTGAAGCTTCAGCAACTGAAGCCGCGCCGAGCCACCCAAGCCCAAAGCACCAACTCCGAATCCTTCTGAAGTGCAAGCCCTTGGCGTGCGCTCCCCCTTAACAGCCCCAATCGCCCCAACAATCCAGCACGCAGGTGCGCCAGAGCCAGGCGCTGAAGAGGATCTATGCCATGGTGCCGGAATCCCAGCACGCAGTTTTCGACCCAGGGATTTCAGGGGCTTCGTTTGCCCCCTGAACCCGAGGCAGCTTCAGGGCTCACAAGGACTCCTAAACTTGGTGTTCCCCCTTATACTTACAAATAGAAGGTACCCCCTATTACAATCCCTACTAAGGACTGTTAGTATAAGGAGGAACATCCCAATCCTAAACCTCAAAGCCTTGCGCCAAAAAGCGCTATCAAAAATCGAATCTCGGGGTCTTGGAAGTTTTTGCGCACTTCTGGATTGTGTTCTGGATTGTTCTGGACATTGGCGGCTTGACACATCCAATCCAGCACCAAGCAGGTCAGCAAGGATTGGGCACACCTTTCTCAAGAGACGTTGCATAAATTAGCTAGGTCTCAGATGCACATACACTGACATGGAGGTTTCCGAAAACAAGGGTACCTTCTGAGAATGCTTATTAAAGGGAATCCTGCTATTTGCGCGAACTTCCCTTATTTTCGCAAACCCCCACAGACACTTGACAAGGCTGCGCGTCGGGAACTACCTGAACCATGGCGTTGATGCGCCGGATGCTGGAGGCCGCTGCCCCGGAGCCAGCCAGAGAGTATGAAATGGGGGTTTCCCAATTTGGGGGTACCTTATTGGGGCCCGCTGGGGATCCTACTGCTTGGGGGTCTATTTTAGCGGTCCCTTATCTCGCAAAGTCCCACATGGTGCTACAAAATGGATGAGGAGCCCGTGCGCATCTTGTCATCTTCGTGGCATGTGAAGGGTTGGACTCCACAGCCAGACGAGAATTTGCTCACGTCCTTTCCGGTGACTTTTTTAACAGAGGGGAGGATCCACCAGCCGTACCTGCAGCAGAAATCGTTCCGCCGCATGTGGCGGGATCTCGGAGCTATCGGAGCCGCGGGCGCGCGTCGAACTGGCACCCGATAGCCAGGGGTCGGGGATGAAGGGTTTCACCACTGAGCCCGAGTCTACCGCCTGGGTTCACATGGCCCAGTTTTTCAAATCAAGTTTTTCTTTGGCGTGTGTGCGTGTGGAAGCCCTGATTGGGAGTTGTGTTTTGCCACTTTCAGCAATGCAGGGGAGTGGTGCACACTGTTGGTGTCACCACTCTACGAAGACACTCTTTCAGTATCGTGATATCGACCTGGCCCGAAATGCCCAAAGTTGTTGTTTCGTTGTCTTTGGCCACATTGTGATGAGCAGCAGATTTCAGGACTCTCGTGTGCTTTCGTCCGCATTCTGTGTTGCAGACGACAGCTGTCATGACTTCAGGTTCTAATACCGTGAATAGTGCTTCAGGCACACTTAGGTGAACTTCGTCCAGGGTCGTATATGGTAAACCAATGGTTCCCCAAAATTCCGTGTGTGTTCTCTCTGCTGTCGATCAGACAAAGTCATTAGTCCTCCGGAAACTTTCAAGTAGCAGACGGGTGCTATAGTCCCATGTGCAGCCGGGAATCCTTCTGGATAATATCTGGGGAATCTATCACGACCTCGAGGTCTGGAAGCGCGCGGTTTCGCGGTGGAGAGCTGCAAGCTCAGTTTTCAACAATGGCGGCTCAGCAAGTTCTGCTATTACAGAGAGTCAAGATGTACCGGCTGTAGTTTTCCGAGTAGCGGCGGGCCGTGATCCTTGCATGTTTAGCTGGCTTCACTTCCAATTGTGCTGCGCAGATCGAGAGTGTTTGCTGATGCTGGCATGTCCCGAGTAGACAGCGCGGAATATCTCACGAAGTTGCCACCCTTCGCAGAGTCATCATCGGCTCCTGGTCCTCAGAACATGCTCAATCCGCATCCACCAGTCGACGTTGCAGGACCTGCAAAGCCCCAGATGCCGAACGATTTGTGCAGCAATTTATCTTACGTAGTGCGAGTAGTGTCCTGGCAGGCATGCTGATGTAGTGTACACCTGGGGTGGTATCCACTGCACGACACCTTGGGCTAAAGCATTCTAACCTCTAACCGCGACGTTCTGATTGACGTGCCCAAGTTGCAAAGTTGCCCACGAACTTCGTGCTGAGGTCTGCTGAAGCTCCGCGATTTCCGCCAGGGCGGTGAGTCCTCAGCACTGCCCCAAGACCAGCAGTTGTTTCAGTGTTCTTGTGGGTAGCCCTTTCTCCCTGCGATGCTCGGGGTACCGAGCCTAGGTCACAGCTCTCCACTGCGTCGCGCTCCACCTCCTGCGCCTCGGGTGCAGATCTTCTTTTAAGCCCCTCCGGCAAAGTTCTTGGTGAGGGATGTACTCAACCCCTCTTGGCCAGATTACGGCTCGGGGTCTGGTTTCGACTTCGAAGCTTTCTGTGGAATCCCCTGTTCCTTATGCCCGAAAACCTGCTGCCTCTGAGGCCCATCGACCCGCAGCTGCCGGCAAAGTTTCGCGAGGAGCTGAAGGCAGCCCTTGAGGCCTGCATGGGGGGATTGCGGCTAGGAGACTACGACTCGAAACACAGTTCGGGGATGTAGGTGTGGCAAACTCAACGGCCCTTTCGGGATTCATCTCTTGGAGCCCTTGTGAAGGCCTCAGCTGCAAAATCCTGAGACCCAAGGCCTACCCGGGCCTACCCTCTGAACCATCCGGACTGCCTCCAACGAACCTTTTGGGATTTGGGGGGTTGGGATGTGGGGGGTTGGGCCCTGACCCCTCCGCCCACCTCCACCCCAAGCCCTACACCCAAAACGCCTCAAATGCACTGAGGCCACCAGATTCAACAGGAGAAAGAGCAAACTGTACCTGAATAGGGATATGTGGCTGCACTTGCCCAAGCCTAGGTGATACTGCAATCCCACTCTCATTCGTGACCAAGCCATGACCTCCAGGTCGGGGGCGATGCGACAGGCGCTTCTGAGGCAGCCTCAGGAAGTGCTTCCAAAGCTTGCTCCACATGTTAGAGGAACATCCTTGAAACCCCCAGAGCTCTACGCCCCGGACCGAGGTCGGCCCCTCCAGCAACATCGGCGAGCTGCGGGAAGCCGTAGGCAGCTGAAGCTGAGAAGAAGACTGCTGCTTGGGGGCGTACGGGCAGAGTGCCTCAGGCACTGGCACTTATTAGAATCTTGTGATGCTCTGCTTACGCCAGGGCGCTTTCGGCACGAGGCAGACCTTCTCCGTGATGAGGCATTGCGCTCCCTAAAGCCCAAACTGCAAACAGGAGCAATGGAAGCCCCTTCTCCAGCTTGGAGCAGGGCATGAGTTGAACTAGCCTCCAACTTTGCGAGACAATGCGCTCACGGCTGTCCATCTTGTTAGAATCTTGTTCCACACTTTGCAGGTAGGCATCGTCTTCTGTCGGCTTACTTCATGACATCTGCTAGCTCAAGAAACGATGATGATGCCCTAGCTTCCTGCCTTGCCGTGGTTGCCGCTGCTTCTGGTGTGATTCTTTCGAGGGTTGTTTCGACTACTCTCTAAGCTTGGAGCTTTTGGTTGAGTCTGGTTCTTGAGGTTCACAGACACACAGAGGCAGACGCAGAGGCAGAGGCAGAGGCAGAGGTGGCTCATGGGCGCTACAACAGTTCAGGGTCCAGGCCTCGAAACTCTAAACACGTACAAGCTGAGGAAGGCTGAGCTAAGGGGTGATAGGTAAGCGTGGCCAAGCAAGGCGGATCGACATGCTGCCTCGTACGACAACGTCGGAGGAGGCCCATGACATCGTTCTCAGCCTTGCACGGGCTTGCGTTTCTGGGGATGGCAGTAGATGGCATCCTGCTCACATTTTTCTGGCAGTGCCTTCGTAGATCTTCATGGCACATGCACGCTTCTGAGAGAGCCATGTCACGCGACCTTGGCTGATCGGCTTGAGCGTGTGTAAAAACGTCTGGAAGCATTATGCGTAAGCCCGCTAGTGGGCCAGCGATTCCTGAACGATTTCATGACATCTGGGCTTCACATTTTAAACCTTGAGTGCTTACCCGTGCAAACACAAGCGCCAGGACCCAATCAAGTTCTTGTAGTTGGTGTCATGCCCCAAAGAGCGTTTTTGCAAAGGCCCTGGAGGCCCCTCTCCACTGGCGACGCTCCAGCAGCTCGCCAAGGTTCCACACTTCTTGCCAAAATCAAGTTGTTGCCGCAGTTGATGCGTTAGCAGCAGCATCGCTCCAGGAATCCAGCTGAATAAGTTCCTAGCAAGCGGTGTCCAGGAGGTTTCTCAATCGTTAGTACTTGGATGTTGTGATGCAACAAGACATCTGAGTCAGGGGCTTTGCTCTGCCCCAATGTCCTACGGAGACCTGTCGGTAGTCAGACGTCGTGCAAAAGCTGCTGTACGGACTGTACAAAGGGGAAGCAGGCACACGAATAATTAGAATTTAGAGGCTGGAAACTTGAAGCCTCGGGCTTTGGTTCGATCGGTATTGCCGACGCTGTTGATGTCATCCTGCATTCTGTACAAGCTTTGCAGTGGAGCAGGGTTCCCTCGACAAATCTGGGGTTTCAGAGGGGCGGCTCCGGCTTTTACTGTTCGATTGATTATAAGCACCCTTGCCGCGTGGCAAGAAGCCCGGCATTGTTTCAGGATGCGACGCGGATGGCAGATCAGCTTGATGCGGAGGTGTCCGACGCAATTTCCGAGGCCTTGACACCTGTACCCCGGTACAGGTCGCAGCAATGGCATTTGGAGTTTCGCACCTTATTGGGGTCCTTATTATAAGGGAATCCTACTATTTGGGGGTCGAGTCTATATTAGGGTCCCTTATTTTCGTAAACTCCCATTTGATGCAGAAGATTGTTGAGCCTTGCACGTACTCGAGCGCCGGAAAAGAGGGCCCAAACATGAAGCCCTCAGAGCAGGCCCTCCGCCTACTCGAGTATTTCGGGGAGCGGCGCGGCGCAGGCCGAGCCACAGTTGAATGCACGAAGACTTTTTTTGTGTGTGTGTGTGTAGATCTTCAACTGTAGCGGCTATCAGTCCATAAAATTGTTGCCAGAGAAATTCTTCCAGCAGCACGTCTTGAACCGAAAGGCCCGCAAGGCACCCTGAACTGAAAAGAGAAAGAAGCTGGCCGGGCACCCGCTTTTCGGGGCGCACGGGACTAAAAGCCCTTAAACAGTGGATTTCAGATAGCTCCAAGTCAGTTTGGATGGAAAATCCAAATTAAAGCGCGTTCACGTGCATTCGCCGGGCACAGCTTGTTCACACATCCGCTCGCGTTCGTGTGCGCATGCATGCAAGCGAATGCTCAAAGTTTTTGGTTGTGTTTGTCCGTGATTTGGGACACTTGGTTGTTTTACCTCGTTCCCAAGGGTCTTATGGGTTTGTTTGGGGTTTGCATGATTTTGCTTTTGTCGGAGATGACGGCATGGTTTTCGCTTAGCACCATGCGAGTTTCGCATGTTCTGCGCTAGCAGGACTGAAGATGAGGAGGAGTAGGAAAAGTTTTGTTTTTTCAGGCGCGTTGGTTGACGAGCTGTGCATTGCCCACGCTTCTTCCTTGACATCTCTTCTTCAGTCCTGCGAAAGCAGAATATGCAAAAAAAATGGTGTTTCTCATTTTAAAGCAAAAGCGCATGACGTCATGTCCATGTTCGTACGGGCCCCCTACCCCCTCCCACAGCTCCTCGCCCCCCCGCCTTCCCCCCCAACCCCCACACACTAAAACCATGGCCAGACCAGTTAACAAAGCGAAGCAGCGAAGCCCACAGGTCGGAGGTCAGAACTTAATCCTGTAGTTTAACAGTGGTTGTTGCAGCTTCACCCACTTGGCTTGAAGCTAAGCTTAGAGGACCTCCTGCAACCACGTCTGGAACAATACGGTAGGTTAGTTCCTGATTGCCGAGCCTTGGAAATCCACTCAGCTTCCAACTGACGGTGCAGCCGACAGTGCCGGACAGTTAAGTTAAGTCCTCTGTCGTAGAGGTTGATACAGTAGTGGCTGGCAGACTATGAGCAAAATGCTTGCAATCTTAACCTGGATCTCAGTTTTTAGCTGTATCGCATCCGAAACATGAATCCCAGAATTTGTTCGGCTTGCGAGTCATCCGTACGGTGTGTCGTGTGCCCTGGCGCAGGAGTGAATTCTACAAGCAAGGTGGGGGGCCGAGGGTGTGCTATTAAAGGGGCAGGACCTTCGGAGTTGGCTTTGTGGAAAGGTCGTGAACTACAATCTTTCTATGGTTCTTTCATGGTCCTCACTTCGATGCCCTTTGGAGTTCTCTAGTCTCTTCAAGTTTGACACAGGGCTTCTGGACGAGATCCTCTGACTAGGTTGACTTCTGTGTGACACTGCTTGTGTGGTTTACAGCGTCAGCTGAGAACACATGAAAAACCCGGAGCCCAGGAGGCTACAGACCTCGCGAACCTCTGAACCCCAGCTCAGGAAGACTTTCAAATCTTTCCATTCGATGCCAGGAAGACGAGCTGGTGGAACGATTCTTCATCACGCTGAAGGACCCGGCCCGTGATCGCAGAAGCCTGATCCGCGTACCCCATGGCAGCCGTGGGATTCCCGGATGGCCAGCATCTGGTTTCCTGCCTACCCATAACCCTTGGCCTTGCAGCCCCCAGGACTTCGGCGTCTTGCTGGAGGTTGGAGGGGGCTGACGGGATGTTGGGGCGATCCAGGAGCCCAGAGCTTTGGCGTGCGGTGCGGTTTGGGGAAATTCTGGGCTGTCTAGGAGAAGTTAGAGAAGTGTTTGAGGGTTTCTGGGTGGAAGGCTTGAGGCTCAATCCAGAAAAAATCTTCTTTGCGTCTGCTAAGTGTTGTGGGTGGAACGGGCTCTGTGGTTTCGGCCAGTTGGTTGCTGTGCGTGTGTGCCAAGCCAGTGAGACTATGCGTAACTTTTGCCAGAAACCGTATGCAGGCTCGCCCCGCACTAGTTGCTTCGAAGCCCAAGGCACCTCCCATGTCGATTTTGTCTTGAGAACGCATGCTCCGTGACTTGTAGCCCCTGGAAAGGCGTCCTGGCGCGAAGTCGTTGCCACTGCCTCAGATCTGGGAATCATCATTGCAGCTTCAGGTCGGTCAGGGATTGGCAAGGTTGGGATCCATGTTGCTATGTCCTGCTTGCATGTCGGAGGTGTTTCGTAAACCGGCGCCAGGTCTCTACAACTAACCTCTACAAGTACCCAGATGTGGGGATGAGCTTGGGGTGTAAAGCCGTCGACCGACACATCCTATGTTCTTCCTTCCGGCCCACCTGTGCTCCATGTCTTGCTAGCATTCTGCACACCCGAGATGGAGTGTCCAATTGAGGGTTTCCGAACATATCGGGTACCCTTTTGGGGGTTCCTGTCGTAAGGATGATACTGTTTTGGAGGTATATGATATTCAAGGTACCCCCCCTGTTTTGTGAGGAGCACGGATCGCAGCTTGAAGACCCAAGGAACAGCCGAGAAAGCTTCGTTTGGAAGCAGCGGGCAGGGCTCTCAGACGCACATTGAAGGGCTACTCAAATTACTTCTGCCGGCTGCTAGAAAGAGGCCTCTAAGGGAATATGTCTTGGCCACTTTGAAGAGCCGTTCGTTTCTTCGACCCTCGGATTTAGTCTACGCCGCATGGCACTGGGGTTGAGTGGAGCGCAAATGCACGCGCTCCAACTCAGTTGATCCAACTCAGTTCCACAAACCCCAAAACCCACAAACCTCTGTTCCGCCTTCAAACACCTTAAACCCTAAACCCTAAACCCTAAAGTTGGCCTTCGGAACCCCGAAGTCCGAGACCCAAGTTGCCCAAAACCTCCCAGGTGTTTCTGCCGCCGCCCGGGAAGAGCCCGGGTGCTCTGCTGGATGTCTGGGGCATTCATAGGATGAAACCATATGATAAAATTAGAAGAAGTATACTAACACAATCATACAATAATATGACAATCTAATCATCGGACGAAAATAATAAGAATCAGAAAACACGAGAAGTCTAATAACATAATCATCAGAATATGCTCATTAATCAAAAGCTACAGCAATGTATTAAATAATCCTACAATCCTATAATCCCATAATTGCCACGAGGCTTTGACTCTTGCCGCTTGCCCTCAGGTTTCGGGATTTGGAGTCGCTCAAGCTGGTAAGCCCTGCAGCCTCAAGCCTCCCCTCCTTCCACCCACATGGCGGCCACGGGGCAAGTGGTCAAAGCAAGCATATCCGACACCCCTCCATCCGAAGCCCTCAAGCCTCACCTTGAACTATCCGAATCCCGAGCCCGGCGGACGCTGAAGCCCCACAGCCCCAGGCAGCGCATTTCCAGCCCCAAGACATCTGTGCCCGGCAAGGCTGAGGGCTGAGGGCTGGTAGTTATGACCGGGACAGTTCAAATGCCCGAGCCCTAAGCACCGACATTGGGCAGATTTATGCGGCACGAAATATGGCGGTTGAGGGTTGAGGAATTAGTTTGCGTTGAGGGGTTGAGGGATTGTAGGACTCGAGGCTGCCAGCATTCCGAGCCGGACCCCTCCCCCGTTCATCCCGCCCCTCGCGGCCTCGGATCTCGGATTGGCAAAATCAAGTTTCTCTTCGCAGCATCCGGCATCGTCTGATGCTCGTCCCTCGTTCTTGGATTGCCTGTCTATTTTTCGGGGAGGCGCAAAGGTTTCCGAGTGTCTTGGGGAAGCTTCTCAATGCAGAAGAGCCGTTAAAAAGCTAGAACTCCTCTGCAGGAGGAGAAGCCTGGCTCCGAAGATGCAGGCCTTAGCTGATTGAACTTTAGTTTGGGTACAGTGTCTGGGGCAGCACAGTAGCCTACCATACTTGGGCCTGCACTTTTTTTCTGCAGACCCTGATTGCAGTCAACTGCTTACGCAGACATCCAGTTGCAGCGCCAGGATCTGCACTTAATCCTGCTTTGGCTCTCGAATCCAAGCCCCCCCAAGGCCCGAAGTAACTTCTGAAATGACCAGCTCGTCGCTAACACCCAAGCACCCAAGACATCTCACGCTGCCGAAATCCAGAGATCCTCCGCCCCTTTCCGCCCCCTAACCCTGCAACGCCCGCAACGCCCTCAAGCCTCTATGCCACAGGGGAGGCGCCTTCCAAGGCCCCTAAGAAGCCGGGGCTCGGCTTTCTGGCGGGGGAGGCGCGCCGCCTGCGTTTAAATCTGCAAGAGGGAGATGCATGTCGCCGTGGAAACCCCCACCCCCCCCACCTTCCTTTCAAACATGTAAGCCTATGTAAGCTGTCAAAGGCCATCTTGGGCTGTTGCAACCGAATACGACGTCACAAAACGCTTACCCTCCAGCCTCAGAGCCCTGGCCAAACACCGCCTCCCTCGACTCTCAAATAAGCCTTCTCAGACTGGGGGAACCCTGAACCCCCGAAGCCCTGGAAGAATCAGATCAAAAAGGGACACATCAACTTTTTTCTGAGCCCACCGAAGGAAAGCCCTGCGCCAACGAAACCCGGCTCCGTCTGTCCCATACGGTTCATACGGCTTCTTCTCCTTCTGTCCAGAAAAGAGGCCCTGAAAGAGGCCCTGAAAAAAGGCCCTGAAAAAAGGCCCTGAGAAAAGGCCCTAAAGGAGCCCCGAAAGCACAGAGGCTGTGGCTGCAGTGCGCCGCCGAAGCCGCGCCACGCCTCCTGCACGGCCTGCGGCCTTTGCCTTGGCCCAGGCTGCAGGCGGCGGGGATACATCGGCAGACATCGGCTTCGCGGTGGCGTCCGGGGGTACCCACTTATCAAACTTTCCTCTGAGCTCAAGGTTGAGAGAGGTCGAGACTAGAATGTTGAAGTGCTTTCAGGTCTCTCGGGTGCTCCTCGTGTTCGCTGACGGTGCGTGGGCTTGTGCGCGTGGGACGGCCCTTTAACGTGGGTCTTTATTTTAAGGAACAGAAGGTGTACACTTTACTGAAGCCTATTGTCCGTCTTGCTTGCCCTGCTTGGTTTCATGCCAAGTGCTCTCTCATCCTGTGCGGGGGGGGGGGTGGGGGGGGGGTGGGGGGGGGGATGGTGAAACGGGCTTATTGGAGACATTTCCGGCCGAGAGTTCCCTGGTCGTTCCATCCCCTCAGCTTGCTGGGGTCGGGAAAGGGGGGGCTTAGGGGTCTGTAATGGGGCGCGGCCGATATTAGATATACATCCCTAAGCCCTAAGCAAACACCACGTATTTCGGATTAGTTTTGATGTTTTCTCTCAGCAGGATAGTCAAGGTTTCGCGCCCCCAGAGGGGGGGGTCTGAAGTGGCTTTTTCGAATTGGCAGCCAACCCCTTTGGGGCAGACCCCATTCCAGACCCCTTCAGGGTCTAAATTGGGCGTCCCCAGGCCCACCCCATGACAAACTGAGGGGATGTCGTTCCCGCACGCACACACAACTTTCATGGCTCGCCCTAGGGATTGAGGGTTTGGCAGGACCTTTGAGGGCTTCACGTTCTTTCTTTTCTTGTTTTACCGGAACATTGCTACAGTTTGCGCGCAGGCACTTCGGGACCCTCGTGGCTCCTGCGAAATGGGGCGGCGGCGTCTGAATTGGATTGAGGATTAGCGCGACACCGGGCATGGCGCCCAGGATTCTGTGCCGCCAAGCAGTGTAACATGGTACCTCATATGGCAATGGCACGACAGCCTCTTACAGACCCTCAGTCTCAATATGTCTCCATTGGCAAGGCGAGAAGCCCGCAGCTCCTAACCCGAACTGCACGAAACTGATCAGTTCAAACCAACACAGAGAGAAGTCGATGCCCAGGCTGGGCAGCCGAGACGGAAACCTCCACCAACAGAACATACCCACGCTGACAATGCTGCGCCCCAGCTGCCCTTGTTCAGCAGTAGGGGCATGAGAAGTTTGGGCAGTTCACGGAGTTTGGGCGTATTTGGTGACCTTTCTACACCCTAAACACCAAACCCTAACCCTGAGACGCGATGACAAGCCTGATAAGCTGGTGCACCGCACGGCGTGATGCGTGCCTTGCAGTCTGATCTGGCACAGACGCCGCAAATAACAAAGAGAGCCACAGTCAACATACGTTGAACGTCGCGACTCGGCAGGGTCACTACGGTGTAGAATATTCAGCGGTTTGTGGAATGAACTTTGACTGTAGCTCAAAGATGTCGCAGCCAGCCCGGGCAAGTTTGTACAGATGAATTGCCAGCACAGAGAAAGCAACCATTTATTTTCCATTAAGCGCTTCATGCTGTTAACCTATGGTTGCTTATGATTTCCCAGTGTCGCGGACAGACCTTGTAGCATCGCCGGAACAATGAGCAGCTTAGCTGTTATGTCAAATGGCCTATTCCCTACACCCTGAACCCGGTAAACTCCAGAAACCTCCTGAACCCATGGCTTATGAGATTGCGCAGCCGATGCGCTGGTTTTTTAAGCTACTGGATTGATGTTTCGATGCATCATCTATGACCCCTTGCAGTTGGAATGCTCTTCAGGCCCCAATCCCAAAAGTGCTTTTTTGCCTGCTTTCTTTGTGCAGAGAGATCTTTGAGGCTGCCTGAATCTCATGTCGGCAGCAGACCGCGTGGTAGTGGTGCCTTGGAACCTCTCCATCTGTTCCTGAAGAGTAGCTGAAGGCGTGCGCGAACATCACAGGTTTGCAATATTTTGTAATCTTGGAAGCCCAATCATGGAGCCTGGGGTGGGTCGGAGGTGGGTTTCGGGTTTAGGGTTTGGGGTTTGGGGTTTGGGGTTTAGGGTTTGGGGTTTGGGGTTTAGAATTGCTTAGGTGCAAGGAGAGGTTCGGCCTCCAGCACCCAAACGCCGAAAAGCCTGAAAGTGCGGGTTTAGCGTTTAGGGTTTAGGGTTTAGGGCTTAGGGTTTAGGGTTTAGGCCTTTACACTCTATCCTGCATACGCAACATCCGGAACTGCAAAGTCTTCCTCCTGTTAGGCGTGACGAACCGATTCCGACCCAACCCTGCCAGAAAAGGAAGTGAACCCAGCCACTGCCGAGCCACCTCTGCTGCCACTCCGCACTTTTCCTGCACGTGTGCTGGCACAGCATCGAGTTTTCAAAAGCAGACCGCACACAAAGTTCAGCGCGGCTTGTTTTTCACGTGTCACAGAAGTTTGATGCTTCGCCATGGGCCCATGAGAGCTGTGTCTTGTGTGTTGAAGTTATATATACTACATCGCAGCCAGCTAAGTCAGGATTAGGAAGCCTTGGGGGTTCGGGCTTGCAGGCTTCTGTTTCACAGGCATGACAGGTGGGTTCCGGGCTTACAGGGTTTCAGCAGACGTCGATGAGGTGGAGCATGAGTCGGCGGAGCATGAGTCGGGGCTTGCTGCATCACTCGTTGCTGTCTGCTGCGCGCACGGTTGTACAAAGATATTGCAGGTTCTGCAGTGACACTCCGTCCGAATTAATGAAACTCTTTTCCGGCAAGAGAGTAGGGATTCCAGCATTCCTTAGCAACCCGGGAACCCGGTACCGCAACCTTTGGTGGGTGAGTTTGTTGGACTTTGCCTTAGAATCCGAAGAGTAGGGTTTTCAGGAACTGAGGTTTGCTTCAAGCCGAAAAGTTGCAAAGCCACGTTTGCAGGGGAAGGCCCGTCGTCCTCTCCCACCTGAGCCACTCTTTCACGCAGCAAAAAGAGCGAGTGAGTGTGCTTGTGTGAGTTTAGGGCGCAGGGGAAGGTAATCATAGCGAAGGCAAGTTGATCCCATACCCCGAAACCCCAAATCCCAAATGAATTGCAAAGCAGCTTTCCGAAGGTCCGGTTTCGGTTTCGGCTTCGATTGGGCTTTTTAGGGATTCAGGGAATTCTCTGGGGCATCTCCGAGATCGTCATCGATGCGGGTGCTATGTAGGACGCGTGTTATCAGAATTGCTTTTCTTACAACTGCTCTAACGCCAAGGCGATTTAGAACGAAGCCTGTGCAGATATTTGATAGGAGACTGACATACACGAAAAGTTCTATGCTCAGAGCAGGAATTCAAGCCCCAAGTCCTGAAACCTGGACACGAAGCTTCGACCTCCAGCAAGAGAACAGGCGCAGCGGAAACCTCCTGCTGAGGGCTGGGGCGCACAGGCAAGGCTTTGCAGGGTTGGCTTCAGGCTGCAGGGTTGAAGATTGGGTCGTTCCCTTGTAAGGTCGCACGAGTCTATGCGGTGCGCTGCGACTTCTAACGGAAGTTTGACCGCCAAGCCGAGCATCACGAAGCACAGAGTCGCACCATGATAGAAATGAGTCAAGAGCGCCAGCTGCCGGATGTCAGTTGAAGACTCGCAATTGGGCGAGCATCTGGAGTATCAGCGGTGGAGCTGGCGAGCACCATCACAATGATCAGCCTCGACCACACAACTCCACCTATTTGCATCAGCTGCCAAGGAGATCGAACAAGCTGCCGATAGATTCGCCATGTAATGCGCGCAGGCGAGCGTTATAACAATTGGATCCCGGGGTGCCACAACAACCTGCTCAAGGCAAGAGCATCACCGATGGCTGACAGCCACTGAGGGTGCTCACCCACACAGCCGGCGAGCGAGCATCGTGAGAGCATCAGCTTACCCCAACCCGCACAACAAAAACATCATGAGCATCAACAAATCCCAGCCAAACAAGCATGAATCATGAGTATCAGCTGCCAAGGTTCTCACCGCCGCTACCCACACAATCGAGCCATGGCCCTCTGAGGTGCTCACAAAACTCGCCCGTGGGCAAGCATCGGGGGCCCCTCTACCCTGCCTCCCGACGAGGGGACACAATGATCAGCTGCCGAAGTGCTCTCCCAATCAACCCGCGTCGGGCGACTATCATGAACAACCTGTATGCGCGAAGGCGAGCATCATGAGATATCAAGGGCCACGGTTGGTTTACCATGGTTCCTGGCCAGGCGAGCATCATTATGTCATGAACATTGGCTGCAACATTAGCGTGTGGACCTGCTGCCCGTGGACTCGCTAGCTGTGACTGCTAAGGCGCTCACCCACACGCACACACGTGCGAGTTTCATGCAAGCGAGCATCATGAGCATCGGCCAGCCGGGGCCCTCTACCATGGAGGCACTCGCCCAAGCAACTTGCGCAGGGGCCCTCAAGCATGCATGCCGGGGCCGGGCGAGCATCAGCCGACAGAACCCGACCAGAATCCGACCAGACAAGCGCACGATGAACGCAGGGTCGTAGAAGCAGTGCGATCAGGGAGGAAAGACCGACTTGCAGATTCAGACAACCCTGCCCAGGCTGGCCAGCTTCTGACCACCCGCAGCACGCAGCGGAAAAGGCAAGACCAGAGGCCTGGGACTTTTTGCAGCCTCCTTTCTCTCTTTCGGGCACTTTAGGGTTCTCTGCATATAGGATCAAGACAAGGAAGCAGAAGATCATACAGTAAACCCCAAACCTCTGAACCAATTCCAGCCCTGGAAGCTTGGAGGAACCTGGCTGCCCTCAAGCGCTTTGGGGCAGGAAGCCCCAGTGAGCTTGGGCTTTCGGGGCCCTCCCTCAGGTAGCTTTCGGTTGGAGGAATTGGACAGGGAGCCCTGGAATTCTGTGCCTTGACTCACGCAAGCCTTGGACATGAAATGAAGTTAACAGAAGTGAAATGAAATTAAGTGAAGTGAAAATGAAAATGTAGCGAAGTGAAATTTCATGAAATGAAGTAAGTTGTTGTTGGTTGTTATGGTTGTGATTGTTGTTGGTAGTAGGCAGTTCTTCTTCCACCCAGGTTTAAGACGACAACTAGCGATCAGGAAAGGGTAGCTCCCGATACCTGTAGTACGAGTGGTGAGAGGCACTTGCTGCTGCTGCTGCTGCTGCTGCTGCTCCTGCTCCTGCTCCTGCTCCTGCTCCTGCTCCCCCTCCTCCTCCTACTCCAACTCCTACTCCTACTCCTACTCCTACTCCACTCCTACTCCTACTCCTACTCCTACTCCTACTACTTCTGCTCCCATGATACATTGAATGATACATCACCCATGAACTATTACCCTTTCCATTCCCGCGATTAACTTCTTAGTCACACAAGTACCAGAAGTAGCAAGTGGCATAGGCAGCATAACCAGTATGAGTACAAGGAATGTTGAGTAGTAATGAGTAGTAGTTAGCGGCAAGTCGTAACTGTAATTAGTAGCAGGCAGTAGCCAGTATTAAGTAGCAGGAGAAGTAGCATTTTCAGGAGTAGCGCACTAGTCGTCGTCGCCGTCGTCGCAGTTTGGCTTTTACTTTCTGCTTGGCGCTTTAAGGCCAAAGGCCTCAAGATCGAGTTTGGAGCCGGTGGAGCGCAGCGCCTTGGCAAAGTAAGTGTCCTCCGAGGGCCATGCCTCAAGAACACTAACCACACACAAAGTGCAGGGCCATGTCTCAAGCGCACACGCCCGCACACGACACGCCCGCACACGACACGCCCGCGAACGAGACGCCCGCACACGACACGCCCACGCACGACACGCCCGCACACGACACGCCCGCGCACGACACGCCCGCACACGATGCGCCCGCGCATGACACGCCTGCACACGACACGCCCGCGCACGACGAGTGCAGACGACGAGTGCAGACGACCGGACACGACATTACATGACACGCACACTCCCGCAATCGTTCACCCGCACGGGCACACACAAGTATATGGCATGTCTGGTGAGTGCGCACACACAGAGACACGCGCTCCCGCACATGCGCACACACATATACACACATATGCATCTCCAAAATACACAGCATTCTGAAGAATCCAGCATTTTGGAGATGTTTTGGACAGTTGCCAAAGCAATGCTTCATCTTGTGCATGTTTCGGCAAACCCACCAGCCATGGGCATATCACAAACCGCGGCAGAACCTGAATTTCACTAGGCCCGTTCCCCCCCCAGCGACTTGCTCACGAACAAAGTGCTTCTTACAACTCCTTGCATGCTACTGTTACACAGTAAATCCGCCCAATTGCAGCATCAGACCATACAGGTACGGCAAAACAAATGTGAAACCTTCCCGCAAGGAACCAACGAAGCCACCAAGCAATCGAACCATGTGGACAGCACAATATGGGGATTGACGAAAATAGGGGACCCCCAATATGGTCAAGCAATAAGGTACCCCCTAGTATCGGAAAGCCCCCCCCATATTGCTTTATATTGCTGTCGTCGCAATCCTCGCTTGAATGCCCTACGCTTTGCGTCTCATCAGGGCAAGTGCGGAGCCGACGGCAGGCCACCTCTGGGTTTTGGGTGTTGGGTTTAAGGTTTAGGGTTGAGGGTTTAGGGTTTAGGGTTTAGGGTTGAGGGTTTAGGGTTTAGGGTTTACGGTTCGCGAGGCATGCACTTCAGATGTTTGCATGAACCGCTGGGAGCAGCACAGTCTAGAGTAGCTTCCGTGATGTCGTGTGCGTGTCAGGCCTTTGTGAGAAGGACTTGTTCTCTGCAACAACCAAGACCCACCCTCTGCACTTTCGAATCAAACAAGCACGGAACAGCATGACAGCATCCTTAAGCAATCCAGCTGATGAAGTGAAAGAGGCATGAGCAACAAGAAAAAGCGAACACGTGGAAACAAGAACAAGTATTGACAGCACATGTATTGCATGTGCTGATTCATTGCTTGCCTGTATTGCTCTCCATTCTTTTCTCCAGTTCGGAAAACCTTTATTAGTGAAGGAAGTGGAGCGCCCGCGTCCTCTATTCATTTTACTTCATCCGAGTTTCCTCTGATCTACATCTAATTGTAGTTTAACCTGATTTGTGAATTAATTAGATCGGTGTAAGATATCGCGATTCCAGAATGCACGACTTTGAGTTGCGTTAATTGGCCCTGAGTAAGTCTTGTCTTTCTTTGGCTTTCACAAGAACGACTGTTAAGAAGCTGCGAGTAGAGCTGTTTTCGCAACTCTTCGGGGGGCCCTGGTGCCGAGAAGGGCAAGAATGCCCAGTCTCAGTCGTAGTCACTGTTTGTCCTGCCGAGAAAAAAAAAAGCCCCCCAGCAATTCTCATGGACCTTTGCCCCCTAGATGCGACGTGTGTAGACGAGGATCAGTGCAGCCGCTTCGGAACGATGGAATTGTCTACAATTGTCTGCTAGGATTCACTGTGAGCTTGTTCAGGTTGCTTGATCCTGCTGTGCACTGCATGAAAAAGAGAGATGCTTCCTTGAATCCTGAATGCCAAAGCCATCGACTTGGGCCAGGTAGCAACCACTTGGTGCCTGTGTTTCTGACGGACACCATTCGTGACTTCAAGGCCGCCCCCAAAGCCCCACGAAAGGCAGAGCCCGCAAGTGTCAGGTAATAAAGAGGTATTGAGGACCGAGGCAGGCTTCAATGCAGACATCCTGCTTCCCCGACCCCCCCCCCCCCCCTCAGCCTTTAGGACTGTGTAAAGAGGCAGGTGCCGCCCGAGGCAGTAAGCCAAGTGTGTTGGGGTTTCAGGGGTGGGTTGGGGAAGAAGGCCGTGCACATCCGTGCACAAACAGTATCAGAGGCGTAGGCGAAGGTTTGTCCATGACCAGACATTTAAAAGAATCCTCTCTGGGCTTAGCCATGGGGCATCGCCAAAGCTGGCCGGGAGCTCCCCAGCTGTCAGGAGAAGCTTACAGATGCGTGCCGCAAGGAGTGTGAGCCTTCTCCTCAGTTTCGGATTTGCACGGCCTGTGGTTGTTGCATTTTTGGCGGTTCTTGAAAGAGTGCGCATGATTGGGTTCTCATGACAGACTGGCAGAATGAGATAGGCAAGATTCGGGACCTCTTCCTGTCCGGTTTAGGTTCTCTCAGTGTCGTGGTTCTGCGGATCCACGCTATGCATGTGGTATACAGGTCTAGAACAGGAGAGGAAGCGCGTCATCCGCAAGCCCCGAGTGTTTCACCGTCGCCCACACTTCCCAACAGTAGTTCAGGTTTTTGCCATTCTGTTTTGCACACAAAGCCCAGAGGCCTTTGTCATCAAATCTCAGAGACAGTCTCTGAGCTGTAGGAGAGGGCGCCTTCATGGCCCCTCCCACGTCCTTGTTTCGTTTTGTTTCGGTACCTAAGTTGACCGAGGTTCTGGCGCAACCGCGGTGAAGTAGACACGGCGGCGAAGTGCGCCCGCTTTCTCGCACAGGGTTTGGGGTGCAGAGACGTTTCAGTGAGAGGGGCCGGCTTGGGCCTCGGCAGCGTTTCCGAGCCCGTGTTCATAACCTAAACCCTGGACAGGTTCGGGGACATTGAGATGAACCATCGCTACCTGGTCATGGCCCATGTCCCCTCGGACAAGGCGGGACCCATCTCGTCGGTTGATAAAGGGCAGCACAAGCGCAAGAGGTTTGGAGTAAGATCGTGCTATTTGAAGCCGAGGGAAATGGGCAAGCAGGCAAGACCAGAACGATGCTCTTGTCCGAAACATCAAGTGCGACTCAGATTGAGGGAGGAGCCACATCTCGACTCCGTCAATAAGCACATGCGCAGGTGATCCAGATGCAGAAAAAGGGCCTCCAAAAGAGTAAGGAGTACATGCACGCGTTGGGCACTCGGGGGCACTCCGCTGTCTCGCTGTTGGCACACGGTTCCTGAGCTAAACCCTAAACCCTAAACTCTAAGCCCTAAACCCTGAACCCTGAACCCTAAACCCTGAACCCTGAACCCTAGACCCAAAACCCTCAATTTTCTTACAAGACCGAAGCGAAGCCCCACGAAGCGGCGAAGCAGCTGCGACGCCGAGGCAGGAGCTCTCCCTCCAGGACCGATGAGCTGGGAGCCTCTGGACTTCGAGCCGCGTGGCTCGCATGTGTTGCATAGTTGATTGGGATGTTCCCCCCCTATACTAACAGTCCTTAATCCTTTAGGGATTCTAGCACCCCCCCCCCCCCCCCCCTTTTATAGTCTCCAAGGTGGTTTGAGGGAAGGCTCAGACAGAGCTCACGACTCGGGGGTTTGGGTTTCAGAGACAGTGGGGGCAAGGAATCAGGTCGAAAGTCGTCTGTGGCTTTTAAACTAAGGCTTGGGCCTTGGAAAGTGCAAGCTGATGATGCGAGTGTCTCAATGTCCGCGTGCAGCCGTGTTTTTGAGGTGTACTGTAGTTTTAGAGAAGCTGCAGCCAAGATCAGATGATATCTATGGGCCAGGTTTTCCCAACGATGGTGCCCTTTGCGGCAGCAGACAACTTCGAGGATACCCCACATGCTCCAGTCCTGAAGCACCTGGACTGTGCTGATGCTGAGACCCAGCGATCGAGGTCCAAGCGGAGCATAAGAAGCGACCGCAGGTTGCAAGATTTTCTGAAGTCGCAGAGCTTCTCGGAAAATGTCAACGAACCGCGGGTCATGGGGGGACGGCTCATCTTTCCTCTCCATATTGCTGCAAGACTGGGATATCATGAGATTGTCGACCTACTCATCAAGGCGGACGCTCAGGTCGACATGAAGAACTCATCAGGGCACACGGCCCTGGAAGTGGCACTCATGTCGGACAGAAGCGGCTCCCACCAACTCGTGGTGCACAGGCTGACAACTCAAGTCTTGAGCGCTCGGCAGGCTGCTCATATAATGGGCACGAAAGAGGCATGAGGAGAGCCGTATCCATGCTGTGTGATCGCTAAAAGTTCGACTGTGACGTTCCTTGCGCCATACGCCTGACGCATCAGCGAGCTTGAGCCAATAACCCATCACGCAGTCTTTCAGCAGAGTTGTCCTGGCCAGTTTTGTGCTGTACATAGCTGAACCAGTGCTGATATCACCATAGCCAAAATGGCATCATGGGCATGGAGCAGTAGTGCACAATGCAGATATCATCTTCTGTTTGCATGGGAGCTTCCGGAAACATGGGCTGAGGAACCTGTTCACCATTAGGTCCAGCCAGGCTTAGGGTGCAGGAGTCCTTGCAATAAGAACCCCATGAGAAACCTCCTTTTCGGAACTCCGGAATTATGGAACATGGGTGTTGTTCGAAATTTTCCTGCCGCCAAAGGTGGCAGCTGATGCTCAAGCCCTGACGTTTTACTCACTTTCAGGTGTCTTGGCAGACCCCGCGAGCAGTGCATGCCCAGGAAAAGCCTACAGCTCAGCAGGGCTCCGCAAAGCTGTGCTTTCAAGCCCTCAGCACTCCTAAACTCGAAACGATGCTCGACCCGAAGCCCCGCAGGGTGTTCGTACGGAGTAGCACACAAGTCTGTATGTAGGGTTTGCTTAAGTGAAAGCACCGTCCTGAAATCCGTCTTACACCTCACGTCAAGATTTCCAAGCTTCGAGTTTCAGGGTTGTTGGGGGTGCGGATGAAGCGTGCTGGAATGCAACCAACCCAGGAACGCCTTTTCGCAGTATGTCAGCAAGGTCCCGGGTGGGCCTGGATGTTCCTGTGGTGCAGTGAATTGACGCTTTGAAGCGGCATTGGACTTCGAGGTTCATGTGGATGATCACGGTAATTGCTAAGCGGTTGTAACATCGTTTGCGACATGCCTTCAAGAAAAGGTGATCTATACTGAATGGGCTGTACACACACACACACACACACGCCCACACAGACGCACACGCACAGGAAGACGCGCACGCACATTCCCCATACGCACCAAAGTATTGACCAAGAATGATTTTGGCCGTGGTCTTACTTGGGGAATGGAGCGGTTAGGGTATTTGTTAGGGGCTTGCAGCGCTTCCGCCCAGTTACACAATCAGCTGTTCAGAAATGGCTGTTTTTGCATAGACGCTCTGTTTTAGCATGGATTGGCTTTGTTTGGTGCGAGCTTTGTTTAGCGGGGTGATGGCCCACGCCGCATTCCTTGACAGCAGTTGCAACAGCTGCTCAAGTTTTGGGAAGATGTGAACAGCCCAGCCCGGAGTTTTGACAACATGAGTTGATGCGTCTGAGAAGTAAATCTCTGCTTTCCGGAGCCCTTCTCAACTTGTTTTGACCTGTAAGGAAGAAGCTTGCTCTTTCAGGATTTGCCGGCTTGAGGTGTTTATGGATGTCTGTGATTGAGTGTTTCGCACTCGTTTATGGGTCTTCAAGTTGGGGGTTTCGGTAGCATACTTTGCCGGCGGGAAGCCCTAAATAAACCCTAAACCCTAAACCCCAAAGGCCCTAAGCTCACTTCTGTTGCGCAGTTTGGCTTCGGTAACGGCAAAGTGATGCTCCGCGTGGTCGAAGCCACGGAGGGCTACAAGGCAGTGTTGAAAGGACGAAACAGCCATATAACACACATAGTCATATGTATATATACATATTTATGTATCTATATTAATAGAGTAATATATAAGTATACAAACATTAATTAGAAGATTAATATACTGATAAAATAGTACAAGAATATCGTACGTTTGTAAAACAATAATATAGTACTATAACTGTATAACAAAATGAGTAATAATACAACATAATGGTACAGTGAAAAACGAATATAGCAATGTAATAATATAGGAAGCGTCTGAGATTGCAAACATCAGAAGGCTCTACGAACTTTGAGGATGGGAAAATGTCAGTGCTCAACCGACCATAAGCCTAGCTTTGTCCCGTCATTCTCTTGACGATTGAAGCCGCACGGCGGTCTGGAGCTTGGAGAGAGTCCATGCCTCTTGCAGTGTATGAGGGCGTGTCGAGCTGTAAGAGTGTGTTTCGGCCTGCGAGGCCTTCGGTTTAGTTACTAACCCATCTGCCGCTAGATCAGATGCAGAGGCTAGGATGGCCAAGCCCATTAAAAAAAGCCCTGCAGCTCACCAAGATCTCCTGTCAGGCAGTAAACCCTCGCTACCAGAACTGGCTGCGAGACAAGCGAGCCACTGCCTTGAAGGCAATCTTTATTCTTTGGGGGGGGGGGGGGGCGGTTTGGGGAGTTGGACACGGATTGCTGCGACAGGGGATTCACCTGGGTTGTATGGGTAGCAGGGCGTCTAGATCGGCAGCCGCCACGGGAATATACAAACCAATGCCAAGATAATGGGAATCAGAGAGATGTGAACGAGACAGAGTTCGGGTGCCGGCCACATGTAGAGGACGTGACATACTTGAAGCACGTATATTCCCTTAACACTTTACATTCGTGAGGGATTCTCCAGACCTCCCAGTTCCTTCTCCTTCATGACACCCATTCTAAAGCAGCTTTTCCTTGGGTGATCAGAAATTTCTCATATAAACATATCAGGTCCCGCCCTCCCCTGCAGGACTTGAACGAGGTTGACCGGTGTTATGGCTGGGCGAAGTATGTCCACAAGGCACCGTGATCCCACAACCTGCATGATTGCGGAAGCCCCCCAACCTTCAGTGGGCTTTGCCAGGACCCCAAGCCAAGGTTCGCCGAGATCCTGAATTCCCGGAAGCCCTGGACCTCCGATAGGGCCCGATAGGGCATTTAGAGTTTAGGGTTGCGTTGTTAGTCACGAGATTGAAGTGATGCGGACAGCGCCGTTTCAACCATCGGTTCCAGGAGTCACTTCCAAGTCTGTAGATTCTGTTCTAACCGCCCGACTCCTCACCCCCAAGCCCATCGCAGTGTGTCGACAGTCCGTTGCTTGGCCACTAAACTCGAAAGCCCTCAGGCGGACGGCAAGCAGAAGGCACCTGATGCCGGACAGAAGACCGAAGCTTGGGGGCAATAACATTTTGACGTCGTTTGGCCACTAGCCATACTCCCAAGATGCTCATGGTCCATAGTGCAGTGCTCCAGAATTCACGAGGTCTTTCGATCTCAGCCTTCAAAACCCGAATGGAATGTCTACACCGTCTATGTACCCGTAAACACTCCAGACCCTGCATCCGTTGTGAGCAATCGATTAAGGGACTAAACGAGGGACTATATAAGGCATGGTAAAATCTATACGGGCTTTTTGGAGACAGATTGTCCACCCCTTAAATCAAGGATGAGACTGGGCAGAAACCCGGGGCTGGCGAGTCGGTCGAGTGGCGCCCGGCAATTCTCAGCCTCTTGGCAAGACAACCTTTGGGTTGAGATTCAAGGTGTAGTACGGTGTCGTAGAAGGAGTGGCAAGGTGTACTACGAGGGATGTGAAGGGGGGGGTGGAATGTGTAGGGCCCAACGTTCAGGGCGCAATGCCGCAGAGAGACCTTAGAAATGGCAGATGGCAGGAAGCCAGGTCTATCCGCAAAGTCCAAAAGAAGATGATCTCAAGCTGGCCCCTTCTGACAGCTGCAGTAGAACGCCGATTTAATGGGCTTTGTGGTTTGGAGAAGGCCTTGGAGGCCCGCTTTGCCCGCATTGGCCATCAGGAAAAGTGCCCAACAACTCCAACGCCTTCGGGGTGGAATGGGTCCACGGAACGCGGGAGCCTCGAGTACTCTGACGCGAGTCCCTTTCAACCCTCCGCAAAGTGTGCACAGGGAGAGGGAGGGAGAGGGAGGGAGAGAGGGAAAGAAGGGCCTCTATGCATGCCGCGCACTCGGGAGGGTCATCGCCCTGAACCCCCCTGGCGCAGCATCTGAGACCTGACAAGTCCTTAACCCCCGAGAAGACTCGGAATGTGCAGTTCTTCGCAGGTTTTGGAGCCTTTCGTCCCTTGATATCCCTTGCTTGGAACATCCGAATGCTTGATTCAGTCTCGTGGTTGGATGGTGGGCAAACAAGACCATGAGGCCCAGACCATGACTCTCAGCCTGGCCACAATGATAAGGCAAAGCAAAGGAGGGAAGTCCCCAAAGCCCACAGAAGCACAAGCACAAGCACAAGCACAAGCACAAGCACAAGCACAAGCACAAGCACAAGCACAAGCACAAGCACAAGCACAAGCACAAGCACAAGCACAAGCACAAGCACAGCCACAGCCACACTCACAATCACAATCACACAGAGACACAGTGACACGGAGACACAGAGACACGGAGACAGCAAAGAGACAGCAAAGAGACACAGAGCCACAGAGACAGCAAAGAGACACAGAGACGCAGAGACACAGAGACGCAGAGACGCAGAGACACACACACACACACACACAGAGACACACACAGACACACACACAGACACACACACACACACACACAGACACACACACAGACACATACACACACACACACACACACACACACAGACAGAGACACAGACACAGACACAGACACAGACACAGACACAGACATAGACACAGACGCAGACGCAGACACAGACACAGACACAGACAGAGACAGACACACACACACACACAGAGAGACAGAGACAGACACACACACACACACAGAGAGACAGAGACACAGACACACACACACACAGACACAGACACAGACACAGACACAGACACAGACACAGACACAGACACAGACACAGACACAGACACAGACACAGACACAGACACAGACACAGACACAGACACAGACACAGACACAGACACAGACACAGACACAGACACAGACACAGACACAGACACAGACACAGACACAGACACAGACACAGACACAGACACAGACACAGACACAGACACAGACACAGACACAGACACAGACACAGACACAGACACAGACACAGACACAGACACAGACACAGACACAGACACAGACACAGACACAGACACAGACACAGACACAGACACAGGCACAGACACAGGCACAGGCACAGGCACAGGCACAGGCACAGGCACAGGCACAGGCACAGACACAGACACAGACACAGACACAGACACAGACACAGACACAGACACAGACACAGACACACACACAGACACAGACACAGACACAGACACAGACACAGACACCGACACAGACACAGACAGACACAGACACAAACAGACAGACACAGACACAGACACAGACACAGACACAGACACAGACGCCAGACACAGCCACAGACACACGCGACACACACACAGAGAGACCACCGAGACACACCGAGACAACAGAGCCACACAGAGACCACACAGAGACACACAGAGACACCGAGACACCGAGACACACGGATACACACGAGACACACGGAGACACACGATACACACGGAGACACACGGAGAACACACGGCATACACACTGAAGCACACACTGAGACACACCGAACAGAGACACACCACACAGACACAAGCACACAGACACCAGAACACAGACACACAGACCCACAGACCCACATACACACGACACACAGACACACATACACACAGACCACAGACACACAGACGCACAGACTCACAGACAGCACGACACCAGACACCGACACACGACACACAGGCGACCACATACACACAACCACAGAACACACCATACCACAGACACACAGCACACACACACCACACCCACACACATACGCAGCCACACAGACCCTCAGCCGGACACTGGAGCACCGGCAGACACAGAGAGAGAGAGAGAGAGAGAGAGAGACAGATAGACTGGTGGAGCACGCCCTTTTTTCTGGGCTGTCCCCTTCGGGGGGTTGCGCGCGCTGGAAGCAAGAGAGACAGGCACACGTGCACGCACACGCACACGCATGCACACGCACGCACATTCACGCACATGCACACACGATTGCACGCACATGCACGCACACACGCACGCACACACGCATGTGCACACGCTCACACACGCACGCACACACGCACGCACACACGCGCGCACATGCCACCAGAGCGTGCCAGGGATGCACTGTTCCCCCCTGCCGAAAGCAAACAACTCAAGGAAAAAACAAAGATGACAAGTCCAGGACTTGTCAGAATCTGGGTGTACGCACACGCAGTGACGCAGAGATGCAGAGATGCGGGAACGCAGAGACGCAGAGACCCTGAGCAGAGAGAGAGAGAGAGAGAGAGAGAAAGGGTCACTCCCCTCAAGCCCCGTAGGAGAAGAAGAAGAGAGAGAAAGAGAAAGAGAAAGAGAAAGAGAAAGAGAAAGAGAAAGAGAAAGAGAAAGAGAAAGAGAAAGAGAAAGAGAAAGAGAAAGAGAAAGAGAAAGAGAGAGAAAGAGAAAGAGAAAGAGAAAGAAAAGAGAAAGAGAAAGAGAAAGAGAAAGAGAAAGAGAAAGAGAAAGAGAAAGAGAAAGAGAAAGAGAAAGAGAAAGAGAAAGAGAAAGAGAAAGAGAAAGAGAAAGAGAAAGAGAAAGAGAAAGAGAAACACCAGCAGACACAGCAGCCGTGGCAGCAACAGCAGCGACGACGACGGCCGAAACCCCCTCGGACCACGCCACACACGCACCACAGGCGCAGCAACAGCCGCAGGCGGACACGCCCCGCCCACACGACAGCCCCAACGCGTACAGACAGCACACCCCCGACACAAACGGGGGCAGACCCGGACCCCCCGGCCAACACACAGCACACCTGGACCAGAGAAGAATGGCAACGATGGAAATGGAGTCATGGCGGGCAAGGGGTCCAAAGACAAAACAACAAAGCACACAAAGAGGAAATGAAACAATTCCTCATCAGACAGGGGGCCTACCTGCCTCCTCCGGAGGACCCCAATGAAGCTGCACACCACCCCACCATCCGCGAACAATTCGACCGATACCAACGGGAGACCTCCAGGCGCATACACCCAGCAGGAGCGCGCGCGGGGGAAACATGGACCATCGACGTGCCAATCCCCAACACACACCGCCGGCACACCGGGGGGGACGCGGACTGGTCCGACCTACTCAACAGACACAAGCTCCCGCGGGACGAACGCCACACACCGTCCCACGACACACAGCAGGAAGCTGACACGCAGCAGCCGCAGCAGCCACAACAGGCCCCACAGCAGACCCCTCCACAACCAGACGACAACGAGGAAGGAGCCTACAACCTCCCACTGCCACCAGAGCTGCCGCTCCTTCCATACACGTCGGCCCACTCCACCCCCTACCTCACCGGTTGGTGGGTGACCATCTTCCCCCCGGACCGGAGTGACGAGGAGGCAGCAAACGCACATGCCGCCACAGCGTCCAGCTCACACACCCCACCAGGCATGCCCCCGTGCACAGAGGGGTACGTCTATAGAGACGACCTGCAGCCAGACCTGTGGACGTTCCACGTTCACCACACGCCCACGCCCCTCCAACTCCGCAGCATCCCAGGGGGGCCCTATCGCAACCTCGAGCCCGACTCCTGGATCCAATTCCGCTACGCCGACAACCAGGGAGCACCCACATGGACCCAGGCCACGGCTGACACCCACACCACGGCCAACGAACCGGTCATGACCCCCACCACACCACAAGACACGCAAGCACCTGCGGAACCGCGGCCAGACCCATGCCCTGCCACCCAACCCGACCCAAGCGACACAACGCCAGCTGCAGCAGACCTGGCATCCCAACCCCCACCACAACCACAAGAACCCCAGCAGCAGCTGCAGCAGCATGCACCACAACAAGGGCCTGACGGGGCGACCCAACCAATGCCGCAGCAGCAGCACCCAATGCCCCAACCGCAGCAGCACCACCATGACCAACAGGGCACCTGGCAATGGGGCTGGTGGAACTGGAACTACCACCACCAATACCACGACTGGACAGACACGCCCACCACCACCACAACAACCACCACCAGCACGACGGAGAGCACGAGAAACCAGCCCGCCCAGAAGCCCACGGAGCCCACCAGCCTGATGCAAACCGCCAAGCCGCGCACCAAACATGCAGCAACCCGGACGCGGCCACAGCGCAAGCGCCAGAAAGCCCCCAGGGCCTACCCAAAACACCGCGAAGGCCAACAGCCAAAGCGCCGGAGCAAAAAGCCACCACCCACACCAGTCTGTGAAGACAGCCCAGCACCAAGCCAACACACGCCACAAAACACACACATGACGCCAGCGGCCCGACTCCTGCACCACATCAACCTGGCGCTGGCCGACATCAACCCCAGCAACGGCACAGACACGGCTGCGCACCTGCACACATGCATACACATCATACAAGAACACTTCCCCGTCGATGACCACCACCGCCACAGCAACCACCAGGGCCTGACACCGGCACCTGAGAAGGGAGCAGGAGAACCTCACCCGGAGCCAACACGACACCGCATCGACCACGCAGGGGCAACACAACCCAGGCCACAACAAGGCACCGGCCCACCCCCGGTCCCGACCAGGGCCATTGAACTAGACGAGGCAGCCAGACAGCTCCAGCAGACCATCGAACAGCTGCAGCACCTCCCACCCACACAACTCCTCCAGATACTGGCCACCACGAGGGTGTTGCTCACCTACGGCATAAAACGCATGAACCAGGTGGCGAAAGTCAAAGACTGGCAACGGTGGGGGGGAGCAGAAGTTGCAGCAGACGACAGCCTGGAAGCACTCGATAGCCTCGTCACCGAAACCACAGAGGCGCTCCGCCATGACCCCCACCACACCCGAGGCAAAGAACACAACCACCGCACCGAGCAGCGGCTTAGAGAGATCCTCTCTCTCACACAGCAAGCCAGAGACGCACACGCGGTGGTGATTGAAGCCCCGCAATGGTCACAACCAACGGCACAGCCATCACACTCACAGGCCGCCCCCCCCCCCCCCCCCCTACATCGAGAGCCGGAACACCCACCACCACAAGGGGCACACCCGGCGGACGTCCTGCAGCTTCCAGCGGGGCAACAAGAAAGCAATCAAGACAGGCCCCCCCCAGCATACAACACCAACGGGGTTAGCACGGCCAGAGCACACCTAGTTCGGCTCATGCCCTTCCTAGTACAACAGGAAGCACAGCTGGCGGCACAGGCACTCCAGGCACTCGACCAATGGCTGGAGGCTCCTTTCCAAGAGCCCATCTGGTTGCCGGACACCCAGACACAACCCCTACTGCCACGACCGGAGCCAACACGAGACCCGGACCAGCAGCCGGGCGAACTCACCCCAGACACTGTCCCCTTCCACCCACCATCACCGGACCGCATGGGGCCACCCGGGGGCGAGTCCGAGCAGACCGAAGAATACCCAACACCCCCCACCACACCACTCACACCCTCCTTTCCACCAAGCGACGGGGCGGATGATGACGAAGACAGATCGGACAGGGGGGCGAGGAAGGCCAAGACAATAGACGCCAGTGGTGACCGACGACGTCCCCGACTACACGATTCTCCACCAGAACATGGCATAGACTCCAGACGCAGACGCACACATGAGGGAGCGAGTAGTGACTGACTAAGGTGCTGAGGCCCGGGGGACTGAACACATCTAGCCATAGTCGTACTTGCAACCCTCTGTTTGTACATGCATTCCTCTTTGCGGGGGCCAAAACAGCACATACAAAAGGGGGGAGAACAGCACAGCACCCCTAGCTCTCACCTTGAGATGGGGCACAGAGTGGGCATCAGATACAACTCTGGGCCCACGGCCCATCCAAAACACGCCCCACGAAGACCGTGGGGGCGCCAACAGACGCGGCACATGGGACTCTCGCGCCCTTCGGGGCGGCTCCCCTCTGGGGGGCCATGCGTGTCGAGAGAGAGAGAGAGAAAGAGAAAGAGAAAGAGAAAGAGAAAGAGAAAGAGAAAGAGAAAGAGAAAGAGAAAGAGAAAGTGAGTTTCACGCCGACCTCACCCGACGGATGCACGTGTCTGGGCGCGCCCAGTGCGCGGGGGGTAGGGTAACTTCCCTACTCCTCATGCCCCGTAGAAGAAGAAGAGAGTGAGTGAGATATGGTCCTGGCCCCCCTCATGCCCAGCAGAAAGAAGAAGAAGAGTGAGATATGCATAGACAGGCCGACAGACAGACAGAATAGATGGCAGATCCTCAATGCCTCAAAGGCCTGGCAACTCCGAGGGCACGCTCCAGCTTCACAAGTCGGCGGCCGCGCCCCCAAGAAGGAACTGACGATGCTGAATTGCCCGGAGATCGGGGTTTTCGGAGGATTGTTGTGAGTTGGTCTTAGTTTGAGGTGCTGGAGACATGATTCGAGAAGGGAGAAGGGGCTCTGTCTCTCTCTCTCTCTCTCTTTCGGTCGGGGGTCTGGCAGGCTAGGTCGTCCATGGAGGCTTCAGGCTACTAGGGAATGCGCCCCAAGCCAACATCCTCAAATTCTCGAGCCCTACACTCCCGCCCTAATCTGGAGCACAGATTCAACATCAGGTCGCAGTAAGGAGGACACATGGGGGTCTCCGAAAATGGGGGTACCTTATTGGGGTCATGAAAAGGGGATCCTATTATTTGGGGGATTCCGTAAACCCCCCACATTGGCAAGGGGAGCTCCCAGTTTTGGTTCTGCGTGTCCGAGAGTTGTCTACAGGTCCTGCTGGCGCCCCGCGCGCCGAAGATTGACGACAACACGGATCCCAGGCACCAGGCGGTTCTCAAGCAGGCCGGCAAGCTAGGTGCCCAAGTCTTCGGGGGTTGTAAGTTTCACGGTCTGTGTAGAGAATCATTTTCTCTCAACTTCTGTGCCCCAATGCGGCCCTTGGGCTTCCCTTTGGGCTTCAAGGCGAGGCGGCTGAGATCTTCCGGCAAGTCTGACTGGGAGATTGCCACTCGGGCCTCAGATGGTTTGGTCGACTGGTGGGGTTTGGAGATGTTTAGCTCCGATTTCTTTTTAAGCTGTCGAAATGATCTGAATTGAGAGCCCATGTTTTCGACCTTCTCCTGGGTTTCCCCGTGCTCCGTCTGGGATCTTTGGGGCTGCGGTGAGGCATGAGGCAGTTGAAGTTGCCCCCCATTGGGGTTGCAGTGCAGGAGTCAATCTGGAGTGGATTCTGGTAAGAGTCACGATGCACGTGGTGCCATCATGTGCCATCACCTTCCTTAAACAGATCTTTGCTGCTGCTGCATGGGCGCCCTGCGCCATCACAAGGAAGCGTACCTCAACAAGCTGCTCGAGAAACAGCCGGGGGCCCTGAGTCATGAAGTCATGCGGATTCAAGCTGATGCCGGGGCCCATGAGTTTGAAACAAGGGTTCCTATCAGAGCCTTCAACTCCGCTCTAGTCATTCCAAATTTTCGCCCCATCTGCTGTAACCCTAAACCCTAAACCCCTAAAGCCTAAAGCCTAAACCCTAAGCCCTTTGCGCCCCAATAACAAGCCTTCTGCGCCTTTTCTGCGGGAGGCCGGGAGCTACCTGGAATCCCCAACGTCCGAAGCCCGAAACCCTCCACCCTCAGCCCTAAGCTCCAAGCCCTAAGCCCTAAGCCCGAAACCCCCCAACGAAGCCCTCAGCTTTCCTTGAGGATGTCGCTGAAAGCTCAGGTGGGAGGAGCGAGAGGCGCAGCGCAACCGGGAGGAGAACCCGGAGGAGATTTCCCGGGGAGGGGGGGGGGGAGGGGGGAGGGGCAGCTTTTGGCTGATGGCTTAATGATGCTGGGGGTTGGGGATGCTTGGGTTTCCAGGTGCAGGGGGGTGGTTTTTTCAGCATCGATGTCTGTGGGAGCCTACATTTCGCCTGTGGCTGGAGGTGCTATGAGGTGCTGCTCAATCCTACAGACCCTTGAGATACTGAACGCATGGCATCATGGAGCCCTCAGTCCATGTGACCCTCAATCGCACGTGTTCTTGGGCGCCCCTTGTGGATACAGTTGAGCATGTAGCGTCGTTAGCTGAACGTGGCATGCTGCAGTTCAAGTGAACCCTGCAAGGGGCGGAATGGGGTGAGAGTTGGGGATTTAAGATGTTTAGAACTTCGGATCAGACCTATGCGAGTGATGACCCAACCCCTTCAAACAAACCGGCGCGTATGATGCGTGCGAAGGAACCCTCCTGAGTCCCTCCAGGCCGCAGTCATCCCACGCACCAAGCCCCAAGCCATGTTTGCAGGCCGAGCCCAAGCCACCGAGACTCACGATCGACCAGATCCGGGCCTACCTGCAACGCGAGGAGGGCCAGGCCAGAAGCATGCCAACTTGTAGCTAAGCGCCATGAGGCTGCCAAAGCGCCAATAGACCCTGGCGGCTCGAGCTTTTCAGCCTACAGCGCGTGCAGCACGCTCACACCGTGTCTCGGGCATCGTGCATGTCTCGCACACGGACAGTGTGCCCCCACCAAATGTGACCCCACCGTGAAACCATGTGATGCCACCCCATGTGATGCCCCCGCAGCAGCCAATACATCCTAAACCTCCAAGCCCAAAACCCAGCAAAGCTACCTGGGCCTTGGCATCTGACCGACTTGGGATTCGGGGAGGCGAGGCCGCTAAAGCCACACGCCCTAACTCGTTTCCCTGGAGCAGATGCTGCTTGTAGAAGCTTTCCATGTTCAGTTAAATAGGGCTTACAGGGTTCTTGGGCATGCAGAAGTTTAGAGCAACCGTATGGTTTCTTGCAAGCATGAGCTGGGTAGCATGAACTAGCACGACCACAAGCCACAAGCTGCAGGCCGTCGGAAAGGCCTACTGAGCAAAGTGTGCCGCTACAGTAGCGGTGGTGGTGTACGTCTTGAGAGAGGTCTCAAGCACCTTGTCAAACTTTTTGCACTGTCTCCCAGCTGGTCCAACAGCATTGCGAAGGTCCTTGCAGGTCCAACAGCACCCTGTGGTCGAAGCCCCAAGCCATCCGACAAACCAACACAACCCAATACCCATTGGAGCGCTCTTTGCTCTTGGAAAACCTCTAGAGATACTATAAACCTTAGGGCATCTAGTATGTGTCTTTACGTGTCTTTCCTGCGCCCAGCATAATTTTCAAGCAGTTCTCCATCTGCTCAAATTAGATTGCCTGTTTCACCCGATGTGGCGAGAAGGTGCCACGGGGGCCATCAGCGAAAGCCAATCAAATGTTGGCTGCATCTAAAAAAGTGTCAGTTGAGAATTTGGGGCTTTTGGTGTCATGGGGAAAGGTTCAATCCCATCAGCCCCTCAACCCTAAACCCTAAGCCTTGAGTTTAGGGTTGGAAGCCTTTTGGAGTGTTTTGCTCCTCTTGGAAGCGCAGCGCCTTTGGCCCCTTCGCGGCCCTGGGCCCAAACATCCAAAAAGCCGGAATGCCGACAACCACAATGCCCCACAAAGCCTGCTCATACTGGCCATTACACGATTTTCAGAGCCCTAGAACCCCTCAACCCTCACAAACTGCCTGTCAGGCATCCTAATATCCCATCCCCAAAGACCCCCAGAACCCTAAACCCTTAACCCTAAGCCCCAAAGACCCCCAGACCCCCCCCCCAAACCCTGATCCATGAGCCCGACAACCGGGGCCTTCATGCCGCGGGCGCGGGTGCCAGCTTCCAAGGGCTCCTTGACAAAATTTCCGCACATAGGGGCCTTCGGGGGAGTTGGGGGGAGTAGGGTTTGGGGTTTCGGGTTTTCGGGTTTAGGGTTTAATTAGGGGAGAGCTTTCGTTCTGGCGTGGCTCTCTCTCTCTCTCTCTCTCTCTGTGTGTGTGTGTGTGTAAGCTTTGACCAGCTGCTCACGATCATCCAGCCGTCAAACGTCAAACTTGCATGCTCGGCCGCTCTAAGACCAAAAGCCCAGGGCTTCGAACCAACAAAAGTCGCACTGTTTAAAGCGAAATCAAAGCGCCAAACCAAGACCTAGCTAGGCAAACCAAGAATTCCAGTTTGATGCCAAGCTGCATTTTCAGTAATCAGCCAGCAGCCACTCCAAAGAAGATCCCCCATGCGGCTCGGGCTCTGTTTGTTCGGAGAGGTGTCAAGCCAAGCGATGCCAAAGACACAGTAAAGACACCTCCACCTTTCTTAGCCCACTGCAACTCCTGCAGAAGTGCTCGAAACCCTTCTCCCTCAACCCGCCCCAACCCCCAAACACTCAATCCTGGCTCCCCGTTGTTCGGAGGATGGGGGCGGCGGTGACCTCCCTGGCCTTCCCGGCCCCTCCCAAGGCCCGTTATGCGGAGGCGCCAGGGTGTTGGGTGGGTGGGTTGAGGCTTTGGCACTTGGATTAGTTAGGAGGTGTCCATGGGTTTTCGAATGTAGCTTGCTGAGTGGGTTATGTGTGTTATTTTAAGGTCGGGAGTCCGGCCTGAGTAGAGTCTTTGGGGGGTTTTGCATATAAGTGTATACTATAAGGATGTTGGAAGGGCCGCTGCTGTGTTGATGGCATGTGGTTGCTATGGCGAGGTGGTAGAAATAAACTTCCGAGGCGTTGCTGAAGAGACCAGATCTTCTCTACTTGGAAACAGAGAATGAGGCACGAAGGGTACGAAGGGTCATGGATTCCACTAAAGTCCTGTGTGCTGGCCTGCGGACATGGGAGACACATCTGGAACCGCAGACTGTGCTCTAGACTGGCCTGAACTTCTGAACTGTTCACTACTGTACCTCTTCTTCGCAGTCAGCTGGCAGCGTGCCAGTGGACGGCCGGTTAAGATATAGTAGGGGACGATGACAAGCAGCATCAGGGCATTCCCTTCCTTGGGCCAGTCATGGATCTGTCGGGCATTTCGTTCTTCGTTCTTGTCATCTTTCAGCTTCAGAGTGCAGCATGTGCAGCCGATGGGGAGTGATGCAGAGGACCGGATCGCTGCTGTTCATGTCCGACGTGGCGCCCGTGGCACGGATCGCGTCATTCTGAGTCTTGGTTGCATGATTGTGGTTTGGAAAAGTCTCAGGGCATGACAGTGACAGGGAGCTCCATGCTGGGTCGGAAGAATTACTAATGGTATTCCTTTGTGGCCCCTTTAGAGTTATACGATTGTAACCCCCAAGCCCCTCCAATTATTAAGGCCCCTTATAAATTACAGATACATCCTAGGCTTGAAGATCCGCTGCCGAAGCCTGTAAGGCCGCACCAAAAGCCACGAAACATCAACGGAAGTTCCCACCTCGATTCTCGAATACTGGCAGCTCTGAGACTCTGAAACTGAGCATCTTCAGCCGCCCACTCATCCCAGGCTCCACCAAATCATCCCAGGGGGTTATCCTGCCGGAAACCATCCCCCCGGAACTCCGGTCTCTTCTTGAACTCACTGAGGTACTCGCACGGGAATGCGGAGGAGCCTTTAGTGGACGCCAGCAAGCTCCGCAAGCTCCGCAAGCTCCGCAAGCTCCGCAGCTTACCGGGTTTTAGCTTCCTTGCAGGCTCCTCTTTCCAGAGCCCGACGTCGCGAACCCCAAAATGCCCGAGTAGCGCCCTCAAACCTTGAAGCCCTAAATTTTGTACGCCCTCATCCGAGCCAGAACTTCGGCAAGCTGAAGGGTGTTCGAGGCTTAGGGTTTTGAATTCGGGGCTGAAGGGGCGCTTTATCTTTAGAATCTGGGGCCCTCGAAGCCTTGTGTGCCTGTCTTGCAAGCCGACGCTACACCGAGGGTTTGCAAAAGCGCAGGATTTGGGGCAAAGACTCCACTACCTGGACATGATGTCACAGCTGTGTGCCCTGGACTGCAGCGCAGACCCGGCCCGAAGAAAAGTCACCTTACCAGAGACCGAAGTCCTAAGCTCAACCCTCAGACAAAACCGACAGCCTAGAATCCCCTGCGCTTGCCCAGGCTCTAGAAGGCCAAGGTGCCTTGAACTGCAAACCGTGCTCCCGCACGCGCGCGCGCGCGCGCGCGCGAGCACCCTAGTCCTCCGCACAAAGAGGGTGTCCTTGAATAGGAACCTTCCGGCAAAGCCAGCTAAAAGAACCCGAAGCCCTTCTGACAAAGGTTCCGTCCCATTTCCCCAATGGAGAGGCGCCTCCGACGTGCTCGCCTACGACTACTGTGGCTATGGCTTCAGCGAGGGTGAGCCCTCGGAGGCTCCTCTTGGGGTTTAGGGTTTCGGGTCTAGGGTTTGGGGTTTAGGGTTCAGGTCGCTTCGAGAGGGGGGTTTTAAGACGAGGCATAGCACAGAGACTGGGGTTCGGGTGGCCCGGTTTTAGGAGACAGGCCTGTGCTTCAGGTACCAGGTATGGAGGTGTTAGTATTGGCTGGGTTCGGGGAGAAGGGGAGTGTATGAGGTCTGTGTGAGGTCTGTGATTGTGAGGTCTGTGAGGTCTGTGAGGTCTGTGAGGTCTGTGAGGTCTGTGTGTCTGTGTGTATACTTCAAATTCGGTTCATGCTTAAGCCATTTCTGGCAAAGCACGCTTTGCCCTGTGTGCGGCGCAGGAAAATTGCATCCAGTGCATCGATGCGGCCTACGTTCGGCTCCGAGCTTTCAAGCTTTGCACGAGTCAGGGAGTTTCGGGCGTAGCATGTGAGTCCTGGCTTTGAGCGCCACCTAACATGAGATTTCAAAGCAGGCCTACTTGCTCCAGCAATTTGCCCCCAACCGCATCGTCCTCTTCGGGCGCTCCATCGGCACAGGCGACCCATGGTGAGGGTTTCGAAGGTCAAAGATGTTTCAAGCAGGGCCCTCGAAGCTGCTCCACCACAGCCTTAGCTGCGGACCCAGGGGCAGTCCAGAAAAGGGATTATAGTGCCCCTGATTATAATCCCTATGAAGGCCCGCCCCACCCAGCTTTTCCCCCGATGGCTGGCCCTCAAAGCCTCGATTACACCTAGATCCTATAAACCTTAACTGTCCAAGAGGCTCAAAGCCTGAATCAGCTTAGTTTCCTTCACCAATCCCTTAGCCTCAACATAGCCGTAGCTTCAGTCCTTAAGCGAACTCAAGCTCTCAGGACCCACTGTGGACCTGGCAGTGCGCCACCCTGAAATCCGAGGCTTGGCATGGGGGGGGATGTGGTTGTCCAGCAGGGGGCAGCGGAGGGTTGGAACCTACATGCCGCTGCCAAAACTGGGGGCCAAGTCCAAGCTCACATTCTCACCCCGAAGCTCGCAAGGCTCCAAGATTTCTCCGAACTTTACAGCCCCAAAGCATTGCAGCCATGGGAGCCCAGCTCCCCGATACTCAATGATCCAGATCTTTGCCACAACGCGATACCTCGAAGGAGTCATTCTGCAGAGCCCGATCGAGAGCTGTGGTCGGGGGCCCCTGTGGCCCTAAACCCCAAACCCTGACCCCCCCTCCCCCGGGCAAGCCAAAGTCGCTCTGGGGCCGTACACCGAACCCTGGCACAAGGTCGCGCAGTTTTCGGGAACCTCGCCTCGTGGGTCGGCTACAGGCCTATGGAAGACCGTTGAATTCCTCTTAAGGTTTGCGGGGGCTATGGGCCTGGGGATGTTCAAGGTTTTTGGGTTTGGGGTCAAGGCCTTTCAGCGTGCAGCGCGGGGTTTGCAGTTCTGTGCTGCTGCGTGGGGTTGCGGGGAGAGGTGCTGAATTCTTACTTAAACCCCAAAGCTGTGACTCTGGACTTGGTTTTAACTTCTTGTTGGTGGGCTGCTGTGTATGTGTTTCACAATGCAGAGGTCCTCGCCAGAATTAAAGCCGTTGGAGGTTTGTCAACTCTCGCCGGTGAGCAAGGAAGGGTAGTTGCAGGAATGTGGGGCCACGGATGTTTGCGGTCCAGGATGGACTTGTTTCGGAACTACGAGAAGGTGGACAAGGCTGGACGCCGGCCTGGTGCCGGAGGAAGCGTTCCTGCAAGAGTTCGATGCTGGAATTTTAATGGGAGGTGCCATTGCGTCGCAGGTAGAGTGCCCTGTCCTCGTGATGCATGGAACCGACGATGATATCGTCCCGATTGAGAGTGGCATGGCCATCCAGGAGGCACTGCACACCGTGTGGTCTGCAAAGTGCACACCGTGCTCAGGTTGTTCAGGCGTGGTTCAGGTCAGGTATTTGTGAGCAAGGTCCGCCCGAAAACCTTTCAGGCCTCCACGGCAAATAAGGCAGCTCATGAGCCTATCTGATGGACGTCCCCGAAATCCCACGTTGTAGATACGATGCTGTGAAGTTGTTGGGCCCTGCGCGTCGTGCCTCTAATACTGGTACCTGGAGGGGCTGGGTGAACATCACTCTGTCCAGGTGGCGTCCAAACCAACGACTTCCAGAGAATCAAACTCAAGATAAGCAGGCATGTTGCTAGCACCTTGTTCAGCCCCGAAGGCACAACCCCAAACCTTGAATTCAACGCCTGAAGCCTAAACTTCATCCCCCAAATCTAACACAAAAAGCAGAGAGTTGGGATGTTCCCCGTATACCAACAGTCCTTCGTAGGGACTCGAATAGGGGGTACTCGCATCCCTACTAAGGACTGTCAGTACAAGGGGGAACATCCCAAGCACAGAGGGTTCAGGCGTTTCAGATCCTTGGGGTTTGTGGGGGTCCAACCCCTAAACCCTAAACCCTAAACCCTAAACTCTAAACTCTAAACTCTAAACCCTAAACCCTAAACCCTAAACCCCAAACCCCAAACCCTAAACCCTAAACCCTAAACCTAAACCCTAAACCCTAAACCCTAAACCCTAAACACCTCGACCTTGGAGCAAGACAGGCCTGCAGGAAAGCTGTCGAGCCGCTCTGGCTGGAGGGCTATGGCAGGGCCCCCATCAGGGTTTAGGGTTGAGGGCTTGGGGTTTAGGGTTTAGGGTTTAGGGTGAGGACCATCACGGGAGCGCAGCGGTTATGAGGATTTAGTTGTTTTTTAGAGTTCCAACTCTTCAGTTAACTATCGCCCCAAGCCCATGAACCAGACACCTCGAAGAAGTTCCTGCCTCTACATGTGCCACATGACCCAGTTAGGGCCTTTTTAGTGAAAGGGCCCTGCACCTGAACCTGGACGTTGGGGTTCCACTTGAGTTGAGGGCTTCCGGTCCAAGGCTAGAGGATTCGGTGTAGCCCTTGCCGGGCTACGCTTTGACTCTTGGAGCCCCAAGCCCCGTATGCCATCGGCATTCATTAAAGCCCCCCCCCCCCGAAGCTGCCTTGCGACACTGTGCAAGTTCTGCACAGCACACTGCGCTACACACCCTGTTTTCCAAGTTGCAAGTTCAGAAGCTGGCCGTAAGGTGTGACTGAAATATTGTACATTGCAGGGTAGGCTCGTGAGATTCGGCACTGCACATGTTTAGGGCTCACGTGCCACGTTCAGGCCACAACGATCTTCCGAACGAGATCTGCCTAAGGCCTGCACGTGTGTCAAGGCAGCACATGTGCCAGGCTTGCCAAAGCCGAAACACGCTTTTTGCCAGGGTTCATGGTTTGTTGTAAGTCTGTTGAAGTGCCCCCCCCCCCCCAACAAAAAAAGAGACACTCTTCTCGCATCCAATGTCCGCGTCTGTTGCAGAATCAACGTAGTAAAAGTGTAAATAGTGTATAAAATGGCCCTGCGATCAACGACTGCATATTCCCAGAAACTAACTTTTCAAATAAGGGGATGAGAGATTATACACGAAAAGCATAAACTGAGCGGTACAAGTGATTTAAGGGTTCTCGCGAAGCTTACAGCGACCGCGGCTGTTCTTATCTTCTGATTGCAGCCATGTCCATACTAGGAACTTCACCTTAAACCCCGCAGTCCCTCAACAACCAATCCAAGCCCGAAGCCCTGAACCTGTGCGCCAGGCGAGTGCGGGAGTTCATGGACCAGATGGATGGCCTTTCCTGGGGCTGCACCCTCAAGCATTTGGAGCCTTACACAGCAGCCATGCTGCTAGAACCCATCAGATCTTGAATCAAGTGTGGTTGCATTTAGATCCTTTTCTGGTTAGCCCGGCTCTGAATGTACGTACGGCTTGTAACTTAGATGGCACCGTCACTTGAGCGTCGACATGAAGAACCTGTTCAATGAGAAGTGGGCTTACTTACAAGCATGGCAGGTGATAGCAAGTGTTGCTGAACGTTCCGCGCCCTGACTTAAGGCACTGGCTGCCCAGAACCTCCAATAATTAGCACGCTGCATATGACAAAACGATTGTTGCAGGTTAGGCGCGAGACTTCTGCGATGATCCCGCGAATAAACCGTCATAGTCCGATGTCCAGGGTCTGTCCCTGAGCCCTCGAGGGCTCCGGTCCCTCCCACCCCTTCAAGATTGGGCAAGGTTGGAACATTTTCGTGACCAATCTGGCCACGCACATCTCCGTGAATCTGTGAGGCGGAACTCTGCCTCCGGATCGCCAGGCCGAGCTTTTAAACGGATGTACGGGGATCATGGAAGGCTTTGGGGTTCCAGGGTTTTGGGGCAACTTGTTGCAGAAACCCACACTGAAGCCTTCATCTGTTTATATAGGAAATTCATGGACATTGATAGTAGCGATCGTGACGACATGAAGCTGCGAATCAAGTGTGCGGTTTTGAGCTTCAGCACGTCTCCAGCAGTGCAGTGTCCCCACCAAGCAAGCCTACATCGCGACTGTGCAAGGATGTTGCGGACGGTGCCAAGCTCTTGCTGGAAACATCTGTCTCACGAGCACTTAGATAATCACTCGAAGAGCGGCTAATGCATGCGTTGCGAGAGGAAAAGTCGCAGGGTCAGGCATGAAAGAGTCCGAGGTTGGAAAATTCAGGTTTGCTTGCGCAGCGTGGGCGGGTGGCGAGTTGCATGGGGCTGTACCGATGCCTGTGCGGGTTGTGTGAGTGAGCTTTGTGGTCGCAAGATGCTCACCCGGCCGATTGTCTGTTTGTTTGCCTCGCTGGTCATGATGTTGCGTGTGGGCGACGACCTTGGCTTCTGATGCTCATGGTGCTTGTCCTGGGCGGAATGCGTGAGTGCCTGCGCAGCCAATGCTGATGATCTAATTACTGATGATGCTCGCCTGGGCCGATTGTGCGGGGTGGGCGCCCCAGCAGCTAATGCTCGCCCAGGGCCACCGTGCAGGATGATGCTCGCCTGGGCGGGTTCGCCTTCCTTGCCCATCACGTGACGAGCGTTCACCCGATATCATGAGCTCAGCTGCACGAACGCCGCCTTCTCGGCGACTCCACGGACCCTTCGCAACCCAGTGCACAAGAGTTAGCTTCTTGCAGTGGAGTGCTGAAATCCTGCTTTGGCGAACCGCCAACGCCGCAAACCCTCCCAAGTATTTGAGAGACTCAGAAGACTTTTACTTTTTGCATCTTTTTGCTGTGCCTCTTTGAAGGTTCCTTTAGGCCTTGGGTGTCCCTGAGACAGGGTTGGATCCGCATGCCCCCCAACAGACGACAAAAGGACTCAAGCATCTTAAATCGTCTTGAAAGATCCGTGAATTCTTAGGATCGATATTTCCCCCCCCCCCCCCCCACCCCAGTTGCTGTTGGAGAAAAGCCTTGTCGCAGCCGCTTACTTTAGCATATCAGTTCCGCCTTTCTGGTATCGTCCGGGAGGAGCCGCGCCGCTTGGTTGCAGCAGGCAAATAAGAAGCTATGCTGGTCCACTGTCCGTTCAAACATTGTTCGTCCTCCTGATTCTCTTAAGGTTGCACTGCTCGGAAGTTCATTGGAACACCGGCTGACGTTGTGTGAATGGGCGAGGGTGATATAGAAGCAGGGCAAGTAGTCAGTAATAGTAAGGAAGTCGAGTTGAGAAACAAGCCAGGTTGTGAGGTGGGTGCGCTTCTTGCTTTGGCCCTGCTTCTACAATTTGTTAGACAGTGCTTGGTCGCATTGGCCGCGCTCAAAGTCCTCGCCATCCTGATTTAAACGAACCTCAAAGAACACCGTAAACCCTAAACCCTAAACCCTAAACCCAAAGCCTTAGAAACAGTGGGAGGGGGGTGCAACACCCAAGAACCGGCAAAATCTTCACCCCCCTTTTCGAAAGCCCCAGGTGGTCAACAAGGTCCTTTGATGCAAAAGAAGTACGTGGCCACCTCAGGGTTCAAGGGTTTAGGGTTTCGGGCTCAAGGGTTTAGGGCTTAGGGCGAGGGTTTAGGGTTTAGGGTTTAGGGTTTAGGGTTTAGGGTCTAGGGTCTAGGGTCTAGGGTTTAGGGTTTAGGGTTTAGGGTTTTTGTGGGCTTCGGGGCTTTGGCGTTGGCAGTTGAGAACTTCGAAGACTTGGGATTTCAGGATGAAGCTGCTTTGGGGCGTCGCGTGGGAGTTATTCAGGGCACCCAACAAGGGGGACGATAATTTAGAGAACTGACCAACCCTAAACACTAAACCCTAAGCCGTAAACCCTAAACCCCACAACATGTCCTCTTCAGCTCGCAAGGTTCCACCACACCAGCGCAACGGCACGGGAGGGTCCGAGCCGAGTCCAGCGGAGCGAAAGAATGCCCGGGCCCAGGAACCTGTAACCTTTGGGGTTGGGATGTCCCCCTTTTTCGAACAGTCCTTCAAGAATGGATAAGAGGGGGTACTCCTATTCAGGACTGTCAGTAAAAGGGGGAACATCCCAACTTTCGGGGTTTGAGGGCGCTGCAGGGCTTCCTGTTGGAAATTTGGCTCGTGTCGTTTGTCCTTCTCTGCGTTCGGCCTTTCGGAGCCGCCAGGCTGTCCCATGGTCAGTAGAAGGTGTTGGAGCTGTTGGGGGTTTTTCGTCTGCACTGCTTGGGGTGTAAGGTTTTGGGTTCAGACCCTATGCACATTCTTTTCAAGGCAACAGGCATCTTCTCCAAGGTCCAGTGGCAAACGTTGACCCGTGGGCCTTCAGCGACACATGCGAACCCGGTAGCAACTGAGTGCGCAGTGAAGCGCGAATGCCCAGGAGACAGAGTCTGGCCGATCAGAATGGCCGGCATCCCAGGGTTTGGACTTCGGGGCTTCTGGGCTTCTAGGCTCTTGAGCTGGGGGGGAGCTTGGCTTGGGGTTGATGATTTCCCCTGATAACAGCGGGTTGGGGGCACTGCCTGTTTCAAGGCCAAGGATCCGAAAGAGCCCATACAGGAGCTTAAGGTGCGTCATATTCGCCGCAGTAGATCGAGCATGAAGAGGCCAAGAGGAAATTTGGGGACGGGGGCGACGGTTCAGCCTGGAGGCGTGAACTGCTTGGGACTCTCCGCGGAACTCCAACGAAGGTTCTACAGTAGCACCCGAATTGCTCGAAGACGCTCCTGCCAGGCGTGGAAAGGGTGGCGGAGGCCGGACTTTGCCCCACTCTTTGGACGTCTAGAGTCGGGTCTCCGGACTCCAGGCAGTCAACTTTCGTGTTGCAGCAGGAACCCCAAACCCTAAACCCTAAACCCTAGACGAAGTGCTGGAGCTTCTTATTTCGAAGGTGGCCATTGTTTCGCTTGTTGGGTTTTGGGACTTCAAGAGGAACAATCTAGACGGCACTGGACGGCCAACAGGCTACCCTCGGAATGGCCGGGACGGCGGTGGCCGAGACCCGAGTTCCTGTGCTTAGAGCCCGGTTTAGGGTTTAGGGTGTAGGGTTTAGGGTTCAGGGTTTAGGGTTTAGGGTTTAGAGCCACAAAGACTCTGCGTTTTCCGAGGCTCATGCTTGGCAAGCAAGGTAGTGCGCATTTCTTGCACCTGGCACCCTGAACTACAGCGCTCGCAGCCTCTTGGGCGGAGGTTCTTCCCCTGAGAACGCAGCAAACTGAGGATGGACCCTCACTTCCCTGCAAGGAGGGAAGCACTCAGCCCCACAGGATACTCCAAGCCCCACGCAGACCGTACAAAACACAAAGGGTTACCTCGCACAGGATTTCACAAAGCAAAGTTTCAGAAGCCGCCCATGCAATACGGACGGCAGTGAGACGTGATTTCCGCAGACGCGTGGGTCTTCTCCAACGCCGAAGGTCAGACCCGAGCCTAAACCCAACAAACCCCCTAAACCTGAAACCCTCAAACCCCGCATCCGGCAACCCGGAACCCTATCAGCGTGTTCACCATCTCACTCGAGAGGCTTCGACCGCGACGGTGGAAAGGGTGCGGGGAAGTCGGTTCCTCAGCCTCCTCGACTGTAGACTTTCTTGGCATCTTCCCGATTTTCAATTCACCCTACAGTGAAGCTCTGGGAGAATCTTCTCCACAGAGCCGGCCTTCTCGGGGTCTCAAATAGGATGCTCCGGGAGGGCTCAGGGCTCTCTCTACGATTTTTGGTCTCAACAGGTCAGACCTTCAGAGCACCCGAAAAGTTCCTGGGTTTCCCCCCTGGGCGAAGGGACCCTTTGCCCAAATCCACAACCGTCATCTGCGCCATGTGAGGTCCGAGTATAGCGACCGTTCCGGTGACACAAAGAAAAGCCCGCGCCCCAAGTGCTTCGGATGGGGTTGAAGATTTTTGTTAGGGTGTTGTTAAGTCTTTGGGTTTGCAGCAGTAAGGTTTCAGAGAGCTATAGCAGCCAAGGTTTGCCCTAGGATCGATCAGATTTCCGGTTGAGACCAGGATATCGAGTTGAAATGCTTTGTTGTTGGAGTGGAGGCGTGCAGAACAAATCCAGAAGTACCTTGCGAAACGCGGAGTCCGGAAGCAGTCCGGGATCAGCCGGCCGAAGCTCTTGGCAGTGGTGGTGCACGACTTTCGGGCTTTCAAACCTATTGGGTATCGCCGAGGCACCTTCGCCTCAATGCAGGGCGCCGGCGGCGACTGGTTCTGGGCCTCAGCGCAGGGGCCAGGGCCAGTGCGGATTCCGGAAGGATGCTTGAGATTTGTAGTGAGTTTCCTCGCGGAGAAGCAGCTGCTGGTGCGTGCCAAGATGTTGCAAACACGGCAACGAATGGCTTGACGACATCATGAAGATCAGAACTAGTAGAGGTAAGGAGACCAAGGTGACGTGCCGAGAGGCCAGAACTTAGGGCAACCCGCGCTGAAACCATGTTTTTCACAAGCTCTACCGTCCTAAACCCTTTGAACCCTCAGTGACCAGCTCGGCAAGCGTGTGAGGTCGACGCGCTTTGGCAACAAACGCAATGAACAGCAGACCGAGCTGGAGGCGCAGCGACTATGCTTTTCTGATCCATCAACCTTGTGTCTAAACTCGAAGCTCGAAAGCTTCAAACAGCCCATAAAATCGCACACAAACCCTCGAGGGCAAGGAGGAGGGGGAGTGCTTTTTGGCAGGACCCTCAATCTAAACTAAGCCCTAAACCACCCCTCACACGATCACATGCCCTCAACGCCAATACCAGACAATCCTGAACCTTCAAGCAGCGGTGCCTTAGGGTTTAGGGTTTAGGGTTTAGGGTTGAGGGTCAGCGCTAGGTCTTCGGGCCGCCGAAGACGCGCTCGACCAGCGGCATCGATTTTGACAAATACGATGCCATCCCAGTCCAGGCCGGCGCAGCAAGCTCCCACCATTCGGGGGCATGCTTGTGGTTAGGGTTTAAAAGTTTAGGGATGAGGGTTGAGGGCGTAGGAGTCGTGGGTGGAGGGTTGCCTTTTTTGCACGTTGGCGGGGGCTTAGGTCCCTTGGTAGTAGAGTTTGACCTGGTCCCCTGGTCCTCTGTCTCCCGGTCCGCTGGCCACGACCACCACCACCGACAATTGGCTGCTTACGGATTACCAATGACGACTGACCAACTGAGTTATGAAGCATCAAGTATTTAGTTAGAAGTGTTGCTTACCATTGATCTAGTGCTGTTTCTTGATTACTAAGCATGATACGAGTGTGTATGAATAGCTATTGTTTCATTGCGAGCGCCAGTGGCATCCACGAACGGCGTTTGCCCCACTTGCTCGTCGCTAATTCATTTTGCCCCCCCACTGCAGGGTCGCCAACGTTAGGAAAAACAGAAGGGCGCCAATGTTCGGAGAAAGAAAGACCTCCACTTTGGGATGTTCCCCCTTGTACTATCAGTCCTGAGCAGGGATTGTAGTAATCTCCTCATGTTATGCTTGGAGCAGGATTTGTGGGATTCATGCTTCGGGTGCTTAAGCTTTGTCCACGTAAGAGGCTGAATTCAAGCCGTTCGGCTTGCAGCAGTGTGTGACAGGTTTCGGGCGAGAACAGCACGGACGTGAAACCAATCGTCCGCTTTTCCGAGGCGGGGTAGGGTGCAGGGTCTTGCAGGCACGCGCAATTAGGCTTCCAGGGATGGGATCACCGATATGCCCAAGTTGGCATCCTGAGTGTGAATAGCTGGCCCTCAGCAAGTATGGACCACGCCGCCACGAAACAATTTTTGTGGCCAAGGCCTGTGTGTAACTCCGGCGTGTTACCCGGGTGTTCCAGCGATGAGCATTATATAGTCCCTGCTCCATACTCCTTCCAGCCCATTCATGACCAAAACTCCCATGCCTTCCCAACACAACTTCAATTTGAAAACACTTCAGAATCCTAGGTAAGCCCTTGGGACATTTTGTATTTTCCCTTATACTTTCTGGGTTTAAGAGGATCATATTCAGGAATATGTTTCAGAGGGTTTTAAGGGCCATCCTAGAACTGATTCAGCTCGTGGTCGTCTTTCGGGGCACTCCACTCAGCGGCCTTTTGTGTCTCAGGCCAAGCTGGTTGACTCCTTGTTCGACAACCTCCGGCGATGTGGGTACGATCGCCCGACCCCTGCATGGTCCTCGGGTGGCTTCCGGTTCCTTACTTTACTTGCCAGGCCAGCCATGCCCGAAGAGGCTTAAAACTTGTTAGCCGCCAAAGTCCTCAAACCCTCAAACCAGAACGCCTAAACGCCAAGCAGCCCAAAGCCCTTCATCTACTTCCCTCTGCCAGCGAAGCCCTGTCCCAAACACTAGAGCCCCCGTTGCTTAGCTGGCGCAAAATTCAAAGGCCCACCGGCCCAAAAGGCACAAAGGCCTGAAGTCTCAGGTGCAGAAGTACTCCATACCCATTGTCCTGTCGGGGCGCGACCTGATGGCCTGTGCGCAAACCGGCTCAGGTCCGGGTTGGGGCGGCTGCGGGTTTGGGGGACAAGAGGGGTGCCTCAGGATAGTTTAGGGTTTAGCGGCTTAGTACTTCGTAAAACATCATGCTTGTAGGTGCAGTCGTCAGGATCCGTCACAAAATAGCAAGTGATCTTGCGTGATGGGATCTTGCAGAGGTAGGGAAGCCCTTACAACTTTAGCGATGGTCTTCGAGACCCTAAATCGTGGATGAATCCTTTGAATCCCGAGCCATGAATCGAGTTGGGAGGAAAGACCTGCGCCTTCATGGTGCCGTGTCTTGAATCGCTACTCCGGTCTGGACCGCCGCAGCAGAGCAGGCCGCGTCTTTGTGTTGAATTGTGGGCAGTCGAACTCCTGTGCTTCGGACATCTAGCTTCAGGCCTCAGGCACTTTCGGCGTTCTCCTTCGGGGTCATGTGGAGCCTGGAGTTCATCTTGACCCCAGGGGAGTTGCTTCTGTTGGATTTCATGTTGGCTTGCGGGCTTCTCGCCTACATCCTGACGGCCCCCGATTATGATTAGGGTTTAGGGTTAGGGTTTAGGGTTTAGGGTTTAGGGTTTAGGGTTTAGGGTTTAGGGTTTAGGGTTTAGGGTTTAGGGTTTAGGGTTTAGGGTTTAGGGTTTAGGGTTTAGGGTTTAGGGTTTACTTTAGGGTGTGGTTTCCTTGAGAAAGACCTGAGGCCAGCATCACACTTTGTCAGTGCGGCGCAGTGGAAATATGCAACTGCAACTGGTAGGTTGATGCATGTTGATCCTAGTTCGACATTCACCACTCACCACTCACTACTTTTGCTTAAGAACCGGCAAAAAATGCAAGATAAAAGATCCCCATATTGCCAATTTGTGCCATGCTTGTTTTTGGGTGGTTCTTGAAGCAAATAGTAGCTCACCACGGACACGAGCCCGACACCCATCCCCGCAATCCTACACTGTCGTACTCCACCATACTCCACTCCAATGCTTACAGGGGCCGACAGAAGCCTGCCCCTTGTGGCCTTTGCCTAGCGCCAACACGCGAGACGCGGCCTAAGGGAGCACGGTGGGTTCAGTGGGGGTTCGGATGGCAGAGGCCCAGTTCCTGGCATCTGAAGTGTTCTGTCCTTCAGGTTGCAGGATGTTCGGAGACCTCCTTATGGCATGGGTGATGTTCGTTTGCGTCCGATGAACATGGGAGACCCCGGCTGTCTTGACCATTCCTTTGTTTGCGGCTTGACCTTGAGACGAATGGCTGAACGCACTTGCTTGTTCCCATGGGCTCAGGCTGGCATCCCAAATTCACGAGGAGAGTAAGAAGTTTGCCTTCGACACCGGGGCGTGAATCTCAGTCCTGTTGCAGTGTTTCTCAGTGCAAGATTTTGTGCCCTCATTTTCGAACTGACCCTGAAAGCCAGAAACCACACGAGTCCATAGTTTGGGTATGCAGCCGTGAATGTTCGGAAGCATCTCTTCGTGGCGGTGATGCGCTACGCATAGGTGATAACCCCGATTTGGGATGTTCCCCCTAATGTTAAAAGCTCCTTAAAGGTGGGATTATAGTACCCCCTATTTTAATCCCGTTTAAAAAACTAAAAACTATTGCTACAAGGGCAAACATCCCAAGCCCCGACAGCTTAGCAAAGCATGAAGGTTGATTGGGTTGGAAGTTGCCGGGGCAGCTGGGTTGCGGCCGCGCGCTTCAAGACTGCTTGGGGCTTTGGGCTTCAGGAGTAGGACGTTTCAAGTTTAGAGTTCCTAAACCCTGAACCCTCAACCCTAAACCCTGAACCCTAAACCCTAAACCCTGAACCCTAAACTCTAAACCCCAAACCCTAAACCCTAAACCCTAAACCCTAAACCCTAAACCCTGAACCCTAAACCCTAAACCCTAAACCCTAAACCCTAAACCCTAAACCTCTGCCTGACCTTCCGCAGATTCGCTGCTGCATCATTTACGGCGGCGCAGACATGCGGGAGCAGCGGAGTGAAATGGAGGGGCCCCGGCCCTGGCAGTGAATCTCCTGCTCCCCAAGACTTGCCTTCTCGACAGACAGATGGCGAGACGCTCGCACTAAAGGCCACAGAGTTAAGAATGTTCTGCCCATCTGGTATCTTGGCCTTGACAGCAGACATCTCACGTGCGAAGTTGCGCACAGCGGTGAACGTGAACATTTGCAATAGATCTGGAAGGAAAAGCTAGGATCTTGCTTGCCTCTGGCTCTAGTCCTCTCCAGCTCGGCTCGTCATAGTTGTTGCTATAGGGCAGCAGCTGCACAGACCGTTCCTCCGTGCTCCTCACCCGATTACACTGACATACCGAAAACTGCTATTCCCTAAGCCGCTTGTCCTGCAGGGGCTGCGATGTGCTAATCGCCACACCAGGGCGACTGACGGACATGTACGAGCCACCGGGCCCAGATGAAAGGGGCTTGGATTCCAAGAGGCCTTTTGAGGATCAGGCAATGCTTAAGCCTTAAGGCTTCTCCTCGGAAGATAGAGAGGATTGGTTGTCCCTGTCCTTCGTTGATGGTGTTGCGGGCATGAGATGTCACTTTATCTATGTAGCAACGTCCTGAAGGCATCAGGTAAACCAACATACTTCTGATGACTACAGCACCGACTGCTTTGATGATCGTTGTCCTTCCCTGGTGGCATGGCCATTTGCGTCTGCCTTTTCTGCCTTTTCTGCATGCGCTCCGTGATGCTCCTCAAAAGCATACGCAAAGTTACTAAAACGAGAGCTGCCATCGAACAAGACTAAATCCTCCTAGAATGAGCCCATTGCTCGTCAAGGCCGTGCATCTCCAAACTCTGAACAATCTGAACAGCTCTTGCGCTGGAGGGGTTAGGGTTGTCAGGATTTCATTTGATTGGGGGGTGGACATCGAGCTTGCTCCGAGGCGGACCTTCCTCTCGCTGGCCAACGTGCAGTTCTTCATCCTTGATGAGGCCATTCGCTAAATATTAGCAGTTTAGCGCGAAGTGAGGTGTTTGCAATCACTGCAAAGGCACTTGGGACGGGAACCTCAGGCACTCCTATCAGAGGCAGTTGTGAAGCACCCTAGCCCACCTCTTCATCGCTTCAATGCTGCGGATGGCAGATCTGCATGTCAGGCAGACCGGATGCTTGACATGGGTCCCGCCCCAAGTTGGAAGTTTCTTCATCACCCATTGCTCGTGCAGATGCTGGGCTTAGAATTGGTATTCGTCGTGAGTCAAGCAGAGAGGACCAACAGCTTCTAGTTCGCTTGTGGTCTGCTTGCAGAATGGGGTGGAGGGGCACGGGCGGTCCGACCCGCCGAAGCCCTAACAGGGCAAACGCGCCAAAAAAACCCCCGGAACACCTGCGACCTAAAGCAACAAGTCCAAGTTCACCAAACCCTCCATCCTTGCTCTGCACCCTCCCCCCCGCCTTTGTCCCCGAGATCCTGAACATCACAAAGCCTCTCGAAGCCCTCCGAAGCCAGGTTTCGAGCCCCAGGTGCGGCAGATCGTCAAGCAAACCGACATGGGCAGGCGCCCGGTGATTTCTCTGGAACCCTAGGGCCATAGGGCTAGGGGGGCGGGGGGTGGGCGTGCTTGAGGGATTGGAATAGTGCCCTCTTTGGGATGGCCCTTCGATGTTCTGGTTGAGGGTATAGCTGCGGGTGTAAACTTAGCGCTGCAGTTTTCAGCTAAGGGATGTGCGCTGTTTGGAGCTTCGTATTCAGTAAGGCTTGGGCAGCCTCCTTACAGGTTCAGGATTGCAAGCGGTTTTTTTGTCAGGATGAAAGGATGTTCTGGGTGCGGGATTTTAGGCTTGATGGTTGGGCTTTGCGGCGTGAGGAAGTATGGTTAGCACGGTCCAAGGGGCTTGCCATCGAACTTTTCTGGCTAATGCAGGCTTTTCGTGTGCTCGGCTCAGTCTGCTTGATGTGTCAGGTATTGCAAGGCAAGGTATTCTGAATCAGAGAAAAGGTGGGCCCGAAAGTTTCTACTAGGGCAGATTCTCAGGACTTAGAATTTGAGCCCAGGGTCGTTGGATTTGCCAAAACACCGCCCGAGCAGCGGCCAGCAACACTTTGCCAGGTGGAGCACAGTTCGACTGCAGTCCATGATGTTCTCAGCGACATTTGCTCCAGAGGCCCGATCTGATAACTCTCCATACTGAACATCCTTATACTATGGAGTCGCTCTGCGCAATCGTTCGCGACAATCGTCACTCTTAGGAGCTCTAGCCCAAGGCTTCAATCAATTCACGACATTTGCCAATCTACTGCTTCCCTCGCCTCCACATGCTTGGGGACATCACTGGTTCTGGTCGCTCTGGGGGGGGGGGGGGGGGGGCACCTGGAGCTCTCTCTGGCAAAGTCTGGGTTCGAGTGCAGGGTTTTTTGGGATTCAGGATTCAGCGCTTGGGGTTGGGGGCAGAGGGGTGTGCACAGGTCCAGATCATGGCACACGACTTCCTGGTGGACTACCTCTTCATCACTGTCGGACGCGTAGGGGCTGCGCCGGCAGCCTCAGAATGCGAGCGCGTTGTCAGAGCCATCACTGGACTGAGGGCGAGGAGCCGATTGAGGTGAGTCCAGGATGTGAGCGCTGTACTTCTTGTCAAATTTAGCACAAAAACTCATTCAGATATCTTCAAGTAGTGCTATAGGCACTATAGGCTCAAGGTTCCAGAACCCAGAGTCTCTTATTATGTCCTTGTTCTTGCATTTTCTTTTCCTTTGGTTTGGGGTGAGCGACTTGCAACAACACTATTCCTGATGATCCCTACACTGTGGCACGTGCTTTCGAAAAAACAGAAAGAACTCTTCAAAGGGTCTCCTATGCACGTTCCGTATTGCAGAAAGATGCTTCCTGAAGACACTGACGAACCCCCGGATATGGTTCACTAAACGTGCCCCAAATGGGATACCTCAAGCTATGCATCGCAGAACAGCAGAAAGGGTGTCCTCCAAATCAGGTTGTCAGGGACAAACATACCCATCCCGGGCAGCAACTTCCACATGAGACATGCACAGCCATGCCCGGAAGATCCATGGCATCGTGGGTAAATTTGGGCAGCGACATCACTGTGTTGCAACGCTCCCCTTCGAGACTTCGAGACTCAGAGGAAAGATGCCCTGGGTTTCTTGGTCATGCACATCGGGGGTCTTCATGTTCTGATACAAGCCTCCAGCGCCGTGTCAACCAGAGAAACCTGCCCAAATTGGCGCGAAGAAGCAGAAATCCCAACAGGCCTGCAACAGAGGCTCCTCCACCTCTCCCAGCGGGAATCATCCCTGCAGCCCAGGCGCACATCGCCCAATTTGCACACTGAAGCTCCCAGTCACTCTGTTGGGCCAACCCCCCCCCCCTCCCCGACCCCAACCCCCCAGACCCTAAAAGCCTCTGAAACCTAGATCCCTAAACAAATCCGTAAAACCCTTAAGATCCCTGCCGAAAACCCACAAAGCCTTGACAACCCAAACCCCTAAAGCCCTTCAACCCCAAAACCCCTAAGCCCTAAAACCCAAACCCCGCCCCAACCGCACGGGTGGTATGGGCAAGGACGAGCTCCACTTCATGACTGAATCAAAAAAGCCCAAGCCTTTCCAAACCTGGTAAGAAGCTGCTCCTTCGCAACAAGCCTTTCTCGAAGCCTTGCCTGCACCCAGCAAGGTCAGAGCTGGTCACGCAGAAGGCTCGGGAAGACTCGGGGCCTGAACTTCTTTCAAAAAAAAGGGAAGGGGCCCTCTCGACTCGACTCATTCCAAGCAGCTCTAGCTGAGCTGTGCTCTTTTTTAGGGCTTGACACATGTGTTGGCGGGCCTGAAAGGCACAGGGTTTAGGGTTGAAGCATGTTAAAGTTAGGGCTTATGAAGTTTATGCGTTCAGGGCTCAGAAATGTTGAGGGATGGTTGCGACATTTGGGTTCATAAAATGATGACGCCCGTCAGAAACCCCAAGCCATGAAGGCACCAAAGGGAGTTGTTCCGAACTGACAAGGCGCAAAAGCACGAAAAGGAAGTGTAGAGGATGGCACGTTTCAGGGCCCATGGCTTGGGACCCGAACCCTTGCAACCCAAAAGCCCAAATCCTAAAGTCCAGGCCGTGAAGCGGAGGGTTGTTGCGGATTTCGCGGGAGGTGGTCTACGCTGACGAAGGGTCCATGAAGGTGCGGAAGCTGGACACCGCCAAGCCGCCGCGTTCCACGTGTCATAGGTGGACCCGATTGGACCCGATTCATTCCTTCGAAGTCGGGGTGAGGTTCGGGAGAAGTTCAAGTGTCAGAGGAGGCGCTAGGACACCAGGAAACCTTAGTCCGTTCTTCATGGTGCTGTTGGGGCCCTGTAGGCAATGAGAACAGTCAGACCAACCTTAGGCCTTACGGGAGTAGTGGTCCCAGCAAGTGCAAGTTGGCCTAGAATCCAAGCGCGAAGTCTGCTCAATTCCGCAACAGAGATCCCGGCTCACGCGAAAGCGCGCGAAACCCCCGCGGCCTCCCCCGGTGCTTTTTTCAGCCCGGATGACGCAGGCTCCGAGTTGGCAGGGCTTCAGGTTGAAAGTGGCTTTAGGGGAGTGGTTACTATAGGGGCCTGAAGAATTAGAATAGGGTTTTGGCGGGGTTATTTTGGTATATTTACAAAGGGACCATGGTGGAATATGATTCGTACTTCTTCCAATTAGTGCCTTTGACCTTTGTGACTCCGATTCTAGGGGGGTCTTAGCCTTTGCTGAAGAGGGGCATAGCGTGCAGGGGGATAGCGTGATGCGCATGCCGGCTGTGCACGGAACTCTGATTTCCAGGTGCATTTCACTCATGAGAGGCCAGCCCCAAACTCCAGAATCCCAAATCTCCGTTGTCCGAGATCCCAGGAGCTGCCAAAAGGTGTGCTAAACCTGGCGCCCCTGTGCTTGAAACGATTGTAGCAGTACTCACCGGAATGCTCGTAGTTGATACGAAGGAGCAAAATCGTTGATTATTGGCATCTTCCTTATATTGGTGCAACAGTAGCAGGGTAGTTCAAGGAGTGCATGAGCAGAAATATTTCTAATCTTTATATACACCAGGAGGACGAGCAGTGAAAGATTAGGCTTCGATGTAGGGCACGTGAAATCAGGGTACCATGTCCAGGAGCCTACGAACACATTATGTGCACTACAGTCGTGAACATCTGCTTTAGCTCGCTCAGAACCTTCAACTGCTGCTGCCAAAACCCCGTTCCCTCAAAGTCATCTCGCACATGCCAAGTCCCTGCGGCATTTCGGCAGCACTTTTCACCCCGAAGCTCGATGTGATTGTTAACAGCAGCAACAAAATTAGGGCTGTAAACACTAAAGCTGAACCTTTATCGCACCACGCGGCAAAAGCAAGTGAACCACAGAAACCTTCAACATTCACTCCGAGAAGGCTTGTGAAAAACCCGCCCCCTTCTCCCCACACCGCTGGTCCGGTGAGGCTGCGTCCGGTGATCAACATTCTGCTGCTGTTGCCCAGGCCGTGTTAGAGATGCATGTATGAATGCTCGTTTTGTTACTTGCTTAGTTGTTTATCAGGGTGCTGTCTTGATCCGCCATCTAAGGCCCTCTGCGCGTGCTCGGCCTTGAAGCCAAACTGCGCAAAACCCTAAAACCCCTCAAGCATCCTGAAGCATCCTGAAGCATCCGCAAGCATCTTCAAGAATCCTCAAGCCCTATTCTGGGGTTCCCAGATGCCATCAGAACCTGCAACGCAGCTCGTCAGGGCTGTTGCCCATGCTTGTGCGGCAGGGCCAAGGCCATGGGCATTGATTGTGTCGGTAATGTTTCGAGAAGAGTGAACTTCCTACTGGTAGTGGAGGCAGCGAGGTGCAGTTGTGGGATTTGGGGGAGGTTTTTTTTTTTTTTTTTGGGGGGGGGGGGGGGGGGGGGGGGGGGGGGGGCGGGCGTCCTTCTCTTCGAATCTCATTCGGGGGAGCTTCGAGGCTTCGAGGACGCCCTTAGCTCTGGAGACTTCCCCTAGAATCGCAACGTCATCCAGGGCCGACCAAGGCATTTTGCTTCCGAGATGCTTTGCATATTTGAGCCGTGCATTGAAGCGCTTCGGAAATGAACCAAAGCCCCAAGACCTACACAGAATTCCAGCTCTAATCGCCCTGAAGCATGGAGTATATTGTGTTCTACCTCGCCAGGGCAAGGACCAGCTTCCTCCAGAGAAGTCTGTGGAGGACGCAAGTCCGCAACCTTCTTACACCCCAAGCCCTGACTGAAGAGCCTTGCGACGCCTCCCTCGTCTGGAGCCCAAACTCCGAAGGCTGAGGGTTCGGGAACCTTCCGAGATACCGAGATTGTGCTTATCTGTGCTTGTCCGCCCGGCTTTGGAATGCCGGCCGTGCCCTCAACTCCGTAATTGTTTGGAAATCCTGCAGCAGCATACTGCAGCAATTCATTGGTCAAAAAGCAAGGGCCGTTGTAAGTTCTTGAGGAGCTGGGCTGCTTCTCGCTGCTACGCAAGGCGCGCAGCAGACCCAAAAGCCTCGAGCCACGTTTGTCGATTGTTCGAAGGGCTGGAAGGGCATTTCGGGCCGAAACATCAGTCCGCACGAAACTGCATCACACGAAGCTGCATGAAAGGGATCCCAGCTGCCCTCGTCAGGTGAAGCCCCTGGAGAAGAAGAAGCAAGGGCTCCGCAAGACGATCCGGCGGCTCGGTTGAGGTGTTCAGCAATGTTCAGGGCATAGTAGGGGGCAGCTGCGCTCGTGAGGTTTGCGCCTGGCTTGTTTGGGCTCCGGTCTGTTCCTGCGTGTATTCAGCTCATGATGTGCAGAAGTCAGGATGTTCCCCCCTTCTCTTAACAGTCCTTAATAGGGATTTGCTTATCCCCCATCCTCATTCCGATTCAGGACTGTCAGTAGAAGGGGAACGTCCCAATGCAGAAGCCCCGGGAGATTAAAGCCCTAAACCCTAAACCCTAAACCCTAAACCCTAAACCCTAAACCCTAAACCCTAAACCCTAAACCCTAAACCCTAAACCCTAAACCCTAAACCATTTTGTTGCTGACAACAAGAGCTCGCCTCCAGGGTTCCCCAAGCCGCAAGTGCCAGAACCGGCACAAAGTGCGAAGACCCAAGCCACTCGAACACCGAACCCAGACGCTACCCAACTTTGGGGTTTAGGGTTGGGGTTTAGGGCTTAGGGTTTAGGGTTCTGGGTTCTGGGTTCAGGGCTCAGTGCCTCTCAGGGATTTGGAGCGGGACATCGCGTTCGCTGGGAGCTTGGAGCACACATGTGGAGGATCTGCTCAGAATGAAGATGTAGGCACCTGGAGCTGTTGATCCCTCCCCCTATGATCAGCCGTATTTCATATTATGAGAATATGCGGCCCCCGTGACCCCGCCCAGTTCAGAAATTCAAAAGCGTTGAGAGGGCGGGGCTTGTGTACGGGAATGTGGGCACTGATAGCTTGACTGATGACTCAGCTGGTTTTTGGGTGTCACATATGTTGAGGAGGTGGGCGAGAGGGCTTCAATAGTTGGACAAGAGCTTCGTATTCGGCATGGCATCCAGCGGGTTTAGGGTTTCCGGGTTTCGGGCGGGCAAGCCTCAAGAGCGTGAACAACCCCTCTGGCATGATCTTTAGAAGCCCCAAGCCGCTGAACCCCGCAAGTCCCAAAACTTCACTTCTTGCAGAGGTTTGAAGAACCCTAAACCCTAAACCCTAAACCCTAAACCCTAAATGAAGTGCCATGTCCTCAATCCTACGCTCCGTTCCCTGACAACCAAACCCCCAAACTGCGTAACAACTCCGTCGCCTTGGAGCCCGCACCATCCTCAGGTACAAGCCAGCCCCAAGCACAAACCCTACACCCTCAACCCTCAACCCTCAACCCTAAACCTACCCAAACCTCCCAGAATCCTCTGCGAAGACCCTGCCGTTGCTTGAGGCCGAAGATGATCAGGAGCGCACCGAGGCACGCCTGGCCAAGCACAAGGCTCCCGACTTGCTTCATTTCAGCATGTGTTCGGAGGCTTCTTCAAGAATAACATGAAGAATCAGCAAGAATGAAACACGAGCAATAACAATGTTAAGCATGATTTCCCCGCTGTAGGGCTTTTTTGACCTCGGGGGCGTATGAGGGCTTCTGATGGTGAGCGGTCGGAACCTTCTATCGTGGCACCTTTCTGCTCGGAGTCTGCGCAGTTTTGGTGCAGGCCCACCGCGCCAAGATCCTGGCCGAGATTGACCAAGTCTGCCAACAGGCGCGCCAGCGAGAAGGGCTAGAGGTTGTTGGTCAACTCGGGAGGTTCTCATGGGTTTTTTCTAGGCACTCCCCTCAGAAACAGATGAGAGAGTCTGAGCAGGCATAGGCTCCTATTCACTGGCCCCTTCTATGGATCCACGGTTCTGTCGAGGAGGTCTGCCTGGTGGCAAGGTTTCATTCGCGATTGATCTGTCTAACAAGGCATAATGATGGCGTGATGCTTTCACACTGTTGTCGCTAAATCAGGAATCTCCTTCGCGTCTTCAGGCATAGCTAGCCTTCTGGACTGCGCGCCCGTGTAAAGCTCTGGTTTCAAGGGCTCACCCCACAAGTGACCCTTGCCAGGTCGAAGAAGGGAAGCAAAACCAGGCCGGATGGGTCTGAACATGCAGAGGCCTAGAGCGCTAAATCTTGCACCCGCTGAGGGCTCAAATCATCAAGACCCCAGGCCCTGACCTTGACCCCCGCTTCGGGAGAGACTCGGCACTAAAGTGGGAGATCCTGACAACCTGTTGCGGCAGATAGCCTGTAGCTACGAAGCATGACAGCGGAATGTACATACATATACAGCAAAATCAACCAGAGGCTTCCGTATCATTTCATGGTTTTCATGGTCTATCATGATCTACTACAATATTTCAAGACTCACAAATATCTCATGATATATCATAATGATAATAATCGTTCATCAGATGTCACAGATTTTTAATAACATTTGACAATCGTGTCATTTGGCAGTATTCCAATATTCCAGCTGGTTTGAGCTTTCATTTCCTCCAAGTTGCCGTTCAAGGCTTGGACTTCTGTTTGAGGATTCTTGGACGCCCCACAAGGCCCTGAATTTGATATGAGAGATCCTGGAACGGCCCCGAACTTTGCCAGGTGCGGGCGCACGCAATCCAACGCCTGAAAGATCTCCGAAGCCCCATGTAAGTCCTCTGTTGAGTCAGCAGAGCCTTCCTAAGCCCAAAAAGATAAGGGACCCCCAAAACCCTACACCCCATTCAAAACAGTCCCATGCGCAGGCCATGCTGGAATCACAGGTTCAGCAAGCAAAGTTGCAACTCGAGGAGGCCGTCTTCAGGGTCCAGGGTTTAGGGTTTAGGGTTTAGGGTTTAGGGTTTAGGGACCAAATCACCAGGTCCCGGGTGCCTGGGTTGGAGTCTTGAAGCCTGGCAGGTGTGCGCGGCGCGAGACCGATTGAAGGAGAAGGTTGCGGCTCTCTGAACAGGGGGATCGCAAGTCCAAGCAGCTTTCAATGACAGACCGGTTCTGACCAGACCAGCAAAGCATGCTTTCTCTCCTGGTAGGTTTCTGTTTTTTGGCCGCTTTTTTGCCAAAGCCCTGCGATGTCCCATCTCAAATTCCACTCTTTTCATCCACCTTTGTGGGGGCGCAGACGGAAACCTGAACCTTCCATGATGGAGGTCAGCTCTGAAGCACAGGAGCTGCAGATTGTCGAGGCTGGGTGTGGGCCGAAGAGTAGCTTGGGCCCGCCTGCAGCAAGCATGGAGGTCGAGCTGAAGCGTGCGTCCATGGAGCTGGAGTCTGCCAAGGAGGTCAGCCAGGGTTGAGGTCTTGGGTCCCACTCCAAGGCTGCTGGGAGGCTGTTTGCAAGGCATCCCATACGGCGCCACGAGTCTTGGCATTTTCCATGAGACTCCCAGCGCATGGCAGGAGAAGCTGCACCTCGATGTGAAGGCTGTCTTTCAGTCAAACCTCGGGTTTCCCCAAATGCCCATGGAAACCCAAAGCTACCAACTTTTGAGATCCAGATGTTCAGCGTATAGCTGGCTTGTTAGGGACACTGTGTTGGTCCTTGCCAATCCTAATCACATGCACAGGCAGCTGTGTGCTGTCACGTGTGGCCTTCACTGTCTCTTGGGGTCACATATTCATATTTGAGCCGCAAACTCCATACCTCAAATAAGCTCTTCCTGTTTCTGCCCGCGCCTTGCAGATTTTCCACCAGACGGAGGAGAACAAATCGCTAAAGGGAGAGCATCAGCGCATGAGCTTAGAGGTGCGCGCTCTCCGTGTCTTCAAACTGTTGATGTTTCAAAGGCTGAGACTTTAATTCGAGTCCTTCAGGTCCATTGTGTCCTTTCGGGGTTTCGGGTGCAACTCTGAAGTCAACCTTGGGGCATATCATGCAATTAGTTGAGGGTCTAATGAAGGTCTCGAGTTCGGACCCCCTATGCAGCTTGAAGCCAAGCCGCAACTAACAAAAAGCTGGCACGTCATGCATGGCTTCTGCGTGATCTCGCGCCTGCTCAACACATCGCAGGCACCGAACAAGACTCCTCTATTGCCGCGTACTGCACAGTCACGTCGACTTCATTCCTAGCCTCCCCCCACTAGACTCCCACTGCGCACTGCACGGACTCGGACTCGGACTCTGACACTCTCTCGCTTTTTCTCTCATTCATTCATTCTCCCAATCTTGCACTGTAATCCTCGCACTCTCAGCTTGGACCCCCAAAACGCGGTCGCTCCCTCTCTCTCTCTTTCTCTCTCTCTCCCTCTCTCCCTCTCTCTCCCTCCCTCCCTCTCCCTTTCTCCCCCTCTGCCTCACTGTCGCCCTCCCTCTCCCTGCGCCCCTCAACCTGTCTCCGGGCCGGAGGCTGCCGCCGTGCGAGCTCAAATGCTCGCAGCCCGCGAGGAGACGGACGAAGCCACGAAGGCCGGAGAGACGGGGCCGGGCGGCTACCAATTTACCAGTCTTTTAGTGTATCTTCAGGTGCCACTGCTCTAAACCCTATAGCTTTTCCAGCCCTAAACTCGTAATCAAGTAAGCCAGCCCTAAACTTCGTTTGGCAGCAAGGAGAGGGCAACAGAAGGTAGCAGATCCTGATCTCGTAGGCCCCTGCTAGACCGATTACCCTGTTGGCCCTTATTGAAAGGGAACCCTATTGTTTGGGGGTCTCTAGTAGGGGCCCCCTATTTTCGTAACCCCCCCACATGCCCTTCAACCTTTGAGAGCCCCTGCAGCCAAGAAATGCTCAGGCTCAAGCTGCCAAGGCTATAGAATTCGCCAGCGTAAAGGCCCCCCAAGGGCTAGGATGTAGGGTTTAGGGTTTAGGGTTGTCGGGTGGCCTTTCAGATCAGATGTGCACCAGGCCCTCAAGGACCTTCTGGATGGCCTCGGAACCCTAACATCCTCGCTGGCCGGGGGGCCCAAGCTCAAAGAGCCGCTTCGTTTAGGACCTTTTGGGACTCCCAATGGCTTCCGGGCTTTCAGGGCTTTTCCGTCGTCTGCTGTTGGCTTTGGGGCCTTTGAGTTTGCAGTTTAGGGTTTGAGGGTTAACCTCCCACACGAACTCGGACTCAGCGACTTAGCCCAACGCACCCGAAAAAATGCGGACCTGTCCATGCCGGCAAAAGAAGCCTCAAAGCCCCACTCTCTAAAAACATCTTTGAGAACACTTGGGATGTTCCCCCTTGTTCTTCCAGTCCTAACGGGGTATAAGAGGGGGCACCTATAGTCCCTATGAAGGAGCTGTTAGCTTTCAGGGGGAACATCCCAAGAGAGCACGTAAACCGAGGCAAAAGTCGACAACGAGCACGGCCGCTTGGCCGCTTCCCAAGTCCTGGTGACGGGCCCGCCGGAGATCGTCAAGGCTCGGATGTCGGATGGTGGGGGGGTTTCCCAAACTAGGGGTGCCTTATTGGGCTCATCATGGGATCCTACTATTTGGGGATGTGGGTCCTATTTGGGGGTTTCCGAAATTAGTGAAGGGGATCCTGTTGGGAGAAGCTGCAGCTTGGGAGCGGAGGCAAGGACTGCAACATCCCTTCGTTACCATCGCATGCGTTTGCAAAGTCCGTTGTCCGAGCCCGAACACTCCAGGAACGCCCCCAAGCCCAAACACACGAAGTAAAGCTCAGACTGAACTTCCAGAGCACCTCTGAGCCCACTGATCCCAGTTGCAGCCTATCTGGCCTATCTAGGGGTAAGATAGAGCCCCCAAAGATCACCATCAATGCCCTGCTTTTGCCCTTGGCCCTAAACTCGAAGTGATTCACGTTGAACCACAAGAGGTGTCTATTGGGTCGGTCTTAAGCCTTTCCAAAAGAAGCAAACGCAAGACTTTCGAAGATCCTGACTGGAGTTCAGACTTTCCGTGGCTAGCCGTACGGCCCCAGCCCGAGAAGTTGGTCCTCCTGCTGAGATGCGCGTCCCGGTGGTGCATGAGCCTGCCAGTGGTGGCCAGGCCTCTCCTGGGTGCCTTGGCAGATCTCAGCTTCATCAGCTTCAGAGGTCAGAGATCATGGGGATCACATGATCGGGATTCCTAGGTGATGGTTTCGAGGCGGTCCACAGACGACACGTCGGTCGAATCTTTTGGGAGTGTGCTACCGTGCTACCTACCGAAGTTGTTCACAGGCAACGGATCGGCCTGATATCAGCCCAGACCCTGCCTTGAAAGCCTTGAACCCGAAAGCTTCCCCTATAGAACCCCAATATATCTACCTTATGTAGTCCCTATATATAAAATTATATGCAGTAAGTGAAAGTGCATTGCTTCACCCTCGACAAGCTTCCTTGCCCTCTGCCTCTTCGCGTGTCCGCCATCAGAGACCAATCCTGGCCGTTGGGCAGTTTGGGCTTCGAAGTCCAAGCCTAGCTGGGAGGTTCAGGAAGCTCCAGGCCTTCTCGTATTCCCTTCAAGCACGGCATTTGAACAAGTTCCCCTAAACCCTAAACTTTAAACCCTACACCCTAAACCCTAAACCCCACACCCTAAACCGGTTCAGGGTTCACAGGCTCTTCAGTCTTCACAGGCCATGCTCGTTTGGGCGCCCGAACCTTTCTCGGAACGGCCAGGATCACTCGGCGCAGCCCTGGCTCCAGCACGCCGGTGCATGGCAGGGGGACCTGCCCATGGGTGGTTTAGGGCTTAGGGGTTTAGGGGTTTAGGGGTTTAGGGGTTTAGGGGTTTAGGGGTTTAGGGGTTTAGGGGTTTAGGGGTTTAGGGGTTTAGGGGTTTAGGGGTTTAGGGGTTTAGGGGTATAGGGGTTTAGGGGTTTAGGGGTTTAGGGGTTTAGGGGTTTAGGGGTTTAGGGGTTTAGGGGTTTAGGGGTTTAGGGGTTAGGGGTTTAGGGTTTAGGGTTTAGGGTTTAAGGCTACCGGGTAGGGTTTAGGGTGCCAGGTTCAGGGGTTTGAGCTTTGCGTGGGTAGGGCTCTTGTGGCTGTTGTTGTTTAGTGGCTTTAGGACTTAGCTGCTTAGCCCGATTCCGCCGACGCACCCAAGGTGCGGGGTCTTTTCAAGGTCCGAGCACGCGATGGCAAGCCGACCTGGATCTCACAATCCCTGATAATGTCCCTCACTATGAACGCCAACAAAGCGTGGAGCAGAAGATTAGCAGAATATTTCTCCGCAGCAATTGGATGCCCAGGCTCGCGTACACCTGGCCACGTGCCTTTCAAGCCCACGTCCAAGTCGCTGTCACCACCCTTCCGCAGGCAGATTGGGATGCTTCTGAAAGAGTCGCAAAGCGACAGACCTAGGGCCGTGTGTCGAAGGAGCGACAGGGGGCAGGGGGTTTAAACTCATGATATTTAGCCCGTCATGACACTGTGGAGAGATCAGTATCAGCGTTGCGGGTCACAAGCCCAACTTGGCTGTAGGGCAGCTCTTGTAAGCATCCTACAGAACCTGGCACACATACAGCAGCCAGGTACCGTCAAACGTCAAACCTCAAGCCTTCTACGCACTGTCTACCCGTTATCCTCCCCAGATCCCACAACCAGGCATCGGAACTTGAAGGAAGACTCGACGTCCTTTCGCTATGCATGGGGGCATAGGCACGAAGATCTCAACTTACTCCAGTACCCATCAAACATTCCGCAACCCCGAACCGAACAAAAACTCGCACCCAAAGCCCAAAACCAGCCTTCTCTCAAAAAACGAGCACATAAAAGCCTCCAAGCTCCCAACGCACCCCGACGTCGCAGTGGCTCGCGTGAGCGCACGCCGGTGGTGGTGCGCTCCCCGACCCCCACCTCCGGGCCGGAGTCTGAGATTTGTCTACTATCTGCTTGAGAACCTCTCCCCCCAAAAAGAAAGAACAAATAGTTTTCTTGCTGGGGCCAATACAAGGATTCTTATCTCTTCGGTTTTGGGGGCCAGTAGTTGTTGTGGAGACCTTAGGGATCTGGTGAGTGGTTTGGCTATTTGGATATCTTTGCATGTGTGGGTGCTTTGCTGTTGCAGTTTGTGTGTTGTCGGCCATAGGATTTCAGACTCTACTTCGAATTTTGGCAGCGATCTGGGGGGTTCCGAAAATAGGGGTGGGGGGTCCCATTAAGGGTTCTGTTTAGGGTATAAAAGGGGTACCCTTATTTTGGGAAATGCCCGTCTGTTTAGGGGCAAGGATGGGATCTCAGCTGAGGCAAGGAAGAGCGATTTCACAGACTTAACCTGCAACTACACGTGTTAAGAGCTGTTGCAGCATTCTTCGGGATGGTTTTGGGTGCCTGCTTAATGAGTAGAAGGTCCTGTTGGAATGGGCAGGGAGCTGGAGGAATACCAAGAATACGCATTGTCACAGAATGGCATGGTTCGGCTCCTGGCTGTACTTGAACCTCATTTTCTGCACGCTCGACACTCGGCCTGCGCAAGGGAGTTTGGGGCCCTATATGTACCCTTTGAGGGATTCTGTAGGGTACTCATTCCCTCATTCCCTACGCAGAACCAGCCAGTTTCTTCTGCACCAGGTCAACGCCAAAGCCGAAGACCCTCCGGCATGATTTGCGGCAGCTTAGGGGTGAAGCTTGCAGGCAACGATGTGTGATGGTTGGGATGTTCCCCCTTCTTCGAACAGACAGTCCTTAATAGGACTATATCAGTAACAGGGGGTTGCTATAGTCCCTATCAGGGGCTGTTAGTATAAGGGGGAATATCCCAATGTGCTGCTTTGAAAAGGTCGGGGACAATTTTCATGTTGTTACGTTTCAGCAATGGGGCAACGCGCTTGAGAAGAGATGAGAGAAGATGTGTTGCTTGGGCGCTGAGCCCCGCCGAAGCCTGCAGAACCCGTGGGATGCCGGTTGTACTGCGCTTCGTAAACCCGAAAGCCCTAAACTCAAGAGGACTTCGAACAGCGGCAGGCTGAAGGGGTTCGTTCGTGAGTTCGTCCCTTACTTAGTACCTTACTTAGCAAAGAAGTTAGTGGGTTAGTCGCTTCCATCCAACCCAGCCCCCCCCCCCCTCCCAATCCGCTGGCCGGGTTTCGCCCGTCAGAAACCTCCGCCCATAAGCAACCTCTTTTGGAGGCCGAACGAAAGCCTCTCAAAGAATCTATTGCGTTGTAGCGCTTGGGGGTGTCGGGTTCGAAGCAGCATGGGATTCCACGTTTGATTTTCAGGATAAAAAGCCGAATGAGTAAGGGTGTGCAGAAGTCCTTGTGGCATGTTCCAGGCTATCAACGGCGGTAGGGAGGCAAGTGCTGGAGGGCAGGGTCCCCGACCGCGGAATCCAAGGGGAAATGAGAGGAAGTAAGCTATATGTCACAGGCCAAAACTATATGTCAAACAGTTTTTTTGTTTGATTTCACGATGTCGTGAAATAAAAGAACTGTTTGACATATGGTTTTGGCCTGCATGCACATATGTGAACGAAGCCTGGAACGATTTCGCGTACATAGTTTTGGCCTGCATGCACATATGTGCATGCAGGCCAAAACTATGTACGCGAAATCGTTCCAGGCTTCGTTCACACATGTGCACGCAGGCCAAAACTATATGTCAAA